TTCTTAACTCTTACAGATATACTGAAGAGTGAAAATAAGAAGAAGTCATTCTATAAATAGAGAATGAAAAGATTATTGAGAAGAGAGAACTGTGAGAACTTTCTTATCTCAGAAGCTTATAAGATCTTTATAAGATTGAAATAGATATTCACAGATGCAGTAATACTGTTCCACTTTGATTTCTTACTCTTAATCAAATTAGAGATAGATGTCTTCTTCTTTATAATTTCAGAAATAGTCTTACAACTACAGTCAAATAAGAACTGAGTTTCAGTAATCTTTTTCTCATAGAAGATATAACCTGTGAAGATCAACTATAACATTTAAAATCAGAAGCTTCTTATAATAGTGAAATTCTTTCATCACTGATATCACTACTTCAAGAGTTTTATGATAGTGATTACTATTAGAACTAATCATGACAGCTTGCAACAGTTTACTTTAATCAAGAAACTCTCACAGTGATAGATTCACTGAGCTCAGAGACTGAGTGAGTTCTGATTTAAGATAGAATATATTAAGAGAACTAAGAACTTAGCAGATGAACTCTCTCACAGATCAGACTATATTAAGAAGATCAGAGTGACAGATACAGAGAGACTAGAGAAGACAGAAAAGCTTTACAGAATACTCAGACTGAGTGTTACAAAGAGATTGACTGAAGAGTCTCTTAATTCTCTATAAGAGAAGAGAAAAGAGAGAGAAAAGAAGCCTGTGCAACTACTCTCTACAATACTGAGAGTTAACACTCTGAAGATCTTTATGAGAATTCTTGAAGAGAGTATCTATAATCTGAAGAGTTTATAAGCTTTGAGAAGTACTGTAGAAGATCTGATATAAGAGAAAACAGAGTATAAGTTTTCACAAGATCTTCTATTCAGATTATCTGAACTGTAACTGAAGAATGAATATACTCAGCATATTCAGAAACTGCTCACAGCAGAAATCAACTCTGCAGAAATAAAGAATTGAAGAGACTTAAATAATCTCTTATAAAGAGAGAACTGAATTTATATATCTATGAATGAGTTTCTATATATAGAACTCATTAAAAGGTATTATAACTCTTCTCTAGCAGGTCATTTTACAGACACTAGAACTCATGAGTTGCTCATAAGAAAATACTTCTAGCTGAAGATGTGAGAACTTGTGAAGAAGATAGTGAATTCTTATATTATTTATCAGAATTCACAGATAGTGTGATTTGAACTATATAAAGAACTTACTCCTCTACTCATTCTGCAGAAACCTTGAAAATAGCTAGAAATGAATACTCTTATAAGCCTCTCTGAAAGTAAGAACATATATAATGCCTGCTTTGACAGTGTGCTGATGATAATGAATCACTTCATCAAGATAACACACTTTATACTCACTCATAAGAACTTGAAGTCAAAGAATTTAACTTATATCTTTATTCACAATGTAATCTGATTATATGAATTGTCTGTAAACATTATCTCAGACAGAGAATTAATCTTTATAGAAAAGTTCTGATCTGATCTGATAACTATATTAAAGATTTTATAAGATCTAAGCACAGCTTTTTATCAACAGATAGATGATCAGACAGAATGTCTGATAAGTATATTAAAACAGTATCTGCAGTGCTTTATTAATTATAATCAGAATGACTGAGTATATTGATTATTACTCACAGAGTTTATATACAATAACTTAAAGTATGTCAGCATAGATAAAACCCTCTTTAAGATACTCACTGAGACTCATTCATAGATGATCTTGATAGATCTACAAGAGTACACTATAGAGTATAGTAATGTCTGTGAATGAGCTGAGAGAATTCAGAAGATTCAGAAGAAAGTCTGTGAATTCTTGAGAAAGACTCAAGAGTATCAGAAGAGATACTATGACTTTAAGCATATTATAAAGAGTTTTAAGAAGATGATAGAGTCTGACTAAGTCTAGAAAACATTATTATATAGAGATCTAGTAAGAAGCTGAATCTCTTACAGACAGAGTCTTGTAAGATTATGAAGAAAATTAACTCATAGTTCTATAGATTGAAACTGTTATCTGAGTTACAGATATATAATATTTTTCATATCTCTTTACTCTGTAAATATAAGAAATTCTTAGAAGAGAACTCTGTGACTCATCACTCTGTCTGTGAAGCACTAGAGAGTGAAAGAGAATATCAGATCAAAGAAATTATTAACTCAGAGAAGTGAGATTATGAGCTCTGATTCAAGGTTCAGTGATAAGAATATTCTAACAAGATAAATAAGTTTACTTAAGAATTATTCAGATAGATAAGACATCTGTAGAAGCTGAGACATGACTTTTATATTATAAATTCTGATAAGTCAGAATAATGTAATCTTTACTAAGAATCTGATTGTGATAAAGATATTAACACTGTTATTTATAAACTCTAGTCTATAAGATAATGAGTTTCTACTGAGATGAACAGTCTGCAGTGTACATAAGAGAAGAAGAAATTATATTCTTATTAAAGTTAAAAAACAAGAAAATAAACAGAGCTGTGAATATAATTTAGAGATTAATAAAGAAAAAATAAAGAAAACTCACACTTATATTATTAATATCTGTAACACTCAATCTTCTCATAACTATTAATTTTCTTCTTTAAAGAAGCAGAGAGTATTATACTCATAGTACAGATAATTATTACATTTGATATAAAGACTGTCAGAAATGCATAAACTTCAGAGAAGTTAGATATCAGAGTACATGCAGTTGCAGCAGAGTCTTGAAGACTGATTATCTATATATGTGATCAGATACTTCTTACAAAGCTGTGTTCACTTTCTCAGTTGTACTGAAGTATTCAGCCTGGAAATAATTAAGATATAGAGAGAAGGCTCATCTGTTCAGATCAACTCTTATCATGAATTCATGACATTCACATTGTCTTAATTACCTGGATTTTGCAGGTACTCAGAGACTCATCTCTCATTGACAATGAAATTATAGAAATACATCACAGCATGAGAATCATTGATAGAAAACCTAGACATATTTGCATATATCTGATCAGAGATTGTGTAAGCAGAAGAAAGATGATTATAGATCTGCAGAGCTGCAGAAGACACTGATAACACAGAGAGCTTTATAAGAACTGTTAGCTAGAATCTATAAGAAATTACTTATAAGAAGACTTACAGTAAAGAAGAGAACTGCACTGCTTGAAGTCAGAAGCTGATCTGAGAGAGATAGAGAGTTAACTGCTGACCTGAAGATTGAGTGCAGTGATAAGACTGAGAGAAGTGAAGACACAGTTATGAACAGCAGTATTCCTACTTTATCAGTCAGTAAAAAGTAATCAGAGAAGTTATAGAAACACTCATAAGAAGCTTAATAACAGTCAGATATTATTATAAAGATATTGAAATTGAAAAATTTTTTATTCTTGAGAAGTTCTTGAATTAATATACAGACATTGTCAGAAACATTCTCTCTCTATTATCTAAGTGAAAACACTTCACAGATGAATGAGAATACTCATAGTTTATAAGAATAAGAGCTGTTACAGAAAAAGAGAAAAGAAGATGAGATTCTGTAAATAGATCTGAGATATTTATACTACTCTAGAGAGATTTGCTTACACTGTAAGTAATCTCATAGAACAGTCAGATCACTCTAGTAAATAAAAGTGATTGTGAATTGCAGATCTGAATCTTTCTATATAACTATAAAAAGTAATTGCAGACTGTAGATATCTTAATTCTACAATTCTACAGAGTTAATGAAAGAATGAAAAATTCCTCATAATTCTACAGTGTCAAAGAACAATGATTTATAAGAATAAGTGAAAGATTAACTTATAAATATTTCTCTTTAATAAAGATAATCTCACAGAAAGTGATTCATCTACAAGATGAATCTGTGTAATAATTATATAAGAATCTTATGAAAATAATTAAGAGTCAACTGAAACTCTTCTATATAAAAGATATAAGATAAATCTATATAATAGTCAGAGAAGAATCTATAGATTATAAAGAATCTCATGAAATAAGAAACTGAGTAACAGACTCTTTTCTCTTTATAGTGACAAGGAATTTTTCCTCACTGAGGTTTTTTTTATAGATATGAAGAATTTTTAATGAGTATCACTGCAGTGCTGAGCTAATTCTATAAAGTCACTCAGTGAAAGACTTCACAGATGAAGTCTTAGAGAGAGAGAAATATATAAGAAATTCTACTTCTTACAGATTCTTTACTTCTATTTCTATCTCTTATATAATTAATAGAGCTAGCAGCTCTTAACTACACACAACTATATAGACTGAAGTTTACAAATACTATTCATAACTCAGTTTGAATACTATTATACATTTAATCTCTATATTTTATCTTTCTATTATGAATACTTCTAGTAGTTAACAGTACATATCATGTCAAGCTGCAAACACCTGAATAATCACCTGCAAGCACATATTCTTACAAATAAGATTAATTAAATTGATAATAAGATCATTAAATATTCTAGTTCTGATTTCAGACACAGTTAGACTGATCATCAGAATTATGAATTTCATATTTGATTTCATTTAATCTAATCTCATACATTTCTTGATGTGAATTCTGCTGAGACTGACTATTAAAAAAACAGATAAAATGACTATATATCAGATCTTAAAATAAAACCATGACTTGAAAAAAATGAGAAAGTGATTTTATTTGATCTTATTTAGTCTCATTCTTGATATAAAGTTACTATTTTTAGACATTTTAAGGTTTTTTTAGACTATTTTTAATTTTTTAAAAAGTAACACTTTTTAGTAATACTCAAATGAGATTTAAAGTCATTTAAAGTAATAAAAATAATTTAAATTGAGAAGTAGAAATCATGATTTCATTTGAAAAATGTGATAAGAGTAGACAGTAAGTCTCACTGAGACAGTATAAAACTACTATCTAATGTTAAAACCATGTAATGAAATCAGTTGAATTGATAATGAAACTATCAAAAAATCTGATCCTAGTCTCAGACACAGTCACACGGTCAGTCTAGACACGGTCACACGGTTAGTCTAGTCCCGGCGGCTAGTCTAACTGGCACAGTACCTGCTCTTTCATTAATAGATAGTGTAGACTACTGAGGCAAAAGAGCTCAATCATCACCAGCGCACTGCTGATAGAAGAGCCGATCAACTGTGGAACTCTCAACACTCTCTCTCAGACCAGCTATCACAGAGTACAGTACTTTCTCTCAGTGACTCTCTTCAGTGATCTTCTCATAATGGCTTCTTTTTAATAATGAACTGAATCACTTAGTTCTAGAACTCACAGAACTTCTAGAGCACACTTCTAGAATATCTCTTGACACTGTTAAAATGTTCAGAGTATTTGTTAGGAATTTTTAAGTTCATTCTGAGATTGAACCCATGCATGTTGATCACAGCGAGGCTCATGCTTAACAGTCTCATAATCTGTAGACTACTGAGGCAAAAGAGCTCGATCACCACCAGCGCACTGCTGGTAGAAGAGCCGACCAACCGCGGGACCCTCAACAGATACAAACAAGTGAATCTCTGCAATCACTGACTATTTTCACTGCTCTTCAATCCGGTCTTGTCATTCCATTGTACCTGGGGCCTTGTCAAAATCCTTGAAAATCTCAGACAGATCAACTTCATCATCATTCAGTAGATCAGCATAGAATTCCCTCAAGTCACCAGAGAGACCCGGCTTCAAGACAGAGAAGTTCTCATGAGCTCAGGGAATCATCGAGCTCTGTCAGATCTTGGGCTGAGAGCACTTCATCGTTGGGATCGGGGGAAGGCAAGGAATGTGTAGGAACCGGGGGGGGGGCCACAAAACCACAACATGGCCAAGCGGCTGGCAGCGCACTAATAGATGGATGAGCAACTGGTTTGTGAGGAGATACACCCAGGGTTGAGGGAGCAGGAAAGACGGGAGGTGGGAGAAAGAGGAAGAGAGAAAGGGCACCTGGTAAACGACCGGAGAACAAAGAATCTCAAGGAAAGGTGGTCATTGGTACGTACCTAGGCAGGTTGGTGCCATCGTGACTCGGCCTGTGGTTAGGCCCATTGAATGGGATGCAGTGAGGTGAGGCCATTTTTGGTGCCCCTCGCAAGGCGTCAAGACGACGGACGCCTCGACGGGGTGAACTGAATTGCTGTAGCCGGACGGGACGTTGTTGGAAGATCGAGGTCACGTGTTCTCAGTAGCAAAAAAGTAGCAAAAAAAAGCAAAAAAGCGCTGCCCCTGACCCAACTTTTAATCCAGATTAAAATTTGGTTGTACCGCCAGCCCCACGGCGGTACCTGGCGCCATTCCCGAAACAGCCTAGGGGCGGGGCCGCGGGGGATTGGCTGACAGGACTGTTTGAGCTGTTTGAGATGTTTGAGGACGGTGACTGGCTGCGTGTTTGGGCGGTTTCGTTTCGGTTTTGTACGGTGTTTTCTTTCGTTTTGCTGCGGGGAGGATGGGATGGAGAGGGAGGGAGCCGTGATTGGCCGATGGGCGTGTTTATGTTCTCTTTGTTTTTGTGGGATGACATACAATGTATTGTTAAATAATTAAATAATAATAATAATACAAACCAACAATCTGAAGCCGTTTTCCCCTTCGCTTGGGGAGGGAGAGAGAGAAGGATTGGATGCTTAAAGTTAGCGGCGTACTACGCAGTACGGAGTATGTATGCCTATTATTATTGCTAGTCCCTCCCCAGGTTAGCCGGCGTTGGATTGGCCTGCTCACAGTGGCTCAGTTCTCACTATTCGCTGCGTAGGAAGAGTTGTGGCTGCACTTGCCATGTTCGCTGCTCAGCCCGCCCGCTCGCCCGCTACTCGCTCCCCCCCTTTGCCTTTGTCCGTCTTTTCTCCTTCTTCTTCTCCGTCGTCGTCCCCTTCTCCTCTTCTTCTTCTCTCAACCTCCAGTCCAGTCCGTCCTCCTCAATCCTCGCCCGCTGCTCTCCGTTTATCTTTCTCTCCCCACGTTCATTTCTACTTGTCATTCATTCATTCTTGCTTGCCTGGTTGCTCGTTGTCTTTCCTTCTTTCTTCTATCCCCCCCCCCCTCCTCCCCCTCTCTTCTTCTCTTCTTCTGTTATTATTCGCGAGCCATACCAGCCAAGATACACAGTCCTTTTACAGAGCCCCCAAGCAAGGTGCTCTTCACGAGAGAAATTTGACTGTACCTGGGCTATCATCGCGCAGTCGGGCCCTTGATTCTTTTGTTTTTCTTTTTTTTTTTTTTTTTTTTTTCCTATTTTACGATTTTTAGACATGCGATCCATTTGTTTCATGTATCTCACTTACCATCACGTCCGCGACTGATTTTCATCCCTACGCCGATAATCCGAGAGAGATAGTATAGTTTGTTAATGTAGATCGCCTCCAAATACTAATCGCAGTATTATCATCGATCGCACCTCCGCAAACATCAATCAACAAGAACAAATTCCTCTTCGAGCCTCGAGCGCACTGGTTGCTGCAACTAACATCCGTTTCATTCCTTCCCTTCTTCGTTGTGGGCCTGCTCTTCATCCGTCTGTCTTAAGGTAGTCAGTCAACTCTGCATTGCAGCCTCACGATCATCACGATGGCACATCAACATGACCACCACTGGGCCGCCCACAAAAGGGAATTGGGCAAGAGACAGAGACGTCCGGAAATCGTGTTTGTGACACTCCCTCCAGACTTTGAAGGTCCTATCGGGGGGTTTTTTACAGAGCATGCACCGGGCGTGGGACCCCCTGTCCGACCAACGAGGACACCAGAGCCTCGTCCCTCCAGGCGTCCCGCAAGCACCTCTGCCAGGCCTACGCCGAAAAGAACATCAACAACACCTGAGCGGCCCAAGTCTACCAAGGAGACTACGGCATCAAACAGGCCATCCAGAACTACAATGGCTACATCGACTTCAGACATCTCGTCGGATACCGTCAATACGCCCACTGGGTTTAATGAGTTTCGCCAAACCGGCACGGGTACCGGCTCACCAACAGCGATCACCTCATCTGATGTCTCCAGTGGCATGTCTGGCGGTGCAAAGGCAGGATTGGCAATAGGAATTATCCTGCTAATTGGCTTGATTGCGGGTGCTGCGTTGTTTTTCATCCGGAAGAAGAAACGGGATAAGTCGGAATTGACCGGTTTCGATACTGAAAAGCCGTTCGGCGCAGCAGCGCGTTCAGATTCTGGTCCTGGCCCTACTGTTGGCGGCAGTGACCCTCCCCCCATGACGCGAACGATGACCTCTCCAACTGCTCCCCAGCTGAATATTCGACCTATTACACAGTTTTCGCCCGACCTTGGTGGCCACACCACTCCAGGAAATGCGTTTAGCAGTGGCAATCTTGCTCCTGGTGTCGCCGCTGTTGGTGTTGCACGCAGTCTTACTGGGGAGAAGCCAGCGCCGCCGCCCAAAACATTCAACAATGATCCCAATCCCTTCAATGACCCGGTCAATCCCTTCGACAGCCCCGCGATCTCATCCGCGCCTGCAACGCCTGCGACACCTGCAACCCCTGCAACACCTGGAACTCCCAGAGTGCCTGCAGCATTTGCTTCAGGTGCACCACCTAGCCACATCCCATCCCCTGCCATTTCTGATGTCCGCACGCCCTCACCTGAAACCCTAGTTACCGGTGTTGCTGCAGTGGGCACTGCTGTTACTGCTGGAGCTGTTGGCGCCGTTGCAGTTCGCCGAAGCTTGAACGACGGAAAGCTCCAGGAACAGCCACGCGACGGCCCTGCTCCCGCAAGAGATTCTCCTCCTCCAGCTAGTCCCGCCATGAGCGTGGACTCTACCACAGCGTCTGCAGTTGCCGGCGCTGGCGCTGGTCCTGGTGCCGGTCCCGCTGGGCCTCCGAACGTTCATCGCGTCCAGCTTGACTTCTCCCCTTCGATGGAGGATGAACTTGAACTTCGAGCTGGACAACTTGTCCGCCTCATGCATGAATATGACGATGGCTGGGTAGGTTTCATTTTTTTTCCTTTCCCTTCACGGATCCCATAAATTTAATTGACAAAACTCTTACAAATAACAGGCCCTCTGCGTCCGTCTCGACCGTTCTGCGCAAGGCGTCGTTCCACGAACCTGCCTATCCTCCCGCCCCGTCCGACCCCGTCCCCGCAACCAATCCAATGCCGGTCCCCGTGGCCCACCACCAATGGGATACCCTCCTGGCGGTCCCCCTTCTGACAGCGGCCGTTCCATGTCCATGAGCAGCCAAATGTCTCATCACAGCCCCAACCCCAACGGCCCCTTAACTCCGCGCTTCCAGCCGCCTGCAAACGGCCGCCCGGCATCCCCAGCATCCCCCGCGCCATCTAGCTACCGCACATTCCCACCCCAACAACACCCACATCCCCATCAGCAACACCAAAATGGGCGCCCAATGTCACCCGCCCGGTTCCCGCATGTGCCACGCTCCCTCTCACCAGGTCCCGGACGCATCCCGCAGCCACGCTCCATGAGCCCCGGTCCCTACGGTCCCGGCGGCATGAATAAGCCAGCCATGTCTGCAACCGCCAACAGGAGACGAAGCCACAGTACCAGCGCAGCTATGGGGCCTGGTGGCAATCCCGCAGGACCAGCACCAGTGCCAATGCCAGCGCCACAAGGACAGGACCGACAACAGCAATTTGCCCTGCCATCTGCCACAGCTGGCTTTGGGGGGTATCCGGAACAGGTGATGCCGCCGCAACCACCGCAGGTGCAAGCGCAGCAGGCCCCAATGCCAGCACCGGCACCAGCGCCCATGCAGGCACAGGTAACTCCGGAACCATCGCGAAGCCCACCGATGTCGACGGAGCCTATTGAACGGAAACCGCTCCCCAGTCCAGCGCAGCAGTAAATTGAAATAGAATGAACATGAATAGGGCCACGAGTGAGAGATGAAATGTGGAGTACTTTTTCTTTTGGGTCCATGCTCCTGTTGTGAATGGATGGGGTGTATTATCTGACAGGAGAGACGAAAGATATATCCAGAAAACCAGCTCGAAAAAAAACCGAAAGAAATCGAAATCAACTAAAAAACATCCCCAACCTGAGAAGCTAATTTGGCAAAATTTCTATTTTTCTATTTCTCTATTTTTTCTATTTTCGATGGTGGAAGTGAATTTGATACCAGTTTACGGTTTACAGATTTTTCTTATTTTTTTCTGTATTTTTTTCTGTTTTTTACAACACTCTATTCCCCCCGTCCCCCTTCACCACACTGAGCTTATCCCCCTTTAGTTTCTTTCTTTCCCCGTGTATAAACCCAACCCCCCCTGTCTTTTTACCACTGTATTTTGTTGCTAGTTTTGCTTGCTAGATTTGCCTGATATTCCCGCCCCCTTCCTGGTGAATTTTCCCATCCTCTCTCCCCTTCTTAACTTTCCTTCACGCATATTTTTTTCTTGTGTCATACCATATGTATGTATGTATGGCACCTTAGCACTGTTCACCTTCACCTTTTATGTGGCAGGAGGGGTTTAGGTAAATTAAATAAATAAATAAATAAGTAAATAAATAAGTAAATGTGTAGTTATGAGAAGGTTGATTGATGATTGATTGATCTTGATGAGAGAGTGAGGGGTGAGAGAAGAAAGAGAGAAGATATCAGTAGCTGAGTGATTTGAAATGTGATTTAGATAGATTGTCTTGATTAGTTTTTCTCAGGTATGAATATAACTATTTTTTCTCTACATTTATCTTTACCTATTCCCAATTAATGCTAAGAATTTGGCATCTGAGATGTTCTTTTCGTCTAGCTAGTTATCTATCTATTACTGAGACTGATGGGTATGGTCATAGAAGAGAAAAAAAAAAAAAAAAGGAACGCTCACGAGCGAGGGAAGAACATCAGAAATAATAAACAACACAAAAGGGAGTATCTCTTTAACCTCTACTCTAATGAAAAACTAAACAAATATATAGAAGAAGTCTATATGTGGGAGTATGTATGTAAATCTTTGACATATGCAATAGGAAAAGTTCAGCAAAAAATGGCAAAAAACAACTCATGGTATCGTCACAGATGCGGAACCCCGGCACTGGCCAACGCTAGATTGATAATACTCACGACCCCCTCGCCCAATATGAGCCCAGACGCGAGAATCACCACCGTCGACCCAGCGTCGGAATCATCCTCCCCACCACCCGTCCTAGAGCCAGCAACATGTTCATCATCGTCTTTAACGGCAGACAGTACCCCCGCCGTGTCATCATCGCCCTCGTCAAACGGCCCCGTGAACAAACGCGCACGACTATCACCAACAACCCCGCTCCTCAACGGCGACAAGGGCCACCACCACCGCCGCTGGCGCCGTTGCTGCTGCCGCTTCCTCCACCTCCACCACCATGCAATAACGCCACCAATAGCCCTGGCCAGCGTGAACGACGGCACATTATACATACCCACGGCAACGGCAATGCCGCCTGGTATCCACGCGCGCCACGGCGGGCTTCTTCCCCTTCCTTCCCCGGCTTTCCCCGGTGAAAACGCAGGCGAAGCACTCATAATCCTCAAAACCGTAATGACCGAAAACACCACGCCTGCAATCGTGGCGGTCTGCCACGCCATCTCCGGCAGGCCCTGGCCCGTCACGAGCCGCGCGGTGAATATCCACACGTAGGCCGTGGGCACCTGGAACATGGGGCTGGGCACGTCGTAGACGGCGACGTATAATTTATAGACAGCGGCGGAGATCACGGCGCCGAAGAGGCTGCCGATTACTTGTCCGTAGAACTGCGCTTTGGGGCTGGCGCCGAGCAGGTGGCCTGTTTTCAGATCTTGCATCATGTCGCCGGCTTGCAGGGCGCCGGCTTCGGATACGGCGCCTGCGAGGAGGTTCGTAACGACTGCGGTGCGGCGCGTGTGGCTTGAGGCTGGCGTGGCGAAGGCGAAGATCAATTGGGTGAGTTTGCTGATGCCTGAAACGGGGTTCAGGTCCGTTTCGCCTAGGGCGCGCACGCCCATGACGGAGAGGAAGAGAGCGAGGAGGGTAGCAAGAGCTGAGAGGGCTGGAGTGATGAGGTTGCCGAAGCTGAGGTGCATGCATATGACATTGAGGACTAGGGTGAGAGGGAGGAGGATGAGGACTGTACGGGTGGAGATGAGCTCGGATGGAGGGGCGTCACTGTCGACGCTGTCCATTGCGTGCGGCGGGTGAATGGCGGTGTAACCTGTTCTACGAGAAGCGGGTTTGATAACATTGGCCCAGAAATCATTTCGGGTCATGTTATGTAGAAGAATTGGCCCGTGGGTGATCAACGGTCGGAGCACTAACCAGCCAAGGTTGATGATCGAGTCTGCGAGCATTATAGCAAGCGAAACCCATACAATCCAAGCTTTGCTGCCGTCTTCCCAGCTATCGACGGGTCCAGGAGCCCAGCCCCGATGTTTGGCAAGAGGGGATAGTATCCCCCATCCTAGAATCGCACCGACCAGCACATGTAGTGATGTGGAAGGGCCCATTATTATGCCTTGGCCGATGTATGCTGGAGAAGGATTAAGTGTCCACAGCCATTGAGTCGCAATCGGAAGACCAAAAATAGGGAGATCACGAAGCCGCGGGATAAAATATGAGACGAGGGTCTAGAAAAGTAAATCAGTAAACGTATTGAGGATTAAAAAATCGAATTGGAAGCCCTTTTACATATGTCGCAGAAACTCCAAACGCGTAGATTAACAATTTAATCTTCGCCTGCCAGTCTTTCCTGCTATCCCGCTCAGCAAGTTCTAGTCTTGAGATTGAATGCGAAGTGTCCTCCCGCTCATCGGGAGCTAGCAACGTCACGCGCTCTCGCTCATGCGCTGAGTTTGACCTTGACCTTCTCCTCCTCCTCCTCTGCTCACTAGCAATGCCCACAGCCTTCCCCTTCTCCTCTGTCTGTCCACCGCCATGTAGCACTCTAATCATCAATGCTGTCGCCGTCCCACTCGGAAACTTCAGCTTCTCCCTCACAATAACCTCCTTCCGTAACGGCACCGCAAAAACAACCCCGAATAAACACACACCCAAACTCCAAACAACTAATTTCCCAAACGAAAGCTTCAATGGGCCCCCTTCACCCTGTCCATCATCGGCCCCTCGGTCTCCATCAGGCCCATCTCGCAGCAAGAACTCCATAGACGGTATGACGCCCACAAATCCACAACCCAGTGGCATTGATCCGACGGCGCCCGCAACAGTTTGGATCAGAACGTTTTCTACTGGCGTAAATGGGAATGAAAGATGGCGAGAAAGGGCCTTGAAGGCCGCAAACCCTATTAGTGACGAGGGCATGGCCATGGTGCTGATCCAACCAGTCTGAAGGCCGAAGTACGTGTTGGAGAAAGTGATGAGAGTGCCAATTACGAGGCCCATGAGGAGGGATCGGGTGGTAAAGCTCTGCGCGGAGGTTCTCGAAGCTCGCAATCTGTCCGCGCTGGAGTCACCGGGAAACCGGCTATCATGTTGGATGTCGCCGTGATGGTCACCATCTTCATGGTTGCTGTCTTGATCTGAATGCGTTTCCTCATTGTGGCTTGAAGACATTAACCCTGGGGATTGGAACTGTCTCACAGGATAACTATGGCTTTCCAGGCCCTCGCGGTTGGATAATGAGGGACCTGTCCCACCCATTTTCTAGTAGTTTCAAAAAATGATAACCTGCGAGACCTTGGGCAATCAATCCCGGTGAGCAACACGGGGTAACCGGCAACCACAGCCTCAGGCTCGTGGAAGATATATATTATAAAATTCCAACAGATCGCCTAACCCCCATGATTAGAGAGCGGGGAGTTCTGATATACGAGGTTGCGATGACGAGCTTGCAGACCCGAGCCAGCAGATTACTAATGAGCTCCAGATGACTAATAACGCAATTAATGCTCCGGATGCAATACAGAGGGAATTAAAGATAGAAATAGATTATTTCCTTAGATAAAGTAATGAAGGCAGCTTTATTAATACACACAAGCCTTGAACAGCTGACCAGCATGCAGAAACAAGGAGTAGTTGTAAATCGGAAGGGATACAAACGCCTAGATGATAAAAGCCAAGCAAGCCCCTTGCGAATGCACCAATGAGCCGAAAAACCCGCAGCTAATCCCTGAAATGAATATCTCTAAATGATATAATTTAATCAATTAAAATCCAAAGCTATCCAACAACGCATTTGAATCCGGTTCCTCAAAGGTCGTCCCCGCCTCATACCTTCCACCCTGAGCAGATAGGGAACCTTTCAACTCTTCCTGAAGCGTAGGCATATCAGCCACAACCAGACTGCTCCTTCTCCTCAGCAGCTTCCTTAGATCCGGCGCTTTAAATGATAGACGCGAAGATTGAGTCTTGCTAAGGGGCGCGGAAGGTTTAAGGAACTCCCATTCGCGCACAAGATTGAGACCTAGCAGGTCGCAGCCCATTCGGTCATACAACCGCGCGTTGCGCAGGACGAATTCCCATTCGTCCCTTGCAGGGACTTTAGCGGCACCTTTCAGCGTCTGCGTAGTCTTATCGCGGAGTTGTTTGTAAAGGATGACCAGAGCTGGGTCGTGGGCCAGGTATGATTTTGCCTGGAGAGTGATTGCGCCTGGGCTAGTGGGAGACGATGGAGTGGATAGGATGAGGTTTCCGATTGGCGACTGTGCGATCAAGGTAGTTAGTTAACGGGTTTCCCCATGGCTCATGTTTGCTTTTTTCTTTGTGGAAACAATTGTCGAACTTACAATCAATGTCCGTACAGCCAAGTCTCGTCGATTGAGCAGCCAAAATGCCCATGTAGCCATCCATCGGTTGCCTTCGGAAGCAGCATCGACAAGAACCCTTTCCTCTAGAATCTCCTTAAGTACAGGTCCATCGTCCCCCTCGTAGGCGCGTGTAATCGCAACAGCCAACTGCACATCCTGGAGTTGGTTCATGCACACATAAACGGCATCGCGCAAGTGGTCGGCTAGGAGAAAGAAGGCAGCAGCGTACTCTATCATTGCGTTTATCTAGCTGTTAGTAAACTACTTCCTGACATGTTCCTCGAAGATATGAAGTAGGGCTCGTACCAAATCTTCGTTTTCCGAGCAATGCGTAGGCATTTTTGAGTGCCGCCGTTCGCCACCTCGGTTCGCTAAAGTTATTGCTCAATAGTCGTTGGGTGGCAGACTGTTCACGATTCCAGCTTGCCATTCGCCAAAGCCCCTGTAGAACGCTCTTCTTCCTGAGTGCAAGATAATAAAGACTACAGTCGATGGGATTCTTTTCCTGGCTTTTGGTATATTCATTGCGGGCGATGACCTCGAGTTGAGCTCGCTAGAAGGGACAACAAAAGTTAGACTAAAGATGTCCCGTTATAAATAAAGTGAAGCTGAACGATTGATTACTCACTAGAGAATTTAAATCCGTAATCCACATGAAAATCCCACTCTCTTTCGCGTGTTCCCAAAGCATTTTCCCCTGATATTGCCTAGAGACGAGATCTACGAGGATTTCATGGCTATCGCTGTGTAACGCCCATACAATCTCCCTCCAGGAAACAGTGGGTTGTTCAGGAAGCCCCTGGCTTCTCCGTAGCATGTGTTGACGGAAGAAAAGTAGGTACCGCGCAGCATTGTCGTCCATCGAGCGTCGATGCTTATCGACGGTTGCTACACACTCAATAATGTTCACGAGGCGGAATTGTTCGGTGCTTGTTAGTTGAGGCAGTGCGACTCGCATTAGATTTTCATTTAGTGCGGTTCCCAGCGTCTCGTCCACAACAGAAGATTCACCACCAGTGGCGAAATCGGCATAAGGTGAGTGCATTTCTTTCCAGTGGACCTTTTTCAACGTCTATGTTGCCAACCGTTAGTTTATTCGTCCGCACATATACACAACTAGAAAGCCTGAGAAACTTACATCTGCATTTTGATATATATCTTCAAGCGGAATATCCAAGAACCCATCAATCTCATCACCTTCGGTATAAAACTTAAGCTTTTGATAGAGGCTTGTGAGAATTAAATGCACGAGATTTGATTTTCCGGAAAGTATGCACTGCGACAAGAATTGCGGATGAAATACTGGTAATGTGCCATTCAACCGACTGACAACGTCAAAGAGATCCACATATATCTGTCGCGCTGGAAGGCGAACATTGGTGATCAATTGGTTACTAAGTTCAATATGCTTGTCGTAGACGAACAGTTGATTGCCAGAGCCAACAACAAGATTGCCGTTGCCGAGCCAGCAAGAGTCACCAACCGGATGGGGTGTTAGATCCTGGATCCGAATTTCCCGAATCTGCGTCCAGGATGGTCCAGCATCAAGGTAGTCATATCGCAGCTGGGACATGAGAATGACTTTGTGGGGAAATCCAACAGACAGTATAGATTGAATATGCGGTGTTGACGTCCAGTCCAAGTCCTTGATAATATCCTGTTGTGAAAAGTTCTCTTCGAACTCCAGCTGAGCTCCGTAGGTATCCCATATTGTGAGACGTGTCCGATCTTGGTCAACGATAGCCGCCTTGCGCATTGAGGCACCGCTGGCGAGCGATGGATTGCATATCCCTGTTTCAACCGTAGAAGTTAACAGCCAGTCAATTTTCTCATTCTGTTTATCGACCTTGGCTGTCCACGTCCTAACTCTCCCGCTATATGTGTAAGACAGAGCTATGTCGGTTGCGAACAGATCAAGGAAACCGGAAATCATCATCGAAGAACCGGCCGGATCAATGGGTAAAATATATGCGATATCTTCATCCACGCCTAGGTTAAATGTACAAAATTGGCGCATTTTAGGATGATAGAATCCATTCGCCCCATTCGCAACGACATGCTCCTCGGGAAGGTCAATTTCCCAGGCGACTCCAGTCATATCGGCAGCAATAGCTGCCACGTATACAGTTGAAGAATTCGCCTCAGAAGTCGGTAGGAGCAAAACACAAAGGGGTTTTGACGATAACCCGAAATCACATGTTGCTAGCCTTTCCGCGTAGAATGAGCGAGTATCCCAAAGAGAAATACTATCATGATGTAGATTAACCAGGAATTTCCCCTCTCCAATCAGACAGGTACGATGAATATGGAGATCGGAATAGAGAGAGCTCTGCCGAACAAGAACAGGGCCAGAACTACTAGCTCTCTGTCGCCATATCATAGCCTTGTTGTCGTCGGTACGCGAAACTAGAATTTTCCCGCTCGCATTACGTACGATCTTCTTGATGGATCCCGTATGTCCAGACCAGACAGCTCTTGAAGTCAACCGCTTCTTTCGCGGAGATGGGTCAAATAAAGCTTCCACTTTGGAGTCCAACCACTCGATTCGCCCGTCAAAGTAATGGACTAAAATCGTAAACGAGTCTTCCGATAATCCACCAGCAAAACCGTAAAATTGAGCATAGTCGTCGCCCGGTTTAATACCGGAAGCAAATGAAAGATGCAGCCCTTCAACATGCGTTATATTGAACACACTTGTCGGTGACCGGACTTTGCATCCGACATTCTCAAGACCCCAAGCAGACATGTGTCCCCTGCCATCCATGACAATAGACACTTCCGGACTCTTAGTTGCCACTTCCACAAGATGTTCGAGAGCTCGATTATCCCGCTCCTGTGCAGCCCCTAACTGTACGGCATGTTCTGTAGCGACGGAAAAATCCCGCCCGTCAATTATGAACCCATACCTTCTTTTCGCAAACTCACTATTATTAGGTTGCCTCGGCTGAATTGCAGTGTCCATATCGATCTCCGCCCAAAGCTGAAGTGCTGACTTGGAGCCCGTCCGATCCATGCCCGCCCAAACCCGTATCTTATTATCGGCGCATATCGTATAAAGAATATTGTCCATCGTCTGTTCCGGATGGTATGGCCGCCGCCAATGCATGCTTGTCACAGTGTCCGGGTGAGGAAGGTAAGAAACCTCGAACCGAACCTCGTCCGTGCTGAAGGTGAGCCGCTTCCATACCTTTACCAGACGATCGTATTGGCCAGTCGAGGCAATCAAGCTAGCGTCGTGGGAAAATTGCGCAAACTTCACTGGGTTGGCGACGCTTTTCATCCAAATGATTTGCGGTTTATCTGTGAGTAGCCATAGAGCTAGGCGCGAGTTACCGGCTAGGAGCTCGCCCGCAGCGCCCCATGACAGCACATTTATCCGCTCATCGTCGTCCGGGGCGCGAAGCTTGTGACATAGACTCCACTAGCAATAGCACGTCAGTTAGCAATTGCCCGACCATTGTAAACCACAGCTCCTTCATATACCATTATCCAAAGTCCAAAACGAAATGGGAATATCGAGAGTATCTGCTAACCTTCCAAATATTATCGCCAACACAGCAGGGGTTAAAGACAGAAATATCTGAGCCCCCAGCAACGGCGATTCTCCCCGAAGCTTCATCAATCAAGACAGCTTCGAGAGGTCCCGTGTCATCGAGATAAATGGTTTGTAAAAGTTTGTGCGCTCCGCTGAGGATAACCAGCGCTTGGCCGGAGATGTAGCACTAGACAACGCGGGCGCAAACAAAAACGATGTCAGCGAATTCTGTGCCGCGTTGATATACTCTTCACGAGTGAATTCCAGTTACTCAAAAAGTGTTATACTTACAACAATCCGGATATTTTTCCACAGCGCGGTGCTCAGAGCCTGTAGTTTCGCCGGGGGTCGCCCGGGTAGTAGAGCTCGCATCGGAACGCTCGAAGACGCCAGTGTGACTGTCGCGGTCCGTTATACCATCCTCGACGAAAGTGGGTTTATCCAGAGACCGCATATACCTCGAAGATACGTTATAAATTGTCGGTAGCTTGTGTTAAAGGTAGCTGCTAGCTGTGAGATGCAATGATGCGAATGTCTTGAGGTCAGTTGATGCACGAGAGTTGTGTGTAGTCAGCACAGCACGACCCACGACGTCACCGAGTCGAAAATCATTCCAACGCCCAATGTGATGATGGCGGAAATCGCCGCTAAATATGATGTTTCTGCGGACATCCAATGAATGAAACATTTACACACATTTTTGAAGGCATTTCTACGTTTGAGGTCCACTTAGCTAAATGTATCTCATTCTTCCTTGCATGTGTGTTTATATAGGCTAGTTGTGCGCTCATGAGACACCTCCAGAGGTCGCTAAATCAACTAAATAATCCACCCGTTCACCTGAGCAATCATGTGTGAAGTCTGATGACAATGAACACTACTCCGCGGTATCAAAGGAAAAATAAATCAAACCCTCACCCAAAGTATAGGCGGTATTTATACAAACCCAAGGTATCCTGACAAGTATCCAAAGCGCGCTCGTCTCATATCAATCCAACCAAATTCAGTTATACAGACAGGAAAAGAACGTTAACCATACTCCCAATCCCAAGCGTATAGAAGAAAGAAAATCAGCTGGGTCTGTTCATAGATCTTCGCTTGGTCGGAGACTCAGGTTCATCGCCGACATCACCATCATCATCGCCATCGCCATCGCCATCGCCGGCGTCATCATCATCATTATCATCATCATCAACATCAGCAAACCGTACAATATTACCCAGTGAGCTCCGTCGAGTATGAACAGTACTGCTCCCTCTGTTCTGCGAAAGCTGTCGCGGTTCAGTTCGCACCTGTTGCTGCGCCCTTAAACGGGCCGCGAATGGCGTTCTTATGGGCGTAGCTGGGGTGGTAGAGACCTGCGCGAGTGCCCTAGCCCGGGCGGCTCGCTTCGATGGGCTATTCAGATAACCAGGTGTGGGTAATGGGGTTTGTGCTGTAAAGGCTGGAAGCGGGCCCAGTTCGCTCAGGGTCAGGGTTGAATCCACTAAAGGCCACGCTTCATTTGTCCGGTGCGGTGTTGGGGTGACATTGGTGTAATCATAATCGATACCTCCTGCTCCAGGTGTATGGTATCCGGGTAACTCTCCGCCTCTCTCATCCAACAATCGTGTCACCTTCCCGTACCAATGCTTGAACATATTTCTGAGATGCTTGCGGAGGTTTCGCTCATGCAGAGCATCAGCAGTCTCCAAGCTGGCTTTCATTTGAAAAATACGCAGAGAGAGTTTGCGGAGTTGGGTTGCGCCTAATGCAGAGACGTGTATTTCTTGGAATTGGATAGCCTTATCATTCTGAGCGCGAATTTTAGTAAGTAGCCCAACCATCCGCGTAAGGTAGCTATAGGCTAGTTGTCGACTATAATATATCTCCGAATCACGCACGTTCGCTCGCCGTCGCGCAGTTGCCGCACGCCACTTATCAAACAGCCCAATCCCTAGTTTGAATAACCGGTTCCGATCCATGTCATCAGCCTGGCGTTCCAAGTTTGAATTAGCAACTGCTTTGGATCGCAAGGCTGAAAGCGCCGTGCCAGCTAGGTTCATTTTGATCTTTCGCCTGACTGCCGCGTAGGCATCTTGACGTCGCTTTTTCGACGAATCTGCTGTGGCAGTGCGCCATTGCTTAAGACACCCCGTCATGAGAAGATAGAAACGAGCATCCTCCGCCCAGGACTCCAATTCAGAAACGTGACGCATCTTCCTCCTCCATATGTCGAGAGTTTCCTGTTCAATTCTGGGAGCGTAAAACGCAAAGGCGACATGATCGCGCCGTCTTTGAGTGGCAAGCTTCTCTCGCCAATCATACATTTTTGACCGCAGTAACTCTCTTGAACGATGGGCGCGGAAATCTTCTTCCTGGCGCAGAAGCCGTGTATATATCCCCCGTGAATTGAAGGTTAATCTCGCCAGCATCTCGCGTTTTAGGCGTTGTTCGTGAATTCTACTCATCAGACGGAACCGCGCAATCAGCACCCATTTATACAACGCCTGCAGAACGATACGCTCGTCTATGCGGGAGGAAAGCGCCAGGCAGCGCAGATCATCGTTCCATGTTGTCCATGCATTGCGCATAACACGGAGACGGTCAACTTCTCGTGCATGTCTCGACATGCGTGCTTGTAACGCCCATGTCTTGAGTGAGGAACGGAGTATTCTCGAGTTGACGGAAGCTGAGACCTTGATAGCGACGGGCTCTAGGTGAGTTCGAATGCGCCATTCTGAAAAACATTTCCCAGCGAGTTCGACCTTCCACTGGCTATCGGCCTGCAGTTGAGCCGAAACAATGGAACGCGTCTTCTGAGACCATTTCTTGAAAACTGCCTTAAGCCAAGTCTGCTTGGCATCCATGTCTATCTCCTGGTCACGCTCCCTTTGGGTTCGTAATGCCCGGAGCCATGATAGTAGTGATTTATGCTTCAAGCGATAATCCCTCCATTGAGGGGCACGCCGATCGCAGAATGTCCAGAACCATTTCCAATACGCAGACCTCGCAAGATTTTCATGATAAACACTAACAGCCTTGGTATCGTCGTTCCGGAACCGCTGAACCTTAGTCTTCCACGCTTTGAACGGCTTCATCAACGCAAGTCGTTGGGCTTTCATCTCGTTTACCGCGGTTATCTCCCTCCAGGCACTAAAGTACTTTATGCAGAGGATATGCCGTCTGGCAGCAGAAGTTTTCTCTACCTCATCCGAAGTAACTTGAGCCCAATGAGTGAATGCTTTCGTCATTAAATACAAATCCCGAGCTCGTGCAGCACGCTTCTCAAGATGTTTAAAGAATCGTACCGTCTGGGCTTCTTGGCGTTTCTGTCGCAATGTTGTTCGCCAAATGTCGAACGCCTGGCGCTGGAGGGTGGATGCATCATGCTTGGAAGCTATTTTTTGCATATTGTTAAAGTTTTGCTGTTTTCGTTTTGCGCGTTCTGACCATTCAGTAAATATTCGTCGAACAGCACCGCGCTGTCGGTACATGTTGAATGTGGACGCATCACGGAGAAGGTGGGATAGAGAAGGCTGGTATATTAGCTCTGGTGGTACTTGAACTCCGGGTATAATATCGTCATGTTCAAGAGGCTCATCATCGGATCCGTCGCTGCTATCAAGCGATAAACGATTTGGTTTGATGTGGTTCGTAACTTTGTTTTCATTTACACCAATGTTCAAACGTGGCGCATTTAGATTTCCATGAGATTGCCCGGGTTGGGCAATAATTGCACGAGCATGAGATTGACGACGAGTAGTATTCACCGTAGCTCTATTGTCTGTCATCCTGCTTCCCGTTTCCAAATTCGCGGGTGCAGGTGTGTGGCTAACGGGATCCTCACCGCTGCTGGGGGACGGAGATAATATTCTCGTCCCGAGTTCCAGCCTCGACACCGAAGATCTAGAGCTAGGTCGATAGATGCTCCTTTGTGTAGTTTCATTGGCAGCATCGTACATTGAATTGAACGAGGCTCGCCTTGTGCGCTGTCCTCTAAGAGTTGGGTACCGATTCGGTTGCCATTGCTCAGCATGCTCTTCCTCGGCCTGCGCATCGTTGGTTTCTGGATCCGCAGTGGTGACTTCGTCAGCTCTAACCCCCTCTCTTGCCTCGTCGTCATACTCGAGCTTAATGCCCATTCGCAACAAAAGCATCTCGAATTTTTCAGAGAGCGTATCACCCGGCACCGACTTGCCTCCAAGCTGGAATAGAAAGCGCAGGTACGTCCGATCCGTTTCCGCCACGATGCCATTTTCTGACAACACGGAGTCATACGCGGTGAATATAGCGCGAAAGCGGTGTCGGTGGACGTCGGGCTGCTGCTCCGCGCGGGAGATGATCTGGAGGAGGATGTTGACATCTTCATAAACATCAAGTCAGTGACATAACTCCTATGAAATGGCCCTTGTGAAACGAGGCTGAAGGACACTAACCTTGATCTGAAAGAGATAATTGCTCGTCCAGTACGACTTGGTGGTCGCGAGGTGGATGCATCGAGCGTTTCGCGACCTATGGTGCGTTGTTTGATACATAGAGGCGATGCAAACAACTTATCGTATTGCAAGAGCTCGAACACTTCGGTGGGAAGACGCAATGAACACCCGCATGCATGATTCTATCCAGTACATCGAATTCCCATGAGCTGGGTCTGGTTGCGGGGAGACATCAATTATTATTATTATTATTATGTAGTGGACGGGACGGTCAGTTCTCCGCTGCGGCGAAGCCTTTATTTTGGCGCTTGTTCTCCCGCCAACGCGCCAGGATGGTGGTCGCAAGCTTATGTAATCTCAGGACCTGCCGATTTTTTCTTTAACGGAAGAGAGCCACGAGGCCTGATAACCAGGATTCCTCCAGGCCGAGTGCGGACATATAATAGCTATCGGGAATCCATCACAGTCACTCCGAATATGACCGGGAGAATAAGGCCAATTGAGAAGTTCGCGAAAGCCACAGCCCAATGCTCTGCGCAGGTTCGTACATCGACCTGTCCCGAAAAGGTTACCACTGACTGATTCTGTTACTGCAGGCGACAGCATACGGCAAATGCGTTTTCGCTGATTATAATGCGGTCCGGAAGGATATGTGCGCCAAGGAGTTTATGAAACTGAAGGACTGTTATCTGGTACAATCCACATTCTTGTTGGGCTCCCTGGCGAAGTGGAAGCTAACTAACTGGTTGAACAACACAGGCAGCGGCAAAGAAACTATGAGAAACCTCCACTAGAATGGCTATCACATCATTAATGTGAAAAGAACTCGCAAGATATGTGCATCATATGATCTCCCGGTTTACATGTACTATACAATATTGAAATCAATTATATATAGAAGAAAAGTAAAATTTCATCCGATTCATAATATCTAAAGAAACCAACTACCCTTTCAACATCCCTAAAAACGACCAACCGCAGGACCGAGTTTCTATCATGAAAACCCCTCGTCTTTTTAGCTATATTGTCTTGGTCTTCTTTGGGGAAACAATTCTAACTATAGCTTCACCAGTCGAAGCAAGAAAGTCGCCTTGTGCACTTCCTGCTCCTCTTCTAAAATGATACCCTCTTCCTCGCCTTCGGGCGCCTTCCCTTCTACCTCCGTGACTATATGTTGGTCAATCGGTCTACGCAAAGCTTTTTCAATCGCCTTTGATTGCGTCTGGAAAACGTGCTCAATGCCAATATTATCAGGGTCAGAGATGACCCGATACTCCATTCCCACGTCATCAGTTGGAACCAATCCCGCCTTCTTCCGCAGCCGTTGGACACGGTTCACGATTTCCCTTGCTAACCCTTCCTCAGCTAGCTCAGGGTACAAAACTGCGTCCAAGATGATAAGTACATCATCATCGGTATTCGTTTCGAAGTCCTTGGAAGATGCGTCGTCCTTCAAGCCGCGTTTGATCACCAGATCTCCTTCAACAAGCTCAATGCCGTCCACCACGATTTTCTTGTCAGTGACAAATCTCTTAACATCGTTGCTTGAAAGAGATGGTAGCGCTTTCTTGACCTTTTGTGCATCTTTCTTCAGTTTCTTGCCCAGGGTTGGCCAATCTGCCGTGACACTGTACTGGACATTGTACTTATCCTCATCGGACGAGAGGATCAGATCCCGGATATTGAGCTCTTCCAAAATGTAACTCTCAAGGGATCGCACATCATCGAGGTATTGCTGGTCCTGGTGGATCACGACGAGCGTCTTCAGGGGCGACTTGAGGCCAATGCTTCTGCGTTCACGTGCAATACGACCAAGCTCAATCACCTTCTGCATCCTTCCGACTTGCCTCTCAATGACGTCATCGAAGAGCTCTTCACGAACTTCTGGGAAGGGGAGGAAATGGACACTGCGATTATCTTCGGCTTGAAGGGATTTGGGTATATGCGGGAGCAGTCGAAGGTAGATATTATCGGTAATGAAAGGCGTAAAAGGTGCGAGGCCGCGCACTAAGGTGTAAAGGACCTCGAAAAGTGTATTCAGGGCATGTAAAGTGTCGTCCAATCCAAGTTCTCCCTTCAGTCTCTTACGGTTGAACCGAATGTACCAGTTGGTGGTGTTATCAATCAGTCCCAGAAGTCTCGGAACAACAGTGTAAAGCCGGTACCCAGCCATCTCCTGATTGACAAATTGGAGTAGACTCTGGCAGCTGGCCAAAATCCAGCGATCCATAACATTAGTGTTAGTCGCTTCAGCCGCCGGGTCGAACACATACTCCACCTCCTCCACCTTCTTCAGCAGCGCAACCTGAGCTTCGAAGAACTTATAGCTATTCCACAAGGGAAGTAGAACTTTAGCGACAATTTCCTTAACACCTGATTCCTTGAATCTAAGTGGCTCTGCGCGAACTACCGGGGAGTTAATGAGGTACAGCCGAAGGGGGTCAGACCCATAGCGATCCATAATGAGAGTTGGATCTGGGTAGTTTTTCAATCGCTTGGACATCTTCTTGCCGTCCTCAGCAAGAACAATTCCATTCACAACACAGTTCTTGAATGGCAGCTTTCCGTACAGGTGCGTGCCGATGACAGCGAGTGTATAAAACCATCCACGAGTCTGGTCAAGACCTTCTGCGATGAAATCACCTGGGAACGATTTTTCGAACTGCTCTTTGTTCTCAAAAGGGTAATGCTGGGAAGCATACGGCATGCTTCCTGATTCGAACCAACAATCCAGAACCTCTTCAACTCTTCGTAATACACCCTTCCCTTGCTTGCTTGGGATAGTGATATGGTCAATCTTATCACGATGTAGGTCCGTAAGTTCACCGGTGTATCCACTCAGCTGCTTCAGCTCCTCAACGCTCCCAATGGCTATGATTTCTTTGAAGTCTTCGCTAGCCCACAGCGGGATCGGGGTTCCCCAGTATCGATTTCTGGATATGTTCCAATCCCTTGCGTTCGCAATCCAGCTCGCAAATCGTTTATCTTTGACAAAGGAAGGGACCCAATAGGAATCCGCAATTCCTTGAAGCATTTGGGGAATGATGGGACCGATTTTGACGAACCACGAGGGCACAGCTCTATAGATGAGTGGGGTGTCGGATCTCCAGCAGAATGGATAGCTATGCGTGATCTGGGCATCAACGACCAGCCGTCCAGCTGCCTTCAAGTGTTTTATAATAGCTTTGTCCGCCACTTTGACATGTTGACCAGCAAAATCTCGAACCTCAGATGTAAAACAACCCCTCTCGTCAACTGGGTTTGGCGGCAGCCGTGTATCACTAATGACGCCATTCTCGACAGCCACATTGTAATCTTCTTCACCAAAGGCGGGAGCCTGATGAACTAAACCAACACCATCCTCTGCTGTGACATATGTCGCAGTGACCACTCGAAACCCTACATCCTTAAACCCCTCATAAAAGTAGTCAAAGAGAGGTTGGTATCTCCATCCTTTCATGGTTGATCCCTTGAAGCGCTCAAGAACTTTGTATTTCGCTTTTTTGGGGTCCTTATATAGTGTCCGGAGTAAGGACTCGATAAGGATATAATTATTTCCTGATGCGGCATCATGGATCTTAACATATTCGAAATCGGGGTGTGCAGCAAGCGATGTATGCGACGGCAAAGTCCACGGAGTAGTTGTCCAGGCGAGGAGATTTGTCTGAGGATCATCAAGGAGCGGGAAGGAAACCACGATTGCAGGGTCTTGGACGTCTTTATAGTTTTGCTGTGCCTCAAAGTTACTCAACGGGGTGTTAAGTGCCGTTGAGTAAGGCATGACTCTGTAACCACGATAGATCACCCCCTTATCAAATAGCTGCTTCACTATCCACCAAAGGCTCTCCATATATGAAGTATCCATAGTCTACTCCAAGAATTATCAGTCCTCACGTTTCTAACAGCAATGCAAAGAAATACCTTTCAGAAGACGTGGTAAGATACGGGGAGAGAAAAGTATCCCTACCTTGTAATCATTGTCAAAATCGATCCAGCGTCCAAGCCTGTCAATGGTCTGCCTCCATTCCGCAGCAAACCTCATGACAATCGCTCTGCACTCTGCATTGTATTTTTCTAGACCTAGTTTCTCCACCGCTTCGGATCCAGACATGCCGAGGGCTTTGTCGATTTCATATTCGATTGGAACGCCATGAGTATCCCAGCCAAACCTTCGCTCGACGTAACGTCCCTTCATAGACCAATATCTTGGAATGATGTCCTTTATGGTAGAAGCCAGTAGATGGCCGTAGTGTGGAAGTCCTGTCGCAAAGGGAGGTCCATCGTAGAACGTATATGGGGTTCTTCCTCGTGACAGTTCGACCTGTCTCTCAAAGGCCCCAATTTCCTTCCATCGTTTGAGGACGGCCTCCTCTTCCTTTGGAAAGTCAACAGCCATCGCCAAACGGGTGTCTGGGGGTAATTTGCTGCGATTGCGTTCTCCAAAGTGTGGTGTGGGAAGCGGCGGGTGTTGATGAAAGAATATTGTGAGTCAAAAAAGGTTTGAGTTGGCGATGGATGTTAGTTATTTACCCCACCCACCACATTGATTTCTGGATGACTCGTCGTTGGAGGGGTCACTAATAATATTTAACAGAGGAATTCTGGTCCAATAAAAACAATAATCATTAAGTTATCATGAAACACACACATATGTATATGTAATCACGCTATCTAACCCTAGAAATATTTCAAATACTAAAGCTCATGTGTCGTGTGGAGGTATCAATTAGCTACAGCAGTGTGGAAAAACACATATATAAGATGTTGAAATCCTCAATCCGCTTCTCCGTCGTCGTCATCATCATCGTCCTCTTCTATATCGGAGACCTCTTCGCCAAGTTCCTTTAAGCGTTTCTATGATTGGGGGTTAGTCCAGGTCTCGCATGCGAATAGCTCAATGAAACCTTACCTTTTCCTGGTTGCGCTTCGATTCCAAGTCGCTGAAAACGATCAATAGATCCTCCAGCTCTCCTTGCACAGCCTTCCGAGCCTCCTCCTTGTCTTGTAATTCGGCCTTGTGTGCTTCCAGGGCGGCCTGTGCGGCCTTAAGTTCCCTTTCAGCCTTTGCGGCACGTTCAGTAGCTTCCTCAGCGCGCTCTTCTGCCCTTTGACTCCGAGCTTCCAACGACGACAGCTTCGAGGAATACTCCTCATGAGCAGTTTGAAGGTCCTGTATATGATCTTTCCCGGCCTTCTCAAGGCTTGCCTCCAGATCTTGTATGGTCTTTTTCAAATCCGCAACTTCAGCTTCATGTCGATCCCGTATCTTCGCAGCTTTTTTTTCATGTTCCTCGGATGTCTGCTTGAGTTGTGAGTCAATAGTTCGTAACTGTTCTCCGTGCTGTCGGAGTAGGTCGTTGTGAGACTGCCTGTTCCGCTCCTCGAGTGTTCTCACCTCCTCTTCATGATTTCTCTGAAGAGTTTCGTTAAGATGTTTTATTCGATCGAGCTCAAGAGTAGTTGAATCTTTCGTCTTCCTGTGGTCCAGTTGCTCTTGTTCCAATTTTCTCTCTAGGGTAAGTAGATCCGATTCTAGTTTTTGAATCGCCTGCCCTTTATCCTCTACCTGCGCTCGAAGGGTATCCACCAACTCACGCGATATTCCCTTCTGGATGCCATTGGCAATGACAGGCACCTCGAATCCGGGATCGCGGTCGATAGCGCGGATCAAGCGGCTAAAGTTGTCTTTTAGGAAGTCGATGAACGTTTTATCGAAGTATACTTCAGGTAGTCCATCATAGGCAAGTTGCGATGACTGTGGGAGAACTTCAAAATCTCGCACTAATGACAGCTCGCGAAGTTTTGTGATCTTATCGATGTATTGCTCCCTTCCCAAACCGCTCGTTAAAACCTGGTGTAATTTTGGGCGCGGGATTGGAGAGTCTTTGGTTGAAAATTCATAGATGATCCCAAGAAGAATAGCTGAAAGGCCAGGGAGTAGTGTCTTGGATGAAGTACTCTGGTTTGTTTCCTGTATAAGCCTCTGAACAATGCTTCCCTCTCCAAGGAAATCGTCAACGACGTCTGGGTCCTCATAGAGCCAACCACAAAGAAGCATCAAATAGCCCACGGATATCCGTTCATCATCATTCCTCTGCATGCCCGTGATCAAATTCCCCGCTATGGCTTGAACGCAAGTAATAACTTCCTCACCACTTGACTCATCTCCTTCAGTCACTTTCATGGCAAGAGATTTCGCTTCTGCATCCTCAAAAACCAGATGAAACAGTAAAACAGCCGCTAGCCAGGGTTGATACGGATCAGCGTTCCCTCTACTAGCTGGAGGCTGCAGAAGGAGTGTAAAGATATTTGCAATTCGGTCTTCCCCGCTAGTATGTCCATCGATTGCTCTGCGGAGAAAGTGGAGTCGAATTCCAGAATGATTTGTGAAAAACGCCTTGACACACTCACAGGCAGCCAGTCTAGCATCGAGAAAATGAACGGATTCTGACTCCAGTGTTAACCCAAGAAGCGCCTCGATTACATTAAGCTTCTCGTATGTGTTTGCTTTTGAAGCACCATTCGTAAGTGGCTCTTGGTTTGGTTGCGTCGGCGTAGGTCCAACCGCGACATCTACATCCGCAAACTGTTCTTGTAAAGCCGAATTCCCGCGTATCAAATCTGCACACGCTGCTAACGCCTACGAAATTTTTTAGTAAAAATGAGACAGTATTAAGCCGAGAAGAAGTATCGTACCTTCGCTCTAATTCTAATGTCGAAACTTGTATTGAAGGCGGTGCGAAGAACCTGCTCCGTTACCCCATTTTGCCAGAATGCCAATTGATTGACGGGTGTACTGATTCCACCCTTGACGAGAAATAGCTGCACTATTGCTAAGAGCCCCCAAAGATTCTTATCCCGGTGCTCCAATGCCCACTCGGGAACGCCATCTTCTTTTTCTTGCTCTCCATTTGCCTCCGACAGGAGTGCTCCAAGCTTCTTTACACAACCGGTCTCACGGAAATATGATTGATTCGAAATGTTGAGAGCAAGCAGATTTCCTAGAAGGGACAAGCAGTCCGCAACAACCATTGACCCATGTGTTAAAGAACCCTCAGCTTCTACTAAAGAGAAAATCCGTTCGAAGGCATTCTCAAAAGCCACAAGCTTTTGGAGCTCAGCGGATGATGGCGTCAATGCGATTAAAAGGAGGAGGGCCTCTTCATTCCAAAGAATAATAATAAAATAAATCAGTATACGTGTATTTCAAAGAAGCGGGAACCACAAACGGGAAATGCAAAAGGAACAGAAGCGTACCATTGCGCACAGGTTCTCGAGCATCACTCAAAACATTAACCAGCCGTGATATCCCTAATGGTGCTGTAAAGATACATTCTTGGGTTCTTTCTGGGCGTGCACTCGATATATATGACATCAATTGTAGGGAATACAGTCGAGAATAGAACTCCTTGGAGTCCAAGAGGTCGAGGAGGATAGTTATGTTGTCTTGTCGCTACTCAACCACGTCAACAAACTTGACATTAAGCGGCATATATTTGACTTACTTGAGTAAACTCATCGGCAAGCCACAGCGCGATTTCATCAGATGCTTCCGGCTGTAATTGAAGGGTTAGCAACCTAGTTGCTAAAAAACGAACCTATGAGTAACACATACACTACTCTCATGCGGAGAAAACAGCATCAACAACGTTTCTAGGACCACCTTAATAGTATCAACATCTTCCCCATCATTCCTCAGACTGTTTATTAATGGACGAAGTGCACCGGACGAAACAGATGCGGGATATTCCTTTGCAAAACTCCGAAGGCCTAAAATGGCTGCTCTGCGGTCTTCCAGTAATGTCGCGCTCTGCAATCTATTGCTTAGAGTATTAATAGTATCCGTCGCCGTCTGTCTGGCCGGAGCTTGGGACTCGAGAATTCGAAACATGGCAGCGTGTGGGTGCTAATAAAACGCATGGTCGCCACAGACCGAATGTTCCATAAGTTGAGCTCAATTCAAATGACTTCCCCCACAACGCTATCCGCCCCCTCACCGTGTGATTGTATCAGAGAGGCAAATCACAGCCAAGGGCTATAATATATGCAGTCCCAACCTCGAACTGATTTCGAACGTACTGATAGCTGTCGAACAGCACAAGCAAGAGTACACCTGTCCACCGGGCCCTGAGCGATATCACGTGTGTGTATGTTGCGGAACATTATTTTTCCTGCCAGACCGAAGTTAGTTCTGCTTCAAATTCTCCAAAGCATATTTCAATCCTAATCATTCGCAACCAACCTTCAAGTCCTACAGCTGGCTTCGAATTGAGCTTTCCTTCTTACTATCGTTTTTTGTGTTACTGTGTATAGAAGCGCCAGGCACAAATGGTTCATCTGACATACATATTCGTTGCGAACCATACATATTCATCGCAACTCCTTAAGACCCACGCCTCGCGACCATCGCAACACGGCTGAGCCGGGAGCGATAGAGAAGAGATCGACTTTTTCATAGAATACTACTACTAATTACCATTAATATGGGTGTTCCAGCACTTTTCCGGTGGCTATCCTCGAAATACCCCAAAATCATATCCCCCGTCGTGGAGGAAATCCCGCAGGAAATTGATGGCGAAGAGGTCCCTGTAGATACAACGAAGCCAAATCCAAATGGCGAGGAAATGGACAATCTATACTTGGACATGAATGGAATTGTCCATCCATGTACACATCCTGAGGGCAAACCCCCTCCTGAAACCGAGGAAGATATGATGCTGGAGATCTTCAAATATACCGATCGAGTTGTGAACATGGTCAGGCCCAGGAAACTATTGATGATTGCTGTTGGTATGTCGCTGACACGCATGGAAATGAGATATCTCCCTTCGGACCAATACATTATCTCATAATAATGATCTGTTGTCACGGAGGGGGGTACAGCTTTCCATTTCCTTATTATTATTTCCCGCGACACCCTTACACATATATAGTATATGAACTGGCCTCGCTAACGATTTTTATCCGGTTCTTCCCAGACGGTGTTGCTCCACGTGCGAAAATGAACCAGCAACGTTCTCGTCGATTCCGCTCTGCTCAAGAAGCGAAGGAAGCTGATGAAAAGAAAGAGGAGTTCGCCAAGTTACTGAGGAAACAAAATGGAAACAAAGGCGGCGAAGGGCTAGTGGAGGAAGTCATTACGAAGACGTGGGACTCGAACGTAATTACTCCTGGAACACCTTTTATGGACATTCTTGCTGCAGCTTTACGATACTGGGTAGCATATAAACTCAACACGGACCCAGCATGGGAGAAGGTTGGTCTGGTTCATTTTTTTTTCCTGCAAATATTTAACAAGCTAACCGTCTATAGCTGAAAATCATCATCTCAGATGCCACGGTTCCTGGTGAGGGTGAACACAAGATTATGGAATTCATTAGATCGCAAAGGTCCTGCACTGAGCATGACCCAAATACTCGCCATGTTATATACGGTCTTGTAAGTTTATCCTCAAATCCCTCAACCTACGGAATGGCCACTAACTTCCGCTTGTATAGGACGCTGACTTGATTATGTTGGGGCTTGCAACGCATGAACCTCACTTTCGAGTTCTTAGAGAGGATGTCTTTTTCCAAGAATCTAAAGGCAGAACTTGCCACTTGTGTGGGCAACCCGGCCATATAGCCGAAGCATGTAAAGGTCTTGCGAAAGAAAAAAATGGAGAATTTGATGAAAAAGGGAAAGGTAGTCCACTCAAACCATTTATTTGGCTCCACGTCTCTGTCCTTCGGGAATACCTTGCTGTCGAGATGCATGTTCCGCAACAGCCTTTCCCTTTCGATTTAGAGAGAGCTCTAGATGACTGGGTATTCATGTGTTTTTTCGTGGGAAATGATTTCTTGCCTCATCTACCGTCATTAGACATCAGAGAAAATGGCATCGATACTCTAATTGCAATATGGCGTGACAATATACCCGTCATGGGTGGTTATTTAACAAAAGATGGGCATGTTGATTTAGACAGGGCGCAACTTATCTTGCAGGGGTTGGCGAAGCAGGAGGATGCCATCTTCCGTCGTCGTCGCCAAACCGAAGAAAGGAAAAATGCAAACGCCAAAAGGAGGAAGGAGGAAGAAAGATTCCGAGAGGAAGAGCGCTCGCGCAAAAAGCGCAGAAGTTCTCCCAGTTATGGATCTATGGAAAACGAGCCTGTTCCTCCTCCTCTCATTGTTCCTGGAAAGGGGCATATTTCTAGGGCTGATAGGGAACTTACCCACGCCATGGTTGTGAACCGAGGGGCTGTTTACAAGGCAAATATGGCCAATAAAAGTGCCGCTGCTGTTCTCAAGAGTCAACTGGTCAAAGGTAGCGGTGACGCAGCTACCCCCGATGTTGAAGATTCCGCAGATGGTAGAGCCAAAAATACTTCACCGTTATCCCTAGGCAAGAGAAAGGCGGACGCTCTAGAAACCGAGACCGAGTCCGAAACACCCAAAAAGCCACAGGATAACGATGAACTACCTCCAGACACGGTTCGGCTATGGGAAGATGGGTACGCTGATCGGTATTACGAACAGAAATTTCGCGTTGACCCGAAAGATACTGAATTCCGTCATAAAGTAGCTCGAGCCTACGTTGAAGGCCTTGCATGGGTGCTGCTCTACTATTTCCAGGGGTGCCCTTCATGGACCTGGTATTACCCGTATCATTACGCGCCTTTTGCTGCAGATTTCGTTGACCTAGGTAAAATGAACATTGAGTTTAGTAGGGGCGCGCCATTCAAGCCTTTCGAACAATTGATGGGTGTCTTGCCAGCTGCATCCAACCATGCAATTCCAGAAGTATTCCACGACCTCATGTCGGACCCGGAGAGCGAGATCATTGATTTTTACCCCGAAGAATTTCCAATAGATCTTAATGGCAAGAAATTTGCATGGCAAGGCGTCGCGCTCTTGCCGTTCATTGATGAGAAACGTCTGCTACTTGCGATGGAGAAAAGATATCCTCTTTTATCCAGTGAAGAACACGCGCGAAACACAATGGGACGGGAGGTGCTTTTCCTATCGGATCGACACCCGTTATACGACAATCTAACTGCGAACTTCTATTCCAAGAAGCAAGGAACGCCGATTTTGAAGCTGAACATGCGAGTGAGCGAAGGGCTAGGCGGCAAGGTGGAACGCAACGATGCGTACGTTCCACATAGTTCGCTAGTGCCACCTTTCGATAAAGTGGATCTCCCCACGCTCGACGAGGACCATTCCATAAGGTCAGTTCCTCCGTTATGCAAATAACAGATTTAGCCCAACTACTCTTTTTGGAGCCAAATACTAACCCAAACTAGTGTTATCTACGATATGCCCAAGTCTATGTACACTCACAAATCAATGCTTCTGAGAGGCGTGAAACCTGACCCCCCTGTACTCGACAAATCCGATATCGAAATCACCAGAAACAAAGCACAACGTTCAGGGCGCTCGTTTGGAGGAGTTCCCTTCGGCAATAACAGAGGCAGAGGTGGTCGAATGTCATACGCCAGTGACCGGCCCAGCAACGATCGACCTAATCCATTCGCAGCTCATATCAACCCCAACTTCGTGCCACCACCAATACCTCCCCCACACATGGGTGGACCTCCAGCAGGATGGGCCCCTCCTCCGCCCGGGATGACAGGCAGCTCCTATGGTACTCCCAGGTTTGATAAACCCCAACAAGGTCCTCCCTATCAACAGCAGGGCAGTCGCGGTTATTCACATCAATCTAGCCAACGTGGTCAGTACTCTCAATCATATAGCCAACCGAGGGAGTACGGCCAGGGTAGACAAGATGTTCAATCGCAACAGTACGGGCAAAGGGGAGGAGGGGGGTATGGGCAACACTCTGGGGGCAACGGTAGCTCTGGCGGCGGTGGCGGTGGTCGAGGCAGAGGTGGCGGGCCCTACAGGGGTGGGGGCCGTGGACATTATCAAGGCCAGAATGGATATAATAACCGCAATGATGGGTATGGGCGGTATTGATTGTGATTATGTTGAATGATTTTGTTGTACGGCTACATGTACAGTACAAGTAACGTTAATAATACGTTATGCAATTTCAGGGAGTTCCTAATTGTCAATTTAGGAAGCACTAAAAAAAGATTTTTAATAGAATTACAGCGCACAAGATTTATGCAAATATATAAATTGACCTATACGGAAGTATTCCATCCGTCCGTCCATAAGGAGTGACCCATGAGATGGGAGGATTTTTTAAACAAACGCGGTGTGAAAAGGCAAAATCGCGCCTTGGCCGAACTCGGAGCACGAAAATTGAGTCACAGCTCCCCGGTGAAGAACAATTATGGAGCTCTGGAAACATTTATAATATTACACACATTAAAAGGCCGCCTTTGGATAAAATCTAGACACGAAATATCCCATTAACCGGCCATTCATATTTCTATACCCATAAGGGTAGTTTCAAGTCTCAATTGACAATCGTTTGCGACAGCTTCGGCTGCCCCACTAAAAACCTTCAACAACATCTAGCAAGCACCAAGCTACAGAATGTATTCTGAGATATAAAGATTGCCAATTTCGACTGTTTCTCCCATCCACACATACGCGAACGTGACGAGAACGTCTACAACAACCCCTGTCCCTGCTACACATCGATAACATCGGGTCTCTGTTCCCAAAATTCAGGGAAACATGGGGGTTCCAACCAAGATCAGCATTCTAGGTCGCGAAAGCATTGTCGCTGACTTTGGCATCTGGAGAAACTATGTGGCTAAGGATTTATTAAACAGCTGCTCTTCTTCAACCTACATCCTTATTTCAGACACCAACATAACGCCCCTCTATCTGGACGGCTTCCAAAAGTCCTTCGACGATGCCGCAGCAAATCTCTCTCCCAAACCCCGTCTCCTCACTTACGAGATACCTCCCGGCGAATCTTCAAAATCTCGTGAAACAAAGGCGGGCATTGAAGACTGGATGCTCACCCGTCAACCACCATGCGGTCGAGATACCGTGATCATTGCCTTGGGCGGTGGCGTGATTGGGGATTTAATTGGGTTTGTGGCAGCTACCTATATGCGTGGAGTGCGCTTTGTGCAGGTTCCTACAACTCTACTGGCAATGGTTGACTCCTCAATTGGCGGCAAGACGGCAATTGATACACCCAATGGCAAGAATTTGATCGGCGCCATCTGGCAACCGCAAAGGATCTATTTGGATATGGAGTTTTTGAATACCTTGCCTGAGAGAGAGTTTATAAATGGCATGGCCGAAGTGATCAAGGTTAGTGGGTTGCTATACGCTCTTCTCGTACATTACATTTAGTATGATTTTTCTTTTGTTTTCTCTCTGCTAACTCGCATGATGGCCGTGTATAGACTGCCGCAATTTCCAGCGAAGAAAAGTTTGCCGCATTGGAAGATGATGCCGAGATCATCTTGGCAGCCGTCAAGTCGAAAAATACACCAGAACGACCACGATTCAGCGGCATCGAAGAGACACTGAAAAGAACCATTTTATCCTCCGCAGAGTTCAAGGCACAGGTTGTCTCAGCGGACGAAAGAGAAGGTGGACTACGCAATCTCCTAAACTTCGGTCATTCTATCGGCCACGCTATAGAAGCTATACTAGCCCCGCAAGTCCTTCACGGAGAGTGCGTCGCTATAGGAATGGTCAAGGAAGCCGAACTAGCTCGCCATCTTGGAATCTTGAATAACGTTTCCGTATCCCGCATTTCAAAATGCCTGGCCAGTTACGGATTGCCAACTTCTCTCAAGGATGAGCGGATAAGGAAACTGACCGCTGACAAGCATTGCAGCGTGGAGCAACTAATCACATATATGGGCGTCGATAAAAAGAACGATGGACCGAAGAAAAAGGTCGTCCTTCTGTCCGCGATTGGGCGCACTCATGAACCACGGGCAAGTACGGTGTCGAACGAAGAGATCCAAATCGTGCTTGCGCCAAGCATCGAAGTTTCTCCAGGTGTTCCGAAAAATCTTAACGTCACTTGCACACCCCCAGGATCGAAAAGTATCTCGAATCGGGCCCTCGTCCTTGCTGCACTTGGGTCAGGTACATGCCGCCTCAAGAATCTGCTCCATTCAGATGATACTGAGGTTATGCTTAATGCCCTCGAACGATTAGGTGCCGCTACATTCTCTTGGGAAAATGAGGGTGAGGTGCTTGTGGTAAATGGCAAGGGCGGCAAGATGAAGGCTAGCCCCGATGAATTGTACCTAGGAAATGCCGGGACTGCGTCACGGTTCCTAACGACTGTGGCTACGCTCGCCCAAAAAAGCAGCGTTGACTCAAGTGTTCTCACTGGGAATGCTCGAATGAAGCAAAGGCCCATAGGCGATCTGGTTGACGCTCTTGCAGCCAACGGCGCCGGTGTCGAGTACCTGGAAAACTCAGGAAGTCTTCCGCTCAAGATTGCTGCTTCTGGAGGGTTCGCCGGTGGGGAGATAAATCTTGCTGCAAAAGTATCCTCTCAATATGTGTCATCGTTGTTAATGTGCGCTCCGTATGCTAAAAAGCCAGTCACCCTGAGGCTTGTAGGCGGGAAGCCTATCTCACAAACTTATATCGACATGACCACTACAATGATGCGATCGTTCGGTATCGACGTCAAAAAATCTGAGACAGAAGAGCACACTTACCATATTCCTCTTGGTTTCTATATCAGTCCCGCAGAATATATCGTTGAAAGCGATGCCAGCTCCTCCACATACCCGCTGGCGGTTGCTGCGATCACGGGAACCTCTTGTACTGTCCCGAATATTGGATCAAAGTCGCTTCAAGGAGATGCTCGATTCGCAGTTGAAGTCCTGCGGCCAATGGGTTGCACCGTCGATCAGAAGGATTTCTCGACTACAGTCACTGGCCCTGCTAACGGAATACTGAGACCGCTGCCCAATGTAGACATGGAGCCCATGACAGATGCATTCCTGACAGCGTCAGTTCTTGCTGCTGTTGCAAGAGGTGGGGGATCGAACCACACAACACGGATATTCGGTATCGCAAACCAAAGGGTCAAAGAATGTAACAGAATTAAGGCTATGAAGGATGAACTTGCCAAATTCGGGGTCACTTGCCGAGAACATGATGATGGCCTCGAAATCGATGGCATAGACCGCTCGACACTGCGTCACCCGTCAGACGGTGTGTACTGCTATGACGACCACCGTGTTGCGATGAGTTTCAGCGTCCTCTCCTTGGTGGCTCCTCAACCGACTCTGATCCTCGAAAAGGAATGTGTTGGCAAAACGTGGCCCGGCTGGTGGGACAGCCTAGCTCAGACTTTCAAGGTGAAATTGGATGGGAAGGAAGTGGAAAAGAAGACAGGAAGGGGGGGTATTGTCCATCTAGACAAACCTGCTGCATCGATCTTCATCATCGGCATGCGAGGTGCTGGGAAGACAACAAGCGGTGTGTGGGTTTCCAAAGCTCTGCAGCGTCCGTTTATTGATTTGGACGACGAGCTCGAAAGAACTGAGGGTATGACCATTCCCGAAATAATCAAACAAAGGGGTTGGGAAGGATTCAGGGAAGCTGAACTCTCATTACTACGGAGGGTAATGACTGAAAAACCAACTAGGTACATTTTTGCCTGTGGTGGAGGTATTGTTGAAACGCCGGAGGCTCGCAAACTCTTGATACAGTATCATAAAACTAAAGGCAATGTCATACTTGTCATGCGAGACATCAAGGAAATCATGGATTTCTTGAAAATTGACAAGACACGCCCAGCATATGTTGAGGACATGATGAGTGTCTGGCTGCGCCGAAAGCCATGGTATCAGGAATGCAGCAATGTTCAATATTTCAGCCGCTTAACGGGTCTGGATGGGATGGCACAGGTTTTGGGAGGCTTCAATCGTTTCTTAAAAGTCATCACCGGACAGGTGGACAGCCTTGCACAGATGAGATCAAAAGAAAATACTTTCTTCGTTTCTCTAACGCTTCCTGATCTCGCGCCGGCTGCCCCTATCTTGAAAGAAGTCACGCTGGGCTCAGATGCTGTGGAGCTGCGGGTCGATTTGCTTAAGGATCCCCAGTCTGACAGTGAGATCCCATCTGTTGACTATGTCGCTGAGCAAATATCCGTGCTGCGTAGTCGTACCTCAGTACCTCTAGTATTTACGATCCGCACAAAGGCCCAAGGTGGTCGATTCCCGGATGACGCATACGATGCTGCCTTACAACTCTACCGCCTTGCGATCCGAATGGGGTCCGAATTTGTGGACCTGGAAATATCGTTCCCAGAGCAGCTCCTGCGCACTGTGACTGAAATGAAAGGCTTTTCGAAAATCATTGCCTCTCACCACGATCCCAAAGGAGAGTTGTCATGGGCGAATGGCTCATGGATCCAGTTCTACAACAAGGCTCTTCAGTATGGGGATGTGATCAAACTTGTTGGTGTTGCAAGATCACTTGACGACAACGCTTCACTGAAGAAATTCAAAACCTGGGCAGAGGAGAAACACGACGTCCCAATAATCGCCATCAATATGGGTGACAAGGGACAGCTAAGCCGGATGCTAAATGGTTTCATGACACCAGTATCCCATCCTAGCCTACCCTTCAAAGCCGCCCCTGGTCAACTTTCCGCCAGGGAGATCCGAAAAGGCCTCTCTCTCATTGGCGAGATCAAGTCAAAGAAATTCGCAGTCATCGGCAACCCCGTCTCTGCCTCTAGATCGCCGGCAATGCACAACGCTCTTTTCAGACAAATGGGTCTCCCACATATCTACGGGACTCTAGAAACAGAAGATCCCGAGATCGTCAAAAAATTCATCCGCTCCCCAGATTTTGGCGGGGCCTCAATCACCATCCCCTTAAAACTAGACATCATGCCCCTCCTCGATGAAATAGCACCGGAAGCAGTGTCCATTGGTGCAGTAAACACCATTGTCTGCGCCCCGCCAGCACCAGACGACCAATCGCAAGCCCCGCGCCTTATCGGCCGCAACACAGATTGGCAAGGCATGGTCCGCTGCCTAAGCGACGCGGGTGCCTATCCCGCAGCCACGCCCACAACCACTTCCGCGGGCCTGGTTATCGGAGGCGGCGGAACGGCCCGTGCAGCGATATTCGCCCTTCAAAGCATGGGCTACTCCCCCATTTACGTGGTAGGCCGCTCCCCAGACAAACTTTCTAGCATGACGTCCACGTTTGCCCCGGACCACGACATCCGCATCCTGGAAGACGTGAAGGCGCTAGAATCTTTGCCCACGGTGGCAATTGGGACGATACCTGGCGATAAGCCGATCGAGCCGCACATGCGAGAGATTCTCTGCGAGCTCTTTGATCTATGCGAAAAGGCGAATTCGGACGCTGAGCAGGCGCGGGGCATCAGCACAAAGCGGATCTTGCTGGAAATGGCGTATAAGCCGTCCGTCACGTCGTTGATGCAGTTGGCTAGTGATTCGGGATGGACGGTGTTGCCCGGCCTGGAGGCTTTGGTGGCACAGGGGGTCTATCAGGTAAGCAGGGATCAACTATCATTTGTTTTTCCCTCTTATCTTCTTTTTCCTTTTGTCGGATGAGACTAACCACGAATGTTCTTCCGGGAAATAGTGTGAATACTGGACCGACATTACGCCCGTCTATGAAGATGCCAGGGTATGTCTTGAGTCTCCCCTCCTTCCTATCGTTCATCCACTCCCACCAGGAAAACTAACCAGTCTTTTTTTCTTCCGTCTAGAATGCTGTAATGGGCGTACAACCGAAAGACGACGATATCTCAACGTAAGAGATGGTCTGCCATGCATACCGCAATACTTACTGAAAAAATGCCGTCCAAAACGTACCGGCTACTGAAGCTTTATTGAGGTGGAATTAATTATATAGTGAGGTAGACCGGGAGGGAAATGATTTGTTTGTTTCAACAAAGAACAAAGTGTGCATATATAAAAATTTTCGGATTTGGCTAAATACTGGTGAACAGTTACGTAGTTTAACATTCAGGGGTTTTAAATAGAAAAAGCAATTTCATTATTTTAGCTTATGACTTTCTCAATATTCCAGTTTAGCTGTGTATTTTGATCCTCTTGAAACATTACGTACGTACTTTCTATAAATGCATGAAGAAGTTGGCAAAAAGGAAGGGTGAAAAAAAAAAAAGAGAAAGGAATAAAGAGTAGAATGGAATCGGAATAATACAAACCGGAAACCGGAAACCAGAACACTCCCTTTGGCATATTAACGCTGAGAGTCCCAAAAACATCATGAGCATGGCATGTAATATATCTAAGTATCTGATGCAAAACAGAAAAACAAATAAGGCTAAATATATGCAGGAGACTTCCAAAAGTAAACCATTCCATATCCCGCTCCAAAAAAAAAAAAAAAAACAGCAAGAACCCTAAAAAAAAGGGGGAGGGAGATATTATACAATCCGTTAAACAAAACGTATAGTACATGGCATCAAGGGCATGGATAACCATAACCAAGGCAGGGCAGGTGGAACCGCAACTACCCCTCCCTATACGACACTCTGTCCAGACACATCCTCAACCCCTTCGTTCCCTACTTTCCTATTTCCATCAGCAGGTGCCATCGGCCCCTCCCCGTTCACCTCCCCGCCATTTCTTTTCCGCCTCTTACTAACCGCCAGCTTCCCCTCCATCTCCCGTCGCCACGTACACTCCTCGCGAAACTCGCATATTCGGCACTTCCACGCCTCCATGACCGGCACGCCACGCGGTTGCCTGTGTCCGCGCCACCAGTGCATTTCATCGGAGAGGTAGCTATAGAGGGAAGAAGGGTTGAAGAGGAAGGAGCGGCTGCCGAGGTATTGCATAGATTCATCGGGGTTGGAGGGCGGGGTTAAATAGGTGGCTGTTAGGACGGGAGAGAGGAGAGTGGTAAGGGCCGGGGTGTCTTGTTGGAGGTCATCTTGGGGCGGAGGGCTGGTGGTGCTGGTGGTTGCGGTATTGGCGACTGGAGGGAGGAAAGTGAGGCGGTGTTGAGATTTCATGAGTGTCCAGAGACGGGAGAGGGAGTTATGTTCGAGGAGGATGGTCATTGAGTCTTGGCTGCTAGAAGGGAATTCTCCACCTTCTGAACCCGAAGGAGGGACATAGTCCGCATCTAGGTCTTGTGGCGCGTCGAAGAATTGTTCGTTTAGGCTGCCTACTTGTGCGATGAAGGAGTCTGAGAATGGCTTGTCGGCTTCGAGGCCATATCGTGCTGCGATGGCGTCAATGGTGACATCTTCAGAGGTAGAGAGGCGGGTGAGGAAATGATAGTATAGTTGTAGTTGGAGGTGGGTAGGGCGAAAGCCAACACTATTAACAGTTGGGATAGAACGGCTACTCTTCCCGCGCGTCTTGATATCCGTGATGTATATCTTCTTTGACGGTGGTTTCGACGTCGAAGACACCACATCCTTTTCAGGTTTCGCCACCCCAATATCAGACAGCCTCCTCCCACCACCAGCCGGAGAAAGGAAAAATTCAGTAATCGAAGTCTGATATTCCGGAAGCAAGGCTTTAGACGTCCTGAAGTCCGCGTAACTCGCTTCTGCGGATGCCTCCAGCTCCTCATCTGGACACTCATAGGACAGCTGGTCAATTATGCCTGTCACAATTTCTCCATCAACATTCCCCCAAACTTCCAACTCTCTAGTCATCCCCGAAACCCGCAGTGTACGCAACCCCTGTATAACATTCCATAGTCGCAGAGCCCACCCATCTTCTCTCGTCATAACCTCGACAGGGACAGTGATATGCACCTGATCTTCTAACTCCTTATGAACCACAGTTCCCTGCTTCATCGCCGGGGTAGCCCTCTTCCGCCCAAACTTTGTCAAGGTATACCAATACTGTAACTCGCACCAGGCAGGAGAAACTAGATCTGTAACCGACAAAGCTTTCCTAGGTGGTTTCCGGAAGCGCTCAAGGGGAGACCGCATATCCGGAACAGGCATGCCATCCCCATTCACGTTCCCATCTTGAGCACCCTGGTCCGCAGCTACCTGCTTTTGTTCCCGCTCAAGCTCTCTCTGTCTCTCTCGCTCCCGTCCCTCAGGCGAATTCGGGTGCTCAGCTAAACGCTTAAGTGTCAGAAGGGTTAGCAGATTTTGTAAGAATCGCCATGGGCGGGACCAACAACGTATACAAAGAAGAAGAAAAGAGGAATATTAATAAATAATAATGAACAAAATAAAACAAACAGATATCAAGGGGCAAACGCACCACCCCAACCGCCAATCCCCTGTTCCACCCATCCTCTACCCTTCCCGCTCCCCCACCCCGCCCTCTGCGAGATAGAATCCCACTTCTCCCTGCCCAGAACCCTAGAGACCCTATCCCTCGATATACCCGCATGATCCTCAATATCTGTCACCGGCGGCAGCGATAAGGACTGCAGGTGTAAATCCACAGACGCCTCGGAAACATTAATCGCAGCAACAGCACTCTCTATCCCTCCACCAGCAGGGTCAGAAGATACCGCAGGGGGTGAGAGTGCAGGTGTAGCAAATGCAGAAGGAGAACCGGAACCAGAGCCAGGGCCAGAAATTACACTTGTCCGCTCGTGGCGCTCGCCAATCCGCGCCAGCAGCAGATTCAACAGCTCCTCCTCGTCGGGGGAGAAGTCGGATCCGTAGTCGCTGCTGGCCGCGCTTTCGACTGTGTTGCTGAATGTATTCCCACCTATCAATGTGCTTTCTTGCGTCGATATTACGGGCGTTGGCGCTGTGGGGGTTTGTGGTAAGGATAGCGAGGTGGATTTCTCGAGCACAGCTGGTTGGCTCATTTGAGAGAACTGCTGTGGTGTTTTGTGTTTTGGAACGGTTTATTTTCGATTTTATGTTTAGAGTGGGCTTTTAGGGTACTTCGTTCATGGCGACGGATGCATTATCATTATGATTCATTGTTTTTGTCCTCTGGTGGTGATCCCTGGCAGTTGAACTTCGTAAATGGGAATATTTAAACAGGTTTAGGCAGGCTTAGTAATTGGCAATGTCGCGTCGGGGAGAGGAGACGCGTTTAGGATATTCAACAATTCGCGCAACGTCATAAGAAGAGAAGGCAAGAAAGGCAGTTTATTTATCTTGTCTATTCAAAGATGACTCCATCCCCTCTTCATCTATAGGTATCAAATCTATATACATTTCTAACCATTCCCAACGTGCGTAAAGTACCCGATTGGGAGTAAAAAAATGCTATCTCATCAAACATCATATCCAACGCTACTATAAAGCAAAAGTGAATCTAAAATGAAAGAATCCTTCAAAGGCATAGTAGCCTAGAATGGTAAAGCAGAAAAGTAGTCTTCAAAATTTCAAGCAGACACTGCCGCCACAGCAGCAGTTGCAGTCGCATCACCAACCCCTACCCCTCCCCCGATCAGCCTCTTCACAGCCAGAGTTTGCGCCTGCGCCTCCTCCGCGGCCTCAACGTCCCTCGCTGCCTTCTGATTCAGCCAGCTGAGGTACGTCTGCCACCCGACCGCAATAGCACCGGCAAAAATGCTCCGAAACTGCGGATCAACGTACATGAACATAAATGCCGTGACAGCCGGCCACAGCTTAGCGCTATTCATGATGCTAGTCGGTAATGCCAGTTTGAGGCGCTCCCATGTCTCCGTAAGCGAGGTGCCGGCAAGCAAGGATTGCATAGAGAAGAAGTATGTGTTGAAGATCGGGGTGAAGCAGGTTTGGTTGATGGCTACTTTTATGAAGATTGAGAAGATGCGGGGTTTGGAGGGGAAGTTGAAGTTGTTGTGAAGGAACATGAACCTATTTAAAGAGCAGTTAGGAGAATGTTAAGTGGGAAAACAATTTATTTTCCGAACGGATTTAGTAAATGGGGGGAGAGAATCAAAAAACATACCATTTATACCCTGGCACAGCGGCCAGACCACCAACTGTCAAATGTCTAACAGTCCTCAGCGGATCATATCGTGCCATCATCCCCTCCTCTCTCTCCACCTCATCATTAGCACCCCCTTTCCCCTCCTTCTCTACCTTCTCCTTGGTTTTATCTTTATCCTTTCCCCCACCATCTCCCACAAACAATTGCGCACTTAAATCCCCACATAAATATATAAGTAACGTACACCACAGCTGCGTCCAGTACGGTCTGCGACTTTGCATGCGGCTGTAGAAATCTGCAGCCCGCCCGATGGGGCTTGCTTGGATGATTTGCTTAAGGGATCTAGAGGTTGTAGACGAGGATGATGACGGTTGTGCTGTGGTGGTATTATTTGTTGCTGCTGCTGCTCCTGCTGCTGCTGCTGTGGCTGTGGCGGGCACGGCGGGATCGGATGCGCTGGGGGGTACTTGAGAGGACTCGCGGGTTGAAGCTGAGACTTGTTCTTGATCTTGTTCTTGCTGCTTTATGTCTTGCGATGGAGTGAGAGGAAGGTTACTATTTCTCAACTGCTGCGAAGATGCGGTCGTGGGCAGCGGCACGTCCACTCCGTCTAACTCTTTTGGAGCCCCGCGCACATATGAAGAAGACAACTGTGAGATTGGTGGTGGAGGTAGGGGTGGAGGTGCACCCTGGGCAAAGGACGTGTTGGGATCATGATGTTGGGGCGACGGGGACATGCAAACAGACGCCGTCGAGTACTCTCTTCCCGCTGTCCTCCTCCTCCTCCTCACTTCATGGGTATGATATTGGCGCCGACATGACAGGTTATCCAGCTCCCTCGTTGCTGCTGGTCGGGTTGCTGTTACTGTGCTAGCAGTTGCAGCTGCGACGAGGGTTCGTGAACCGCCCGCGATTATGAGGCGCATTTCGTCCCCGTCTATCCTCTCTTGTCTTCTTCCACCTTCTAGTATCGTCCGTTGTGCTTACCCCTTTACGCACTGCCCGGGTTTAGTTTTACACAGAAATAGATAGGCAAAATTGAAATGAATCTCTCGTCTCCTTTCGGACTTTTGCCGGAAACCGCTTCCCCCCACTCGGCTACACTTGGCAGATGCACACGAGGGGCAGTCTATCGACGGGACGGACGGGACTGAATATACCCGCTTGCTTTCGGAGATATGATCCTTTGCACTGACAGAATATGGGCGAGAGAGACGGAGAGAATAAAATAGGAACAGGATATACGAATAAAAAGATTGGGTATAGTTAACGTCAGAGGAGTCACAAGCCCTCGGCTCTCTCTGACGGCAGCCATCGGCCAAACAAATCCGCCGAAATCCCAGCCATGTTCCCGAAAGCTACCAAGAAGGGAAGAAGAACTCCACGCTGATGCGGGATAGACCGATAGCGGTGAGATTAGGATGTGTAGGTTTAACTTTAACTACATACTGACAAAGAAAAATAAGTATCCCGCTCTTCTATCGCCGAAAATCCTCTATATAGACTATATTAATCAGGCCACCTTGGTTCGCCTGGTAACTACGCCGGATGGTTGGGCTGGTTCTCGATTTCTTAGTCAGCACCCTGATATGCCGCTCCAGATGCGCGTAGGAGGATATAGGATGGACGAGCGTTTTTTCTGCGTCCTACGAGAGTTGACGGGAGGAGGTGTGTGGATAACTAAATACCTATGGTAAAATCAAATGTTGTATATGAGGGAGAATGCATTTTAAGCGGAATGTATGTAGAGGACTACTTTTGTGCAGTACGTGCGACGGAAATATACGCTGTATATATATATATATTTATTTCTTGCACCTCTCCACATTTCGATATTCAAAGCAATCAAATGGCACCTACCGATTCAACCCATCGTATAATTCTGATTCGTATTATATAAATACCTTTTCTCTATAGATTTATAAACCCATACGAGAAAATACCCACGAAACTTAATTTACGTAGATGGAAAGGCGCCTGGAATACATGGCTAGCTAGCTTCAAAAGGCCGCTGCGCAACATTTTATACACAACTTATTAAGTAATAGTTACCCAACTCGTTTATTAAAACCAAGTAAATTTTTAATTTACAAATCCAAGGGAATGAGACGGGTGATTTTGGAAAGTGTAAGTACGTGAAATGTGTGTGGCGACTTATGCAGCGTAAAATATGAAGGGGGGGATCTAAGAACTACTGTGCCACTGCTATTTATTATTGTAAAAGTGTGCCGGGAATTTAATGAGCACCTGGGCACCAGGCATGGTTGACGCCTACTAACAATGCGACCGTGCATAAACGATGAACGGAATCATCGATAATAACGCGTGGAATGGTAGGATCTACAGTACACACCGATGACGATAGATAGGGATACTATGAAGAGCAGGAAGAGGGAGATATTAAAAAAGTGTTGAACGACAAACGAATCCGTGTTGATTTTATTTGTCTCGGAAGAACGATGCGCACATAATGTACAACATTTTTAAAAAAAAAAAAAAAAAAAAACAAAAAAAAACAGAATTAGTAACGAAGTGCGCCTTTGACCGAATTCCCAACCGCCATTGCCACTGTGATCGCAACGATCTCACACGTTTAATGTGCTAATAAATAAAAATTGAAACCGGCAAACTAGAAAACCCAGATGGAGAAAAAAAAAGAGAAGCAAGCCATCGCCTCACTAGTCATAAGAGACGACAGTTGTCAGAACACCTTGGTGCAAAACACACAAAAACCCATTCGTCATGAAACAAAAAAAACAGAAAGACAAAAACTATTCAAGACGACCGTTCACCACGCAGACGACGGGCGAGTTGGATGTCTTTCGACTGGATGGTAACACGCTTGGCGTGGATGGCGCACAGGTTGGTATCTTCGAAGAGGGAGACGAGGTAAGCCTCGACGGACTCTTGAAGGGCACCAATGGCGGAGGACTGGAAGCGCAGATCCGACTTGAAGTCTTGGGCGATTTCACGGACAAGGCGCTGGAATGGGAGCTTGCGGATGAGGAGCTCAGTAGACTTCTGGTAACGACGAATCTCACGGAGAGCGACGGTACCTGATTTGACGCGTTAGATGGTTGTTGTCATCGTAAGATGAGACGCGTTTAGATTGGATATGTTACTTACCAGGCTTATAGCGATGGGGCTTCTTGACACCACCAGTGGATGGGGCGGCTTTGCGAGCTGCCTTGGAGGCGAGCTGCTTGCGGGGGACCTTGCCTCCGGTAGATTTACCTGTAGGATATCAGGTGTTAGTGCTTGTTGGATGGCAGATGAATGGGGTGTGATGTGGTTATGGATGGGACGTGGTAATGGAAGCGTGGTGTAGTGGTGGCACGACGCGACCGAGCGACCAACCAACAGCCACGATGATGAGGTGACAGTAAGGTGAAGGTGGTGTGAAGGCGAGGGTAATGACTTACGGGCAGTTTGCTTGGTTCTGGCCATCTTGAATGTCGTGAGAGTTATTTAGAGATGGATATTTTGATGAAATATGTGGTTGTTGATGAAAGTGGTGGATGGTGGTTGATGACGACGATGTAAGGAGCAGGTTGGGAGGTTGTAAGGAAGAGGGAGAAGAATGGGTGGGGGGAAGGTATTTGTAGTAGCGAGAGGGCCAAGTGGGTGATCTTTTTGAGTTTGCGCTGGGCGAGTTAATTGCCTGCGCAGTTTTTGATGGGGGGACGGGGAATCTGCCGTACTAGCGCGGTTTGGTTTTTGATCAGAAAAAGGTGCTGGAAAGCAGCACTTGGTAAGGGCTGATTTGGGCGGCTGTTTTCTGCGGGCAAAAAGAGACAAAGACTGATCTGATTTTCTTGGCGGCCGGGTCAAGGTTCAGCCTGCGCTAAGCGAGAATAAGTGCGTATCAGCCAATCAGCGTGCAGGATCAGTATTCTACATCCAGCTGCTGTCTGTTTCTGATCCCACCGCCAACCTTTTCAAATTGTAATTCAAGTGTTTACGTCCAAATTTGAGCAGTGAGTCGATTCGAAATCACTCATTTCTCAGTCCAGATCAACGTTGTGAAGAGTGTTGCCCGCAAGATCAGCTGCGGTGGCGGAATTGTCACCGAATCACTGGGCATTCACGGATCACGGGTTGGCTGAGTCATCGCGAGCTGTGATTGGCTGAATCAGCCCCTAGCGTCGTGATCACAGACATCGGCCTCCCCACCAGCCGCCAACCCTCGCCGCATTCAAATACAGCAGCTCTCCGACTTCTCTTCTGCTTCTTCTCTCTTCTCTTCCCCCCACACTCTCACATCAACAAGCTTCTCTCCACGCGTCTATTCCTGCGATACCACACCATCTTCAAACTACCCACTACCTTTTTTTTTTAACCAAAAACAAACCTCTACAACTCTATCAATATGACTGGACGTAAGTTAATATATCTGGCATCCCAAAGACGCGTCTCATCAAGGTGACTCGCTAACAATCACTCTCAACAACAGGCGGCAAAGGAGGCAAAGGTCTTGGAAAGGGCGGTGCCAAGCGCCATCGCAAGATTCTACGAGACAACATCCAGGGTATCACCAAGCCCGCTATCCGTCGTCTTGCCCGCCGTGGCGGTGTCAAGCGTATCTCCGCCATGATCTACGAAGAAACCCGTGGTGTCCTCAAGACCTTCCTCGAAGGTGTCATCCGCGATGCCGTCACATACACTGAGCACGCCAAGAGAAAGACAGTCACGTCGCTAGACGTTGTCTATGCTCTTAAGAGACAAGGACGTGAGTTTACTACCCTTTAGCATCATTTAGTTATATATCGTTTCGACGCGTCTCTAACATCTTTTCCCTTTTCGCAGGTACTCTCTACGGTTTCGGTGGTTAAACTTGCACAAAATATTCATATACCTCTTTTAACGATCCGGTTTTCCCTTCTACGATATTGGCTTCGTGGTGTTACATTTCTTTGTTGCGGCTATTCATGGGTTTATTCGCTGGGTTTCGTTTGTCTTAATTATTTTTTCATGTCTTTTTTCCCCTGGGTGGGCTGGTGGCCGTGGAGTCTTGCTTGTATCATACAAACCAAAGTGTTTTGTTCACATTTTATATTCGCTGTTTTCAGCCATCCATTAACGCTATCCTGGTGGCAATTCTTGAGATCAAGAATTTATCGAATGAAATTGCAGTCTGATCTGCCTTTCTTGTTTTAATCCTCTCAACTTCCATAGCAAATTCGATATCTAGTCTTATGGTTTATGTAAGCATCGGACGCGTATTGTTATGATGCCTATGCTCGACCTGTACCCGTATACCCGTGTATGATCCATTGGTTTCCGCCGTTTCCGTTTACTGGTTACGGGATCTTGTTGCAGTTCCATTTGTCCGTGACACAATTGGCGCGCACATCGCATTACTTATCATTACTTACTTCTATACGTACTGTATCTCATTATTATTGCAAAACACAGGCGTACTGAGCTTTTGATGTTTGCTATCATGTTTACGACAAAATCTCTAGAAATCAACGCAGGACTAGAGATATATGTCACGTGATTTTATGTTTTATCTACGGGAAGTAGGCGTAGACTGTTAAATTCCGTTGGAAATATTGTTTTATTCTTTTTGGTTTGTATTTCGATCTTGTGTTTCATGTTTTTAATAGTAAGAAGTAGTTTTTCTCATGTTGTGGTGGTTGTAGTTGGGTATTTTTTTATGTTGCCGCTGGAATATATATATATATATATATATATATATATAACTTCGCCCTTGAGGGATATATAGATTCTCCAGAGACGTTTCGGAGCCAATATTTTGACAACCTAGAATACCAGATGAAGCTCAGTAATTAGACACGTAGAATTTCTTAATTCACTTTCATTTATCTTCCTTAGAACAATTATCTCTGCTAATCCAGCTCCATCCATCTCCAACCAGCAGCATTATCCCAGACGAAACGCATCTGCAAACTGTACTCTTATTTCCTAATTTTCTACTACATACTACGCGTAATCAATAACCAACAGGGAGCAAGCTGATGCAAGGGCCAAGGATGACAAAACAGCTATACCGCTCATTGTTGTTATGATATATGACCGGACCAGATATCTATAGATGAGCCATCGTCACGTCTTAAGGTTCTACACGTAAGGGAGCCCGAGCCCGAGCCCGAGCCCGAGCCTACTCCTACGGCTCGAAAGAGAGGACCAACCTCTGTGGAGTGTCGTAGGTGCCATTTCACCTTGTCAGAGCACTGATATATACCTCCAATACAAAATACACGCCCCGGTGTGTCAATCATACATATATCCAAGTGTCCACGCCACCCGCCTGCATTGATATTTTGTCAGCATGGGGAATGTCCATCCGTTCTACTTGGGAGGTTCAAATATATGAGTCATTGGTTTTACTCCACTGGGTTGTATTTTCGTTGGGAGGGACAGGGAGGCCGAGGGTCGCAGTAAGTGTCCAGACGGCAACAACGAAATCGACCACAGCGGCGGTTGGGATGGCGAGTTTCCGACTCTCGTGGGTGCCTAAATAGCAGGTAAGGCTGGCTCATTGCACTGGAGGAAAAGAGTTTATGTGTTTTAGGCTGCTGCCATGTCTGTTTCTGCTGTGAGAGTCTGGTGATAGACCAGTGCGAAGCGTTTTGACGTAGGTTGAATCTGACTTCGGCCTTTGGAGTGAAGCGGTGGCGCGACTGAGGCTTGGCAAACTCCAGGGGGGGGCGCGTTTCTCTTTCCCCGCTTGAGATTCTCTGACACTGCATTTTGTAACTATAATACTCGAAGATAAGATGGAAATACTCAGTCAACTACAGAATAAATCGTTGATTATACGGTAAGGTTAAATCCGATTGGTTTCTGGTGCATGGCAAGCGACGAAACGAAAACCCGATACCAACCCCGGCTCCTACTAAAAGATTGAAGTAAACAACTCGTCTCTGAAAATACTGTGAAATGGGGTCATTTTAATGAATCATCCTTCGCTCCTCCAATGCCGTCAGCGGATTTTTGCTTCAGTTTTTTAAAATATACCTCAGCAAGCTGCTGGCACGGTCGCCAAATGCATCGTCGATTTCCAAGACTCATAAATTCGGCGTCCATGGCGTAAGGTTGGGGTCGTCTTTTCGTATAGGTAGAGATAGAGTCGTTTCAGACTCAGGTCGTCGGGAATTCCACTTCCCTTGCCACCGCTATCCTCGTTGTCATCGTTATCTGCCTCGCCATCGCTGTCTTCCCCGCCGTCGTCATCAAGAATATCGTTCATTTCCCAAAGCCACTCCATTTCCCGGGCAAGGAGCTGCTTCCAGGAGCCTTATAACACGTGGCACTGGTGACTGCCCATGATGCCTTTGAAAGGGCACAGATTGAGCTTCCAGAAAGCCAAGACGGGATGTTGTATAGAATCTCAAACGGGATTTTGTCGAATGGATCCTTAACGACATGCTTCTGAATATCATGATTGAGGGGAGTGTGTTTGAAAGTATCATGCGTGATTAATTCACGGAGCAAATCTGTCGCATCGATGAGGGGGTTTTGTTATGATATACTGGAACGAAGTGTCGTCCACCTGGCCACATAAATACAGAAACCTGCGGATTGAAATGGTGTTATTTGTGTATTCTCTACCTACATCATCCCCAGGCACAGAGTACCAGTCCTGTTCCGGGCCCTCAAGTTGTCCATAATCCAACTCCAAGAAGGCATAGACCTGAGAGAATTCCTTCATCACTTCGTATAGTACTGTCCTATCAAGGTTTGTTGGATTCTGTCTCATAATTGAGTGCCCATGCTAGGCGGCAAAAACATTCCCAGTGGAATGGGAACATGGGATCTGGGCTTCCAAGATATCTTTGAAGGCCCATGGTAAGTATTTTATTATTACAAGGTCAGAATGAATGGAAATTCTGAATACAGGTTGAGTAAGTAGTTCTATCGGGCGGCTGGTCGGGATCTAGTATCATTTTCTCTGTTACTCCTGGAGCTGATAAGTTACTAGATGAATGATTTAAAAAGACAAAATGTAGTTACCATCGCCAATTTCAACTTGTATTTCCAGCTACCAACCGACTTTCTCAGCAAAATCAATCCATTTTGATACTGAATCAAAAACAGCTGGGTGAACGTGACTTACCAGATAATCCAAGGCCTTCCCTGGGCCAGAAATGATACCCCTAAAGCACAACAATACATCCAGATACAGAGAGGTTAACCAAACCGCTAACCGTGCCATGCTTACTCACTCTCTGTAGTGAGTGCGCCACAGCGTACGGAAAACCACACTGTAAAGAAAATATTTTGAATATAGTAATCTTCAAAAATTAATTAATAATCATCATCACATCTATCTATAACATAAAGATTATCTATATACTCATTAGAAGGTGTAGAATCCACTGTAAGTTGAGATTCTATAGAATTATCTTGTTATGGTTGAGTGGCTGTAGATTTTATAGATTTGATTCCAATCAATTGAAGAGTCTTATTGAACATCTTTTTCATCTCATCTGCTCTACGGGTCATGATCTTGTGATTGACATCCTTAATAGTGAGGACTTCATCTACTTGCACCTGTCTGTGGAAGAATTTGACAATCTGATGTCTATTTGCTTAATAATGATCTGCAAGTTCATTCTCACAGTGTATGTTTAATTCTGTCTGAAGTTCTGAACCATGCTACCCTTGAAGATCTTGTTCAACCGCCTTGTCAAACCAGGTGTAAGGATATCCTTCACATCTTCTAAGGCCTTGACTGCTGTATTGATTTGATGATATAGTTTTGCAACCATCTCTGAGAAGGTTAATTGTGAGAAGACAGTTGATGATCAATCTGCAGGTAGCAGAGTAAAGTGATTGCATACATCACCATCATCATCATATATGTTGAGATTCAGGGCATCATTTTGAATTCATGGGTTTTTGCTTGACTTGTTTGTAATCTGGCAGGTGTTTGATGAATCAATATATTCATATCTTGCTTACTGTGAGAGGTGCAGTCTCTGAATCTTGTATGATGCTGTCTCAACATGCAGTTTGTGATATGCTTGATGATGAATGGACAAAAATTAATGTCTAACTGATGAATCCATATCTTAATTGCCTCTTTCTGACTGTCATTCAATGCTTGATTCAGTGAAACCCTCATAGTCCTTGATTTCTTCCCATTGATCCTCTCATACAAGGTGGCATATGAGACTTTGAATTCTCGCGACAGAGATGTGATTTTTAATTTTGAATTGCTTTTGTATGTGTCAACAGCTCTTTACAACTGCTTCTCAGTGTAATTAGAAGATTTAGACATGGTTATAATTAATGATGATTATTTGAAGATGAAGAATGAAGATATTGAAAATATTTTCTTTACAGTGTGGTTTTCCGTACGCTGTGGCGCACTCACTACAGAGAGTGAGTAAGCATGGCACGGTTACTGTCCCACCTACTCAAAAGAGCTATTGAAAAAGAAAGGGGTCGTTCTACATGGATTTCTTCAGTGACATAAAATACTTTCTATCAATGCATCCCACACAGTGTACAGTCCATAACCACTGCAGACTCTCTTCGCTAACGAGCTCCGGGTCATAAGCATAGTTCTCCTCATGCTTAGTCCACCCGCCTTCATTCACATTGTATTCACCCCTTAATTCCTCTGCATCCCAGCCATCAGGAGTCCCGTATCTGGATGGATACCGTCCGGTTTCCATGAACAGCTTGCGCTTTCTCGCAACTCTCCTGTGCCGCCACTCGAGAGCTTCTGATGTAGCTGAACCTATGCTACATGTTTCAGCGGTCCCGCTGCAGAGGGTGCAATAGCAAGCTGTTCCGCCCATGGTCAAGGATTGATTGTGTATAATTAATTAATTGTATTGAGTGTCGATGGAGTAGACGGGGGTTGACAATTGGCAATTCCCCAAAGCAAAAGAGATCATCTTTGGAGAGAGGGAGAAATAATATACTGTTTCGCGCATCTGCCTGGAAGAGACGAATACGGCGATCATGGGCTATGACACTTTGTAAAACGTGTTAGCAAGCGCTGAACATCATCGGAGAGTTCTCATTTTCGTGGTATGATTGAGCTTGGAGTGCATTTATGATTATTTAGCTTCGAGTACCGTTTTTCGAGAAACATCAGTAGAATGTAGGGGGTATTTAAACGCGGTCCCACTTGGGAAGAAGCCAAACGCATCGCGTAGTAGGTTGAGACAAATTTTGAGAAGGTTAACCTATTCAAATAAGGCCATCTTTGGGGTAGCAGGATTGTTTCCGTTGGCCTGTAACGTCGTTAATTCTTTGCATACAACAGTTGGAGGGCGCTACTTTTTTTATACTCCATGAGTCCACGTCGCGTGGTTCAGGCACAACAATGGCGGCTGTTATTTATTTATCTGGGTAACTAAGGTACTTTCCAACCCACTTTGCTTAGAAGGCTCGATGAAGAAAGAAATAGAACAATTTCGATTTCCCCGACGATATTTCTGACCCTGCAAGGATGCCCTCAGATCTGAACCATTTCAGGGTAATTAGGTCCATTCATTTTGGCCGTTCTCACTCATTTTCGCGGCGAATCTTGGTGACTCTGACATCTGCTTGCTTCCAAGGTTGCTGCTATTTTGGGTTCTCAAAGGAGGTAGTTATTTAAGTAATGGCCAACAGATATTACGGTGAACATCCGGGAACCACGCATAGTAAGAGAAACTGAAAAAAGTAACCAACAGTGTTGTCGAATAAAAAAGAAATCCCACCTTTTCATTTTTTTAGAGGTGCTGCTCTCGATACTTTACCTGGTAGCAACCCCAAGTTTGGACCAAAGCGAGCTGAATGCCACTCACTCGCTCTCCAGCTAACTAAATAATCCCCACCAAACTGCTCCCGCTCTTCCTCCATTTTGAGATTCATGGGATGTTTATTTCTGCTGAGAGGAACTAAGCAAAAATGCTGGCTCCCAGGGTGAACACAAGCCAGGTTCTCTAAAAGTGGAAAACCTTTCCCAGTTCATGTCAGCGAAGAATGGTCTGTCCCGCACGTCGTCCAGGGGAATTTATTATTGTTTGGGAAATCGAACTGCGCAGTGCTCACTTCTTCACCCAATCTTCAAGCAGGGGTTGTCGAGTGTTGCACTACGCAGCGTACTCTCCATGGCTTGTATGGGTTTTTGTGATGGTGTTGAGAGGGTCGTGCCTAATATAGGCCCTAATCCCCGCCCTGCGGTGAGGTGACGAAAGGAGAACGCCGCAAGCCAGAGGTTATTTGTTTCCTACGTACGGAGTAAATAACTGTACTTCCTTTCAAGTTGTCCTTCCACATATTTACGGAAGGGTCGAATGCTTTCTTTTTCTTTTTCTTTTTTTTTTTTTTTTTTCGGGCTTTGTTTCCCCTCTCCTTTGTCCTCTATTGGACCAAGCTCCCTTCCAACTCCGATTGACCATGATCCGACTGAAATCGGTATATAACCCTTTTTTGGGGGTTTTCCATTGGCTGGAAGATCCCTGTTATTGGACAATAGCAGATCGGAAGCGCGAAATAAGACGGTTAGACGGGCGAGAGAATAGTATAAAAACTCTACGCATACTCATCCGGAGAGCGCGGGGAAAACTCTTGGAAAACCAACTGGGCGGAATAAGTCGAATCCATTACCTGATTTGAGAAATTCGGCCGACAAGAGCTGGGTATGGGAGGAGGAGATGTAAGAGTTCCAGGTTTGGGAAGACATAAATATTGAGGAGAAACTTGCATCGAGCCACATTCCGGAGAATACCTTCGCATATCAATTTCACAACTGATCACCCCGCAACGCTCAGCAACCCCCAAATTACAGAGAAGATTACCTGCTGCAGAGAAACAGTAGTAGATCCTTCATACCGTTACCTCACCTCAGCCTACTCTAGCTCATCCCGGTCTGGTCTTCCATAATACAATCGGGGAAGCTTCACCCAGCGCGTACTTGCTGCCCTTTGCATAATCTGCTCAGAATAATTTAGAACCTTTAATTAACAACAAGGAATAGGGAAAAGCGACGAAGAAAAAGGGTATTCATGGCAGCATTGTACGGTGACGACGACTTTACATTTCGATTGCATGACATCATCCAAGAGCAATCATGTCTGCCACCAGATGTTCACGCCAAAATGATTCTGACGCAGTCATCGCCTGACTGGAGCAATCAGCTTCAGCAACAACCGCAGCTGCAAGAAGGGGCCCCTATCTATTCGCTTCATAACCACCATCAGCAACATCAAGAGGAATATCATCTGGGGAATCAACTTTACTACTACCAAAGGTTCCAAATCGAGCAGCAACGGCAGCAGCAACACCAACAGGAGCTGCAGTTCCAATACCAATCGTACCCATACCAACGCCAGCATCAGCAACCTTGCAACCATCGAAACAAATCCAACGACCAAAGTGAGCGAAGGCCCCAACGCCTGGCCTTACCTCGTCTCGACACTTCTTTCCCCGCCGTCCGACCGTCCAACCAACCCATCAAGAGGCCGAGATACTATGCTAACTTCCCAATAAGCACTCCCGCTAGCTCCACCACATCCACCCCACTATCTCTCAAAGCGAAATGTCAAACCCTTCCCGAGGGTGCCCAACACCAAGCATATTCCTCGGTATTCACAGACCCTGACAGTGCAAGCTCATTCCATTCAGATCCCAGACAACCCGCCTCAGCAGCTGCAATTATTCCCACACCAACCCCAGGTTCATCGGAGCCCGTGCTTCCCGAACAGATGAATCAAATCGATAGCGTCCCAAGACGTCCCGCCAAGGCCACGAAATCCCGAACTCTGTTTGGAGTTATGGCATCTATCGTATCCTCGTCACGCAAGGAGCGGAGCGTGGCCGAAACCAGAAGTCAGTAGTAGTACCTCAGCTCTCGGATGCCAGTGCTGTGGCTCATGTTAAGAAAGAGCCGGAGCGAATTCAGGCCCTGTTTGCGTTGTTGGAGGGGTTGGTCAGCAAGGACAAATAAATTGAGCTCCGGCCGTTGGATTCGATCAATTGATCCTTTTCACTTTTGATGACCTCCGGTGTTTGGGGTTGGTGGTGGTAGTGGTGTTTTTGAAAGAGGCCATTCTTTGCTCTTTCGATTCTGTGACGAGGAAGATCAACTACAGCAGGGCGGTGAATCCAGGCGAACCATCTCAAGCATTTTGCTTTGTATGTCTTCTTTATTTCCTTTTCAGAATCATTCATCATCTCTGTATATCTGTCGTGCTGGAGTTAACCGGTCGTTCCATTCTCAGTTTTTCATTTCTTTATCAGTTTACTTCCTTGTCTTCCACCTGTTTTGAATTTAGAAATTTTCTAAGTTAGGGGCACGAGGCGATTCTCCAGGTTGTCTTTCCAAGATAGGAAACATATACTGTCGGGGATCTTTTCCATACGTGTTTCACTGTCGAAGACTCGACGTCAACTTAACTAAATTGCGTTTCTGATATACATACCTTAGCACTTCTATCATTTGAAGAGGCTGTATATGAATCGTGAATTATACGCCGTGATGCTATCCTCGACGAATATAACGCGATCTAGAGGCGATGTACGAATTCATGATGGAGGAGGGTTATTACATCTTGCGAGTAGCTTCAGAGGCGATTCCTCTATGGCCCGTAGACATGGCTTCTGTCCTGGCGTGGCCGATGCAATATAAACGAACCGCTGCCCATCGCACCGAGACATTTGGAGAAGCCGTGATATCCCAAGAAATCCTCTCTCTTTGTCGAAAGAAATTCGGCATCCGAAAGACCGTAGGAGTTTAAACTTCAAAAATGTCGGAATGAATTCTAGCCATGGTAGTTTCCGTCACGCCGGACAATAAGCGAAATAGATGCATTGAGTGTCCACGGAGCCGGCATCCTTCTGCAGAGGCGGGCATTGGAGATCTGGAGTCCGTAACCCGAAATTCCAGACACCGTAGGGGGTATCTTTCTTGTGTTTGTAAATTTTCAGACATTTATCTGGCCCTGAGGTTGAGGTAGTAGCTGCCTGAATTAACAACAAGATTGAATGGAATGAAAGCTGGATAGTCTATTAGACCGACGGGGATAGGGAGTCAAAAAAAAAAAAAAAAAAAAAAAACCGTTTCTCGAAGCCCGAAGCGTGGCCCATCATAACGCGGAAACATTTTCGTGAACCCCGGAGCAAAACCGAGCCGTGCCTTCATCTCCGAGACAAGATATCCACTCCGAACTTTTAGACATTGCGTTGTTTGCTCCGGCACGGTGTTCTTGTATTCCCTCCTTTTGATCCCCGTTCGTTCGGAACGAACGATGATTAGGAAGGGAGCGGGATTCAGAGAAATATCGACACGGAAGTAAGTCATCGGCAAGGCCAATATCATTCCGGACATATCAAGCATGTCAGTAATTCGTAGAGCAGTCAGTAAACAGGGGGTCGAGGCTGACACTGGTCCCATAGCCCGCACAAACGGGTTTAAAAAAGTATTTCTCAGTCCGTGCTTCATGCTTCCACGGCTGCTGCCGCTGTGAGTGCGGAGGTACGGACAACACGTTTGTGGGCGGCCATCCGGAGTCCGGACGGTTTATTGTCATAGATAGGATTGTATCACGGTTGCGGGAAATGGAGTATGCGGGATGGACCGGTGTAAATCCCACCCGGATATAAAGGTGCGATGGAGTGTATCGATTTAATAACTCCGAAATCGCGGGACAACGCTGGACTCCGCTGGACTCCGCGGGACCGCGCTATGTTTTTAGCAAAGGGTTTATTTATTCAAACTACTAAACTCCGTTAGGAGCTGTTTTTGGGAGGGACGGATATAGGCATTTAGAAGCGCGATGGATTTTTCATAATGACATCGATATCGATATTATTCCCACCTTGGCCCCCCTGAGGCGATAATTCGTGCGTCGGGGTTAACAGACGGACAGACGGCTTTCCCGTGAACTATGATATGAGTAAGGGTCACAAGAGCACGGAGGCTGAGTATATCCGCCTTCATTATTCCTGGTACGGGGCCGTTGAAATCCCCAGCTTGAGAAGCGGCAACTACACAGTGAAAGAAAGACATTATTGTAGTGGGAGGACTCAGAGGAAGCGAACAGGCAACCCACCACAATGCCAAGCTGGCATGACTTGGCGGAATTCCACCTGCTTGACCGCGCGGGTCTGGAAACCTTTCCGTGCCTTCCGCTGCTGTCTTTGTATGGATATAGGAGGAGTGATCGACTCACGGGTGCCTGGGATACATCGTTTGTCGTACTATTTAGCTAAATACTGCTATTGTCAATTGTTGCAAGCGACATATCTAGAACATCTGAGCCGAACCCCCTCCCCCTTCATACTACGAGCGGATAAAGCTGCGGCGGCTTTCGTCTTAACAGCGGACTTTCAAGCACATTTCTACGAAAAGTGAATTCGAGGATAACCACTTTCGTATCATTAAATAGTCTAGTGATGATACCAGCCACCAGACCCTCCTTGGGGGTGACCTACACGAAATGTCCGCCCGTTGGGTGGCTCATAGTGAGACATTAACTTTGAGCAGTTATTCGAGGAATGAGTTACAGAGATGGATAGAGCTTCCTTACAAACAAGTTTAAAGAGTCACGTCAATCTAAAAGCCAGCAGAGTGAGTGATCTATGTCCATGTCAACAAAGCCTGATGCTCACAAGTGCTGCTTCATACGGAGTCAGAAATGTTCATCCCAGAGCACATGGTAAGTAAGTGTTCCCATAGAGGTTAAAAAAACCCACGGCTTCATACTACTACAGCACCGATGTATAAATAAAAATTAAACCCTTCAATCGCCCGCGGGACGTGAGACCATGGCTTCCCCCTGCGAACTGAAAATGTTATTCTCCAGTTTTACAAACATCTCTTACAGGAAGAAGTTTTGGTGGCTGCTACATAGCATTGCACGGGATGGATGATACACATGCTATTATTATCATACTTTCCACTTCCCTGGTTCATCATCTACCGGCCCTGGTTCATGGCTCTACGACATAGGCATAATATACTACATAGTATAGTATAGTACACAGGAAAAATTTGTCACTCTCCGCTGAATTTCACATGCATATTATACCCCAATTAACATTTAAACGTTGATATTAGTCTAGGCGTGTAGAAAAAGAGGATGAAATCGGTCGGCAATGTAACTTCATTTAATGATCGGCATATTCCTGCATAAATTTTATTTTATTTTATTTTATTTTTATTTTTTTTGTTTGCCGAGACATGCAAGCCTAGAAGCCAGTCGGCAGGGGCAGGTCCCAGCAAGGCAACCTTGGGACTGGGATCGGTCGAGAACCATGTTCCTTGTCGGAAGGCGCTAGAAACAACATTGGAAGAACCTTCGCCCATCAGCGACAGCCGCAATATTTAGAAGGTATTAGCAGTCGCAGGAAAGGTGTGCAGAGTTCCGGTGAACTTGTGTGTTTTTTTTATAGAAGACAGCAGACAATTCAATTCTCTCTATCGTTGATATAATGGCTCCTGCGTTTAAATCGGGCAAGAAATGCGAGGATATATGTATTCCGTAGAGTGGGGGTTGTTGATGCCACCCTCCTTTGTGCCTGCAATGAATAGTAATAAAATTCCTTCACTATTTTTCAACGTAACCATCCGTTCAGTAAAAAGGACAAGGATAAAGGGAGTATGTAGATTATTGTGATCCAAGTGGTTAAACGGCGTTATATTTTCATTTCATATTTCAATCAGTTCCGCAAGTCGCAATTTTGCAGTGTCTTTTTTTCCCGCCAACTTCTTTCTTTTGTTTGGCGAATTGAGGATGACTTTATATTTGCAGCGTATTCAACGGTGCATGTGCAGGGGAGGGGGAAAATGCAAATTTATAGACCATGGGGAGGGAAGGAAGACAAGTGAGTAAAGAATGCCAAACATATCAATAATCCGTTGTTTAAAGGGGGACTTAGTAGATGGGCCATTCGATGATTCAGGGGCTAAAAGAAGAGCGCGCTGCTGGGTTCTCCCATGCCCTTTATTGTTGGTACCGCCATGATCGTTTCCCCCAGCTCCCCTTCCAAGGTATGCCTTAGGGATTAGAATTGTACATGTACCCTGTAGATGAAATCGAAAAACAGATATATTCACATTTTCTGGCGCCTCTTATCCACTTCTGACACAGCTGAACCGCTTTCGATGCGTTCAAAAGGAGAGTATGAAATTCACGTTGTCTGGAACGGTTCATGTCATACTTGTAAGTGAAGGAAATAGCTTCTACCACAGTCACTAGATTGAGACACCCCATTGATAGAAAATGGAGGCCCACCTTATCCGGCGTGCAAGGCCCGGGTTTCGTGCAATGTAGGAGAGGACAGTAGGAAAGAGCAATTCTGAAAGTAGAATTGGTCAACATAACATCTCCGAAAGAGTAAACTGAAGTTCAGGAACGTTAAATGCGGGATGCTGGATCTTATCCTACCTGGGGAGCACCTGTAAATGCTCTAGCAATATCAACGTCTCGTGACAAGAATGTGAAAGGAGCTCCCGTTTCTGAACCAGAATGATTTCAGGGGCAAGTAACTTCTGGATGAAGAGTGTTTCGACGCTGATGTGGATGTAAAATGGAGCGCCTCGTCAGTCAAAAGCAAGCAACGCATGATGGGTACTGCCTCGAACGTGACTTTATGTGAAGGAGGCTTCCTCACCCGCAGAAGCGGGATATGAGACAGGTATACCTGAAGTCAAGTCCAACCTCTACGCATTTTGCAGCAAGGAACTCTTGCCACAACTTCGTCCTCCAATCAAAAATGTCTAGACAATTTTCGTAACTGATATCCCCAAGAAGTTGACCCCTCCCTGGCTCTAGTCTCGAGCTATCTCATCCTAACGGTCTGAGGAGTCAAGATATGATTGATGCGGTGAGGCCATTTATCGCCATGGGACCGGCAGCATATCAGAACCTACTCTTCACCTGGGGCGAGTGAATTGATTGGAACATCCCCAGAGACATATCTTGGACTCCTGCACATATTTTTGCCAGCAACACCAGCAGAGAGATGCATGGCGATGCCTTCATTTTTCGCTCCCTGTAGAGCGGTATAGGGATACGAAGCCCTTAGTTCAAACGTCTCATCGATATCCTATGAACAACTCCCAACTACACCGCCACTTGCCGTGGCTCCCATAAGTTAGGGGAATCGCTCTGGCATCCCCCATTCGGTGCCCCTTTTTTAAAGGAGTGGATAGAAGGACAAGGAAAAAGGTAATGTGCAGAAAACTAATGGGTAGCTTTGCACCCGCCAAATCACGAACAAGAGATTTTGAAAGGAAGAAAAAGAGGCTGGCTGAAGGGTTTAATATTTCCAAGATATCCATCGTTCCTCCCATCACTGTGCATCTAGGTGAACGGCTCGCCACCTATCCATCCCTGGAACGGGCCCTGATTTTCTTTCCCCAGTCGCATTCCCAGTGGCGCGGATCGGCCTGTCACCGGGGATGAGAGGAAACCTCGAGATCCGCATCTCCTTTGGCCCGGTTGGTTCGTGCGACGCCTAGGGGACTTAGCTACTCCAGCATCATCATCAAGATTTTGAACTAAGCTTATGGTTAGGGGGACTTTGTCCCCGGGCATGGCTTTTTCATGTGATATATCCAGTATTTCTCCGGCTCATGGCCAATGAGTGATGGGACTGAAGTCTAAGGAGACGTGTCAAGTGGCGCGTCTGCAGAGTTACCTTGCAGAGTACATATGTACGTCTGTAGAAGCGTCTTTTGTTGGGGACAAGGGGGGTGCCTCGAATCGAGAGAGATAAACATGACAGACAAAACTCTTCCCCTCCCCACACAGACATGCCCTTCCCCGGCCAATTGACTGGCACGGAAAGCCAACACGGCAGAGTAAAACACTAACCCAAGACGTGGGACAGATAGCTGTGGCAAAGGAGAACCGAGTTGACGAATCCTGGCTAGTCAGGATGGCGATCAGTGCGCGTCTCCCTCCCGCCTGCCCACTCCTCTCCTGTCAGACTGTCACTGACTGTCAGGGAATGAGGCTCACGGTATCGAATTAGATTAGCAGAGTAGCAGTTCGGGGAGCAGGATAGAATTCCAAGTATCGGATCCGAGTAAGACAAGGAAGCGAGCTGCTCCCAGCCAATCTCAAATATGTACTGTCACTGAATATCGATCCCCGCCACCCCTTCTCTTCTATGTTGCCTCCCAACTGGGAGGTTAGAGATAAGGAGGGAGCTATGATAAACCAAGGTGCCGGAATATAGTGCGGACCCTGCACGTTCCACCCAATAGCTGGACAAGGGCGGGAAAACGGCGTAGTGAACCTGAACAGGGGAGAAGCATCCTGCTTTCGAAGGAGAAAAGCCAAAAAAAAAAAATCTCTATTTGGTGTTGAATTAATCCATGTCCACCTGAAAACGAAACAGTCATTACATGGTATGGCATGTACGGAGGGATAACAACCCTCCTCCTTCCATTTCTCCCCCTGTTCGGCGCATGAGACACCGAGACACAGAGTTGGTCGTTGAGAATACGGTAAAATATCGGGAGGTTTCTCACGGTCCACCTACCTTATAATCATTATCTGAATGGAAATAACTAGGGTAGAAGAGTGCGAGTGGTATTCTTTGCCCCCCTGTGGTAGTAGCCTGTTGCCAGCGGCGATGTCGAGTTCAGTCAGGGGGACAAGGGGAAGGCCAAAGAGGCGCAAGTTAAAAGCGTTATGACAGATGATGCAGGTCTCAGCCAGCATCATTACCGTTCGAATACGAAGATATTCCGGCGAGATGATTTGAGGGATAGTATGTTCCATGTTGAAGAAAATTTTTTTGAACTGGTTGTTGATGTTGAGGAAACGCCAAGCAAGCAACCAGCTGCAAGCGTTGTCAAATTTACTAAAAAGAATGCATAACTAGCCTGGCGTCGAGAAAAAAAAAAAAGAATCAATAAATAACACGGCCGATTAGAGTTACCGAGGTATCCACCGGGGATCGGGTTTAAAAATAGGTTCAAGTGCCCCACTCTGGCCGAAAGCCAATCGAGACCCGGCCCTGAGAAAAGTCTATTATTCAATTTCCAGGCAAAGAAAATTCCCCACGCCCATTCACGAACAGACCATCATGGTGGACCCTAAAAGCGCCCTTGCAGCTTCTTCTCTCCTTCTAGAAGAACCCAAAATGCCGAATGTCACGCTACGATCCCTGTGCTTTGCAAGGGTGCAGGGATTGTTATGCAGAACAGAAAACCTTTTCACCCGCTAGTCCATGCAGATTGCGTACGGTGTTTTTGGCCCAGTTCATTTGTCGCTGCACGGGCTTGTATTGTAATGTAAAATGAAAAATTCGTGCATCGGGCCACCTGTTTTGGCCAGGGTGATACACCAAAAAAAAAAAAAAAAAGAAGGCCAAGTGCAACACTAGCACCCTGGTGGTTCCATCATAATACCACCCCACAGTGGATATGCGCATAGGGCGGGCGCTTGAAGAAAAATCTCAGAAGGGAATTGTTCTAGAAGGATATGGATAATTCTGAGTCAGGTTGTTGTCGCTTAATTTTCAAATCACTGACTCATTATTTTATATTATTTGCAACTATTGTGTTGCATAACTGCATAAAGCGCGATTTTCTGATAAATAATAAAAATCAAGAAAGCGATGGTAGCTGTAACTACACATGCTCATAATATTTCTCCGAGTGGATGGGAGAGTACGCCCTGTATTGGGCCGAATGTATTCTTTGATCTCCATATTCAAATCCCTCTGCTCCAGTCAGCACATCACCGGGGTTTGTGAAAATTGATTCCAAATTCAACATCACGAGAGGCTTTTCCAAAAATTAATAATAATAATAATAACAGTAACAAGCTGATCTATGCATGTTGATATGCACGATCTCAAGCTTTCACAGGGCCAAAATCTTGGAACAAATAGTAGGGGATATAGTATGGGGTACATTGGCACTCAGCCACAGATCGGGCGCCACATTCGATGCTAGATGAGGTGAGGCCTGGGCCAGCTGTCACTGCCGCCCAGCGATTTCCTGGCTCCATTGTGAAAGTCACCGTATGGGCCTAATACTGCAATTTCGAAGCTAAATGTATTGGGGTAACACAACATCCGCCAGGTTTTCTTTCTTCTTTCTTCTTTTCTCTCTTTCTTTTTTTTCTTTTTCTTCGTGCTTGCCCACTAGCCACGTAACTTGGAAATGGGGAAAGTGTGGCGGTGAAGCAGCCACAGTTACAGCACCAAATAGGAAATGGACATCTCACCTACCTTTGCCCAAACTAGCATTCCCCACAGTTTTCCAGCTTCAACCGCATGCCATTTTTTCAGACAGAAAAAGAAAGCGCAGAACTTTGATCTGCTCAGATGTGGCGGTGCAGAGTACACCGTGCATTAGCACATGGACAAAGTCCCAGCTGACACCTTCCCTGATCTGCCAGCAAAAAAACCAGTTTCTTCAGACTTTTTCGTTATGTAGGAACCCGCATTTTTTGACTTTGTGAGCATATGTTGGCACAGCAGGCAAGGATGATGATCCATGCCTACCATGCTAACAACAGCCTGTAGCTACAACATAATGCTGATGCTACTTCACTCCCCCCACCTCAATACACTATTAGCCATCTTTGAATCGGCGAGGATCTTGCATGATGATCTGCTGAACTCTTAGTGTGAAATTCCAGCTCTCTCTACAGGACAGAACTTGTTTTAACCTTTTTTTTTTTTTTTTTTTTTTTTTTTTTTTCCTTCCCAGAGTGTGAAAGCGGGGTCTTTAGCTTATGAGGGCTAGCTATTATTATGCAAGCCATCTAAATTCTTTTAGCTTGATTGATGTTGAAGAGGCCTTTGTTTGTATAGGCAACACTTGCAATAATTGCTTTACTACTCCGTAGAGTGTTTCACATTGGAAAGAATAGGCTTTGTGATAGTGTCTAACAAAACAATCATTGACTTTGATCCTTTCAAACAGCCCTGCACACACTAATCTACTTCAGATGGTTTCGTGCTTTGCTTTGAATTAAATCAAGTTTTCATTTCCTCTATTATGACTGGTATTAAAGTGATCATCATTTTATTAGACTTATTCCTTTTCTTTTCAAAGAAGGGAGAAGTTTCAAGATATCATTCCAGATTAAAAATGAATTGTTTTAATTTGCTTTGTAATTATGAAAGTACCTAATTACTTGAGATGAAACAAGTGTGTTTATTACTTTCATCTCATCTTACAATGCATTGTTAAAGCTCTATCATAGAGATTTCAGTAGAAGGAGAATTTTATACTTTTTTTTTCCGTCTCATATTTTTGACAGTTGATACCAATCAGTACCTATGTGAAGTGACGATTTTGAAGTTCCAAGTATTTGAATTACAGGTGACAGTAGTTCAAAGAGCATGCTACCTGTGTTCATACTCTCTTGATTTGGGGAAAACATGACAACAACCTCTTATGTTTGAGAAGTTGGCAGGTAAATAAAATCAAGGAAAAAAGTGCAGAGTTATTCTACATACATACATGAGGTATGCACATGGTGTCGAATATATCAGCTCCTTAAAAAAGAGTGACTTTATCTCAAAGAGCTTGCGATGGAGTTGCAGAGTAACTACGTTCTAGATTCAACGAATAAAAGCGGGTATATATATAATTGCGGTTTAATTTTTCTTGGAAGGGAAGGCTTTTTTAGTGATTCTTTATGTCTTTAATAATAAAGTTAAGAGATATCTGCAAGGTTTTCAATTGGGAAGCAATTCCTTGCTGGCATCTCTTGAGGCTCGGGTGAGAAGAGCGAACTGCATATGCATTATGCTTTAGATGCACGTGCGAATGATCATTTGGTGTGGACTGTAGTGGTGCACCTGAATGGCTCAATTGAAGTTACAGCTAATAGCTTTTGCTTAAGAGAATACTAATCTTTTTTTTCTTCAGGAAACCGTAATAAAAACCAATGAGACTTGAAGAATTCTTTCTGATAGAGAGAATTGCGCTTCGGCGAAATTTTAACGCAAAGGCCCTCTGTTGGTTGGGCCTCTGTAACTCAAATGCGGCGGCACTGCAGATCTACCTTAACTCATTGATGATTTCTCTCATTCGAGTATCAACTCTGTCGAACTAGCCGCATATCAACGCATGCTCCTTGTTAATAAATTTGCCGACGTGGTAGTCTGCTATTCATTGATAGTATGCACAATCGACCCCGCAATTCGCCCCATTTTCAGCTGCCTTCGTGGATACCTAGGCACCATGGTCCATGAATAGATACTCAGCTGTCAATAACTGCCGAGGGAATCATCAGAATGGGAGCTTCATCGTTGGATCCTGTGGGTCTGTTCGCTACAAGGAGGCGAAAGGGAATAAGTTCAAATATTTTTACGAAGCCCAGGTAGATAAACTAGTTCAAAGTGCATTCATTAATTGATGGAGGTCCAGGCATTATTATTACTCTTTTTCATTTATTTATTTATTTATTTATTTATTTATTTATTTATTTATTTATTTATTTTATTTTATTTTATTTTATTTTATTTTATTTTATTTTATTTTATTTTATTTTTTATTTTATTTTATTTTATTTTATTTTATTTTATTTTATTTTATTTTATTTTATTTTATTTTTTTTTTCATTTAAATATATCCATTTTGTAAAACATATACACTTTTTGCGAAATCAATGAATAATTAACTTTTTAACCCAGTGTCCTCTCTCTCTTTGATGTTGGTATAACATATTAATATTATTATTCATGTCTCCGGGGCGGAACCTCTGGGGCAATAATGGGTCTCGATCCTGTGGACATAACTACCCATAGGGCTGACGTGACAGGCCTTCGCTTAGAAGTTAGCACGTAAAAGCCCTCAGCCGAGCCTAAGAGCTTGGTCCGGACCCTCAGGGTATTTTTTATTTTTATTTTATTTTTCAGGTTACATGACTCGTTCATCTGTCGGAACTAGTTGCGAGATGTGACTCTACTCTACCTTTTCAATGCAACTTGATTTCTCTCGGAGTCACTCCATAGATGACTGGCTTACTAGTGAATGCTGTTGTTCCAAAGAAGTTTTCAGCTGCCTTATGATTGTTCTATCCGCTCCCGACTGAAAATGTCGGGATACAGACGACCGCCCAGTGCTTATAGATATGAAAAGGTGGAAATGATAGTCCTTCGCGAATCCAGTCCACCAGCACCAGGCCCAGGGAGCTGTGATAGATGACATGCGATGTGGGTGAGGTTGAGAAATCTCTACCTAGATGTTGTGTACATGCGAAACAGTCCTCACTAGTTCTGTCGTACCCTATATGTGGTTCTACAGGTTTGCAAAACTCACTGTCTTCTACTTTTATGTTGTAAAAAATTTAGTATTTGTTTTTCCTCCAAGGATTAATTTTATATGGATGGGAAGGTATCAGATAAGGAAGCACTGAAGATCAAATCATGTTATCAACTCACTCTGTTCTTGTATACCCTCTCAAAGAATAGTATCAAGCGGAACTATGTGGCTCTCAAAAACAGATTTCAAGACCAGGATCACATCACCATGGTTAAATTCAAAAGAAAAATGGCTCAAGGAATTCAGTGCTTCAGACTCTTTTGACATTGGAATTCCTTTCAGGCGCACAATTCTATCTATGATCCATTGCCACGTTGTCCTCCCGAGGAATAAAGAGGACAGGAAGAAGGCTCGAAAAGAAGGATATTTGTGTTCCCAGAATTCTTGGAAATGATGAAATGGCGTGACATAACTCTAAGCTGACGTGATGTGTGTTTTCCGTTGAACTGTCTTGATCATGATGAGCAGATATACGTATGCTGTACGGAGTAGAGCTTTCTCTATGACAGTTGCCACCTGCTTCCCCATTCACAAAAAAACTCCGAGGGCTCCGACACGGGCACATCGTGAGAGCCGCGGCCGATTATTCTGTTCATATCAAACTGGTAATTTATTTGTAAGTGTTATTTTCATTTCTTACACACCTTTTTGGCGCCTTGGTAGTCAGTTATACGTCCGTAGGGCTGAGTCCCGTTTTCACAAGCCGAGAGCTACGGACTTTCCCTAGCCCGTGCCCGCCCGACAACTTACAAGGTGAGGAAGTGTCAAACAACCAGAGCGCTTGTTGAGTTTCAGTTTCGCTGGCTTACTAGCCGAGATTGATAAGCGAAAGGTTGTATGTAGTAGTTCCAACTTCCCCCGGCGGACCGGACTGGAAGCTCGCCCAGTACCATGGCATGGGTGCCTTTGATAATACCTTAGTTGTTCTAACCGACATCGACCTTGAAGTTTCTGGTCTCGGGTAAGTCAGTTATGACTCGTGGAAGTTTAAACTTTGAACCAAAACAAAAACAAAAACAAAAAACTGAAAAGAAATAAATCGCTAAGTTACTCAAACCGATGAAAAAATATAAATAAATTTGTATTTTCTGGTCTAGTTGTGATAGGCAGTAAAACCAGGGCCTCGGTGAACGGATTCATCGGGAGCTGCATATTCAGGAACCGCGAAGAATAGAAGTCAGTCGGGTGTTGCAACGGTAACGTAACGCTGTGCAACGAAAAAGCGATCAGCCAAGCATAGGAGAAATGCGATTGGTTTGAAGAAGTGGCTGTGCTACGCTAAAAGAAAAATTCAAATACCAAAAAGTTGAATTCTTCAAACACTAGTAAATTTGACCATTCGGGGTTCGCCGACTTGAGAGGGAATGCAGTTAGACTGGGTATTTTTAAGCCACACTACGCTACTCTGCATGCGGGCTAGTTGTGCCAAAGGTCTCGGCGATGACGCTTAAGGGACAGCTTAGTACCTGCATAAGCTGTGGCTTGACTGATGAAAAGCATGTTCTTAATATGAAGCTAATAACTTAGTCAATGCGTCGTTGTCTTTGTAAATATTTTTTTTTTCCGCAATAATTGATCAGGAAAACAGCCGGTGGGTCAATAATGAATAATGGTCCCGCCAGTCTCTTCACTCAGAGCTGTTCCCCAGTCGGGAATATTTGTACGAAGAGCCCTGGAGAGTTACATGGTGAGCGCCACACAGACAATTTAGATCGGGCAACTATATGCGCGCCGCGTTATGCACCAGCCACAACCACAGCAATACCTAGGCAATAAAATGGGCAGAAGGTGCGAGACTGGTCTCGATTTGGCGTAGGGGAGTTCCTCGGGAAAACATGCCGATGCTACAATTATTTGGCAACGAGTCATAGAAATCAAGCTAGCCAAGGGAAAAAATAAAAAACGTGGATCCGTGGATATGTGTCTTACCTACGCAGTAGGCAACCTCTAATCAGATTCTTTCTCGTTATTATTCATTCTGATAATCCGGGTCACTTGACCACGGATTCGAGTATAAACCTTATGAATTCCTCAACCTTTAAGTTACTATTATTGTTATGTCATTTCCAATTTTGGTCAGATCACAGGGTAGGTAGTTGTCCATATGAAATCATAGCCCTTATTATTAACCCATGGATCTTGGGGAGAGTGTAGCGATGTACAGTACATACATACCTAGCAGAGTTTACAGTCTAGTTTTTCTCAATCTCAATGCAAGATATTTGAAACTGATCATTTATAACTACGCGGGTACTATTCTATCGTACATAGTCAGGAAAAGCAGTGCATAACAAGGTGACAAGGCCGGCGAATAATCCGCTTAATGATCGACATGATTTGATGGTGCTTATTATTATTATTATTAATTTTTCGTAAAAAAGAGTTAAGCGACTTTTTCCACATTATGCGAAATATTAACCGGGGAGGAAAGCTAATAATGATATGCACAGACCACAGACCGACCGCAGCAATTAGTCTAAAGAGCATGTCGATTAAAGTCGATTAAAGTCGATTAGGTTTTTTATTTTTTATTTTTTTATTTTTATTTATTTTTTTATTTTATTTTTCTCGATCAGCTGGTTGGTTGCGCGTGCGTAGCGTAAGGGCGTTAGCGTGCACAATGCACAAGCACAGCTCTGTATGGGGGGGGGTTAGCTTGTAAACTGGGAAAGCTGTAATCTGTAATCTATCTGTAATCTATCTGTAAGCAAAAAAACCTGCCTATGGGTGCGGTGCCGAGGGTCAGACACATGTTACATACTCCGTACAGATAGTTGCGCAGTCGGCTCGGCCAAGAGCTGTCCGACGTCATTCCAGGAAGGTTTGGCTGCCAAGACTTTGACATTGCGGAATACCGAGAATTCGGCGAGCAAAGAGCGCTAGTACCGGAGCGGGTTTCGCGGGGTTGGGTTGGGGATGAATTTCTTTACTACTACCTACCTACTACTACCTAACTTGGCGATTTGCTTGGACGATATTCCAGGCACGGATTTGGAGACGAGATGGTTCTGCTTAGCTGTCATGGTCGGTCCGGGTTCCCCAGGGAGTTTTAAGGGCGTTTAGGTGGTCGCTTAGTGGGGGTTAGGAGTTTCGCTAGGATATCTAGGACTTGACGGGCGGTGGAGATTTCCCCAGCCCTACCCGAGCGAGTGAGCGAGTGAGCGGAGTTCTCGGGTACACTTAAAGTAGTAGACTGGCTCTTTTCATAATAGGCATGAACATGACATGGCCTAGATTGACCATGGAGCGGGGAGCGGGGAGCGAGAGGTGTCATACGTCTCGGGCCCGGAGCGGCATCCTGCTTTTTGCTTCCCTTTCGATACTTCCTCTGTTTCAAGTCGGCATAGTCCGGTAGTTTGAAGCGATTTTCGATGATGTTATTATTATCGGATTATTATTTCATCAGACGAGAACTTGGATTGAGGAGCATAGGAAAATGTTAGGTCTATTTGAGCGGCGGTTACGTTCTTACCCCGGAACTCCATTGAATTGAGTGAGTGTCAAAATCCAGTTCTAAACAACTAGTTACGCACCACTAAGATTATTTACAATATCATGAGACCAATTGAATCATTGTGATTAGCCCTTGGTTAATAATTCCTGAATTCGAGTGCATTCTTTTTACTCGCAATTATTGCTGACGATATTCTGCTGTCATCGGCAAAACCTGATTGCCGAACTTTTCCAAGGTTCCTCCCTGCTGACAACATGATTAACTAACCACACCACACACATGAGTCATCCTGGGGACAAGCGAAGTAACGGCCTGATTTTTGTTGTTCTCCTTCGCCGAACCAAGAGCCTTACCCCATTCGACTCGACAATATTTCCATTGCATTTTCCTTCGGTATTATTATTATTATTATTATTATTATTATTATTATTATTATTATTATTATTATTATTATTATTATTATTGATGATTATGATTATTATGGGGCTAGTCGAACGGACCACGCCGAAACAAACCCTTGCACAGCCGCACTGTAACTCATAAAATTTTCTCTTCAAAGGGGGGTTATTTTGTAGGGATCTCAATCCGGTTAGACTCAGATCGTCATTCTTCTGCAAAAAAAAAAAAAAAAAAAAAAGAAGAAGCCGAAGGATTTTCAAAAGCAAAGAAAGGGAAAAAACAAAAAGAAAAAAAAACGAACCGTGGTAACGCTGAGGCAGGGAAAATTACAAAAAATACCCCAAAAGAAAGGAATCGCGTAACACCGGGGAGTCAAAAGAGCGGAAACCGGAAACCAGGGAACAATACGCCAAGACACAACTCATAGTACAAATACAATAAGCCATCCCGCCGGAGCAAGCAAGAAGAGGACAAGACATCGATCTATTATCTATATATAACGAAACACACTCGCTACGAACTCATAAAAAGAATAAGAGGAAAACCATTTCAGACGGTTTCACCTTGACTGTCTGATAACAACAATCTCTTTCTTCGCAATCTCCCTTTCTCATTCTATCATTGTTTTGTTTCGACTAACTCTCCTGCTGCCCTCTTCCATCCATCCAGGCCTTGAGCTCAACTTTTTTTTTTTTTTTTTTTTTTTTTTTTTTTTTTTTTACCTTTTTTGCCACTTCTTCATGACTTGAAAAAAGCCTAATTGTTCTCTGGTCCACCCCCCCTTACAAGCTTATTTTCCTGCCCATATTTACCCTATTATTCTTACCTATTATTACGGTTTACTTTATATATCATAAGCGGGCCCTCCCCCGTCGTCGTTCTCGACATGCTCGCCCACTATTCTGTTCCGACTCCTCCACATCTCCAACCATATCCACAGTCACAATCGCCCCTCTTCCCACCACAACAACAACAGCAGCAACAGCAGCAGCTGCTCGAATCTTCACATCCAAGTTCTTCCAACTTCCACAACGACGGCGACTGCGTTGCCCAATACGAGTCAATCCGCCACCGCCTACCTACTCCTTCTTCGTCGTCCCAAGACTCGTTCGCCCTCCTGCCTGAAGACCAACAGCTGCAGCAACTAGAGCAGGCGCAACAGCTGCCATACTACTGTGCAACTCCTCTCACTCCCGCGCCCTCGCAGTCACATTCGCAGCCTCCTTCATTCTCCTCGTCGTCGCCGCCACCTGGTTCAGCTGCTGCCTCTCCCACATACTCGTCTGCCGCTTTTTCCGCCCAGAACTCTCCTTCCACAGACTTCTGCTCCTCTTTCTACAAAGACGCCGGCGTTATTTCTATGCCGGAAAGCACCTTCTCTTCTCCGGCTGGCTTGTCGCGCACTCCTCCGGTCAGAATCATACATAACTCGACTCGTCCCTTTGGGGAGTCCACCTATGATCCGGATAACCTATCGTCCATGCTTTTGCACAACAGTCTTCCTCTGGACAGCAACGCTTGGAACAACCTTGTAACCCCAGTCAAGTACGAACCTTCGCGCACTGCTCAAAGAACACGCCAACGTGCTCTCTACAATCAGTACCAGCACCATAGAGCCGCGTCCGACTCTTCGGCTCTCCCAACAACTACCGTGTCGCGATCCAACCCCCTCGTCTCGTCATACCCTCCTTCTTCCTTCGCCGGCACAGATCAGTCTCCTCGTGACTATCAACAGTCAGAGGGGGTGGATCTGGCAATGAGAAGGGCCATTTTGGAGCAACAGCAGCAGCAACAGCAACAGCAACAGCAACAGCAACAGCAACAGCAGCAGCAGCAGCAGCAGCAACAACATCAACAAACTGCGGAAGATGACAAATCTTTCTCCCTATCTGTACCTCCTTCAGTGTCCACATTGAGTCATAACTCCCCGGTTACTCCGCACGCTACCTTCTCCGAAGAGTTCGAAGATGGTTCTAAGCCCATGTCAAATGGTGAGGGCACATATCCTGACGTTGATAAGTGGATGGATGATTACTTACGTTTTGATGACCGTGTAGATTTCAATGACCAGAGCACTGCTCCGATGGGCGTTCCCAAGCTGACTAGAACCATCTCTGACGTCTACCAAGACGAACTATACAACCCGAACGCTCCCACTACACCAAAGCAATCCATCACATCCTCTTCTCAAAGCACGAAGATGTATTCGAATTACCACCGCAATATCATCACAGACCGGATACAGGCTGCTCACCAAGGCCATATCTCTGAGCAATCACAATCCCGCTCAGCCTCAGCAGCCCGTCACCGGTCTCCATGGAGGGATAACTCCCCATTCATCCATGAGCAAGCTGGGTTTAACGATGCGCAGATCTCGCAGTCTCAACCGTTTTCAAATCAGCTGAATCTTACTGCTCAACAGCAATCAAATATGCTGATGGGACCAGAACAGGTAGAACCAAAGACCATCTCGCCAAAGGATGCGTTGCTTGATTACAATGAGTCTCCGGACGATGCGAACATGTCATTATTCCCATCGCAGCCGGAAGCTCAGCGGTATCGTGTGCCGGCACTAGACACCTCTACCACTTTCCAGATACCACATATGGAGCAGTTCGCAAACCAATATGAGCAACACAAAAATAATATGGCTCAACAATTTGGCTACATTCAGCAGCAGATCCCTCTTCAACTATCGGGCCAGCAGCAGCAGCAGCAACAGCAGGCCCATCGGGTTCAGCCGTCTCAAGGTCAACGGGAAAACAACCTTGTCCACCACACTCCTGAATTCCCACGTCAACTGCCTTCTATGGAATCTACGTCCAGTGACACGAACACTTCTGCGAGCAATAGATCTCCTTTAGGATCAGCGCCGACTTCGAATCCTGCTAAACCCGCCAAGCGACCAGATGATACTTCGGCTGATGGGGGTACCTATAGCTGCACTTATCACGGATGTATCCTACGGTTTGAAACACCTGCCAAACTACAGAAGCACAAGCGGGAAGCTCATCGCCAGACAACCCCTGGGTCACATGCAATGGCACGCGATTCATCAGCAGGTTCTCTGGCAATGCGCAATTCTCAAGCAGGGCCCCACCGCTGCGAACGCATCAATCCCTCTACGGGAAAGCCTTGCAACTCTGTCTTCTCCCGTCCTTACGATCTTACAAGGCACGAAGATACAATCCACAACGCCCGCAAACAAAAGGTGCGGTGCCATCTATGTACAGAGGAAAAGACCTTTTCTCGCAACGATGCCCTAACGCGACACATGCGGGTTGTGCACCCGGAAGTCGACTGGCCAGGCAAGCAGAAACGCAAGGCAAGGGATTGAAGGGGGAGAATCAACAAAACAAGTTTTCTCGCCACCTTCAATCGTCCTTCCTCCATTGAGTTTCTTTGGATACACTCTATTTGCGAAAAGAAAAAGCATAAAAAAATACGGGGCAATTCCTCGCTCACTCCTTGATTCAACCTACCTTGTCCTCTAAGCTTGCCCGGTCGAATACTTACTGGTCTTGTTTCGTCCCAAGGAAAACATACATCATGCATCTTGTATCCTGCATTGTGTGTTGCGCGCCCCGTGTCTGGGAGAGCCGGGTCGCCTTACAGTTTTCTCACCCAGAGACCAAGCAGACTGACCCACGGAAGGCAGAGCATCCTGGTCGCGGAATTAAGGCACGATGACGACAGCCGCCAAGCCAAGTATGACAAACGCCAAGACATCCAACCCACTCAGGGAGCTAGTATCAAAATCTGCGCTAGTCCTAACCAAGACGTTGGCTGCCCTTTTGGGACAGAACAGCCCAATTAGATTGCAGCAATTGCAGCGATCGGCAGTATCGTTTTCCTATTCCAGGCTGCTGCTGACGAAAAACTTGGTGCCTTTTTTTAAGCGCAACTCAACAAGGAAATGTTTCCCCCAAGTCTCGGTCAGAGTGACGTCATTTTACCTCTGTTCTTGCTTGTGTTCTGTGCATAGACATTGCTTAGCAATGTGTAATAATGACACCATCATGCAGTGGGCTAACTGCTCAGCAAGGCCTGGGTTTTTTTTGGGTTTTATTTTTACTTTGTTTTTTCTATTATTTCTTTTTTGCATTTTCATTTTTCATCACAATTCAGCTGATGGCCTTGCAAACTGTTTTGTCATAGAGTTCACTTTTTTTGGATGCTTTTATTTTCTGTGTTGACTTTACCAGAAAACACTTTTTTTTTTTTTTTTTTTTTTTGAAACAACCTTTCAATCTCTGAATGATTGAGGGAATTATTTGATTTTTAATATATGCATACTTTCTTTGGTGTTTTTTTCTCTCGTTGCATTGGATTGGATTGAATTGGATTGGCATTGATTGGCATTGATAGGCTCTGGTCAAAAAACGGGATTTTTCTCTTTTTTTTGCGACGAGCGTTTTGGTTTTCTGCAGCCTTTTTTCTTTTTATATTTTGTTGTTGTGTAAAGCAAAGAAAAGCAAAGCAAAGCAAAGCATGATGAAGCATGAAATGTGATGAAAGCATGAAATGAAGCATTAAGCATACATGGTGTTTTGCATCTGATCTGATGAGAATAATTGGTTTTGTTTTTTTTTAATTCTTCTTTAAATCTCTCTTCTCTTGTTGATCCATCCGTGCTTTGTTTTTTCTATAAGCATGTTTTTGAATTGATAGTTGTGATTTTAGCGTGTTGTTTGCTTTCATTCCCCCCCAACCCTTCTTCTCTCTACTGTTTTTTGAATTTGTGTATGTGCTGCATGGTTTCTTTTTCTCTCATTTTCTGACCTTTGTATCTGTATTTGTATCTGTACTATTATTTCTGCTGTTTATTGTTGTGTGCATGGCGTGAATATGAGGTATGAGCGTGGCATCAATTGAAGAAGTCTTTATTTTTTAACTAATTTATTATACACGCGCGTTTTTGATGTATAGTATATATGTATGTATGCCTAGTCTCTTGGAAATAATGTTCTATGTGATGAAACTAGATCTCACCTCCCCTCTCCTTTCCCGCCCTTTATACCTCGCCACATCATCGCCCCAGCTCCTTACCGCCGACGCCAACCTCCCCGGAACCCCAGGCTCCTGCGCGATCTCCATCACCGGCATAAAATACGTGCGGATCGTAAACACCACAGCGCCGGACCTGGGCTACCTGCGCAGCGACTGCCTCTCAGACCGAAACCAATGGTGCTCAACCGCCTTATCTTTCTCCGCCGTGGCCCAGCTAACGTGCGCATCGTCCTCCTCGCCAATGCTGCGCGACCACGCGATGTCCTCGTCGACCTGGAGAAAATAGTTGTTGCGCAGGACGGGGTTGGAGGGCTTGAGGCGGCGGAAGAAGTTCACCATGCCCCTTTCGAGCTTGGTTTGGAATTGCGGGACGGAGCCTGAGGTGTGGATTTCGGAGAGCGCCTGGCCGAATTTGTCGCTTAGACGTCAGAAGCCGGCGAGGAGGTAGTATTGTCCGTCTGCCTTCTCGTACATGAGCGCGATGTCGTCTTGGATTAGGCGGGAGCAGGTTACTAGGGGGTCCTGAGGGAGAGGGAGGGTGGTTGTGTCGAAGGTTTCGCCGGTTAGGAGGTTTGAGATGCCTGTGGTTGTGCGTTTGAAGAGGGTTGGGTAGCGTTGAGGGAGATAGGAGACCCTGATTAAGTGGTATTTTGTGAGTGTGGGGAATTGTTGGTTTCGTGGATCAAGGGATTATCAGAGAAGTGTCGAGGAATATATGTATTTATACACGTACAGCTCGTCCAATAACTCAAGCACACCGTCAGCGGCTTCAGGGGCCGTCATGCAGCATTTGTCTCCGCGTTCGAGGATCCGTCGCGCTTTGTCGGCATGGAAGCGGAGATATTGGTTATCCAGCTCTGGTGTGAAGATTATTTGGTATTCCTTTTGTCAGGGAGCGATTTCATTTACGTTATATTATATCCTGGTTCTGTGCGAAGCTGCGGTATATGAGATTAAAAACCAAGTGAGTTCATGCATACCAATCCACTCATCCCATATCATCGACCTCAGCCCCATCGTGACAAAGTAGTTGCCTTCGATGAATGAGTAGCTTTTTGTGTGTGATTTCCATGCTTTAGCCACTCCTTTTCATTATTATCGAAAGTACGACTTACGGGCCGTATCTACAAGGTCTATATGGAATAGGCTTTGTGGTGTGTACGTCCCAGTTGGGATAAGGGACTGCGTCAGGGCGTTTGAAGTCTGTGGGCTGCCATTCTTCCAGCCGAGCAGAAGCGTCAATTGACCTAAGTCCAGCCATAATAACTTAAAACATTTGATCTGGGGAAGAGGTGGTCTCAAATAGGTACCTCCTGGTCGTCTATCTGCTGTTTTGGTGTTTAGGGCTGGATTTTCTCGATTTGGTGTCACTGGTCGGGAAGACGGACGGGCAGTGAATCTTTGACAGAGGGAGGCAATTGCCCATGAGGAGATGAAAAGGAGAAGAAGTACAGGGAGGAGGTCGTTCAGTGGATATTTATCCAGGACGAACGTTAACCAATTTGTAGGTTTTTGGCTGGATCACACATCGTGGTGATATTTTGTCAGGCATTTGATATCGTTTCTCCCGAGATCAAAAAAGCCAGAGAGATTGTTGGGGTCGTATATTATATATTTCATCTGATATCAAAGCGAGCATTTTTCCCCGTAGCACACCCCCCTTAGTTTTTCATTTTATCTGTATTCTCTCACCCTTCCCACCGCTGCTCCTATACATAGCTTAACCAGTGCCTAATATCTCTCGATCACTGGTTGCTTCCGGGGGTAAAGCGTTGCGTTTTAACCGAAGACCGATTCGGGAAAGAAATGCAGTTTCTTGGCATTCATCACCGTGTCCGTATCACGGCCGGAGGCAACATCCTTTCAAGTGACATATCACGTTATGTAGAGTGTGTCGCGAAAATCACTTAGGGACTGATATCAGCTTTTCGTCGTCCAAGAAGACAGTATCGACCCCATTTGCGCTGGAGCTTTTCTGGGATGAAGGGGAGGTTCGGAATCCAAATTATTCGTCCCAGAAAACTCGTCCTTTTGGTGTCAAGGAATCGCTTGCATGAAAGTTCTTCCCATGTAGATCTGTCGAGGAGATAGTGGGGTTCTAGGGCAGAGCCACCATCGCCTGGAAAGTACGAATCGACCAGAAAATTACACTGGGAGATATCCGTCTGCTTCTGGATTAGTGGATGTGTCATAATGGTGAATAGTACCTGATGAATACTTACATATTTTCCTAGGTCTTCTAGATTCTGATCGTTCATCCCAGAGGGCACTATCCACGTCCCTGGGCGTAGATCTAGGGCCTCCGATTCGGGAGCAAATTCACCAGGAAGTAGCCCATCAAATTCACTTTTGATGAACTTGGCTCTTTTATCATCAGGCAAGAAGAATGATGATGGAAAGCGGTACCACTCCTTTCCAAGACACACATAATCTCCACGGGCTGCTATCTCTGGATTTTCCAACGGCTGGAAAATCTGCAGGGGTGCGTTGTATGCAGTAACAACTCCGAAAATTCTTAGGAGACTTATATTCGTGGCGAGGAGTACGGGAATGAGAGCGATGACGAGCTTTATCCCGGGCGAAATACGACCAATCAAATTTTTGTGATTATTCGAACCCATATAGGCGAGAACTATGTGGAACGCAATCGCTGCGTTTAAAGCTAAGAAAGGATATGCTGGATACATGAAACGCTCCTCCTTATGAGGCTGGGTGGTAAATATACTTAACCACATGTAAAGGGGGAGAATAAACGATATCGATCGCAATAGTGTTTGCTTTGTCGTATTGCGTGGTCGGAAGACCGTTTGGAAAACAAGGAGAGGAGCCGCGGAGAGCGCGAATATAAACCATATGTTGAAGTTGAGCAGTAAGTTTCGAAAATAAAAGGTCCAAGGCTCGGTTCCAAAAATACTGGGACCCTTGCCGCTCCCAGCAAACATGTTATATGATATGATATTCCACGGAACGACGACGAATTTTCGGTAAAACAAGCTATCAATAGCCATCTCGAGAGCCTAGGTTTATTAGCGTGGACATGTATGTCAGAGGCGCAAAAGCAACTTACCAAAATTATCAGACACCTCATAGTACCCTCAGTGAATCGAATCAAGGTTCGGTATAGAGATTTAGAAAAGTATCCAACGGCAATCTCTTCCAACAAAAAGGGTACCACCATAGCGCCGGCAAAAGGCCATCCAAGTATAGCTCCAATACCGAACCACATTATGCCGCGACCTGTTTTAAGGCCTCCGCGCGAGTCCATGAACGCACACATGCCAAGCATCGAGGTGTACATCGTAAAGCTCGAGGGTAGCATTGCAGTGGATGCATGGAACATCCCAGGACTAAATACCATGATCATGATAAATATGACTCCGATGCGCGGATTGAGTGTTCGTGAGATGGCAGAGTATATCCTTGTCTCGCAAGCGGTGCATATGAATGCAAGCGCCATTCTGATGAAATAAAACTGCGCGCTTTTCGATCTCGCAATAAAAGTAGATATCTTGCCTACGCCAGCATGAAGGGAGACATAGAGCCAGCTACGAATGGAGTACTCTGGCGAGTACTCCCACGTCTGGAGACCATACCCATGAACGAGGTAGTGTGTGGGCTCCCAGTAATTGAATACTTCGTCGCAGTCCTGTATGGGTGCAAGGGAGGCCGCAAGAGTATTTGAGAGAAGGCAAACGTAGAAGACCACATTTAAGGGAATAAAGAACTGATTCGGGACTGGCCTTTACCGCCGTATGATTAGTTATGGTATGCGAAACGGAAACGAAGTTACATACTTGGGATTTCTCTCTGATGCTACTTTGACAGAACCATGAGAACCAGCCTGGTTTTGTTTGGGAGGCATTTTTACCGAATGGGCATTGGAGAGCATGCCCAGGTTGTACTTTGGGCGGAAGGGAAAACTGCAATTCCTCCCGCGCACCCCGTGTTTGTCGCAGTCTGAAAGCGGGACGAATCAAAATATCGCAGAGGTTTGACATCCGCGGCGAACTTTAAAACCTTGAGGAGTAGTTAAGTTAGCTCCTACGGTTGCCCAGATTAGCTAGATGTGCAAATATTAATTTTAAGTCGAAAAAATATTCGGCGTTCACTTCGGGACAGAAACGAAAAATGGACGATGCTGAAATATCTCGCAACGAAATATTACCACGATTTCTATCCGTGACTTTTTTACAAGCTCAGGGATGGTGGAAATGCCGTCAACGGATCAGCTAATGTCTGGAGATATTAAAGACCCTCCTGCGAAACGTCCCTGTCTTGATATGGCGTCGAACGGACCGGAGCTTGGAGGAGAGCCAGCAGCGGATGAAGGAAGCGATTTCTACAACACGCCTCTAAACGCTGGCACCCCGGTTTACACTGCGCAGACCTGTCGCGCCGAAGACAATACCAGCGTCGTTCCACCTACACCACCGAAACCTGCGCCCGCAATACCTGGACTGAGCTTTCTGTATAAGAACGAATCAGCTACTGAGTCGCAGGCAGCTGGAAGCGCCGTTCAACAAACAAGCTCCCTGGATAAACCCAGTGAGCCGGATACACCGCAGGAATTGGATAACCGAGTGCCAAATTCTGAAGATGTAGAAATGGGATCCCCAACCCCAGTCGTTCAGCAACGCGAGGAAGAACAGCAGGGCCAGAACCATACAGTTACGGAGGAATCTAAGAATGATGCCCCTACTGTCTCGGAGGCTAACCATGACCCTGTACCACCGACACAGAATGGAGCTTCTGGAGAGTCTCCGGGACGCGCGAATCACACCGGAGGCGCTGAAATTGGCCCCGACAACTCTGAAAACCCGGAGTGGGAAATGGACTCCTCACCATATGAGTCGTCTTCCTCAGATTCTTCCTCTGACGACAGCGATGATGATGATGATGATGATGATGATGATGATAGCAGCGGCGATTATGACTTATTAGACCCTGAAGAACAAGCCCGGATATTAATGGCTGCGGAGGGCGGTTCCGACGACGAGGGAGATGGAAAGAATAAAGGGGGACATGTTAGGACAGCAAACGAAAAGCCCGAAGAGATAGTACCGAAGCCCGACATTACCGTCACACCTGATATGAAGGTAGAAGTACTGGGTAATGTGGAGACGATCGTTGAAAACGTTGTCTTAATCAAGGCAAATATATCCGGGGAATATCAAGTGCTGGAGAGCGGTTCCGTCCTCTGCCTTGCCGATCTAAGTGTCATTGGCATGGTATCGGAAACCCTTGGAAGAGTGGAACAGCCGCTATACACGGTACGGTTCCCGAACGAGGAATCGATAAAAGAAGCCAAATTAGAGAAAGGCACGCCCGTTTTCTATGTTGTGGACCACTCTACCTTCGTGTTCACACAACCCTTGAAGGGGCTCAAGGGTAGTGATGCATCTAATTTCCACGACGAAGAGGTTGGAGAGGAAGAAATCGAGTTCTCTGACGACGAAGCGGAGGCTGAATACAAGCGTCAGCTCAAACAGAAGCGTCAACAAAAGAAGGATGGGCGGCGTGATGCTCATGGACCTGGGAAATCGAGGAGAGATCGACCGGGCCCTTCTGGGCTTGGGAACTATCAGGTAAACTACGACGATATTAGTACAGAAGATGGTTACACCCCGTTGTCTCGACCGAAAAATTTCCATGAAATGATCGGTAATAGAGAAGCGCCCATAGAAGAATCTCAGCCACGCAACCAGTTTGCAGAAAGACATTCTAGAGGAGGAAGGGGCAGGGGTAGAGGCAGAGGCAGTGATCGGGGAGGGCGAGGACGCGGGAGAGGTGGCAGCTACCAGAAGCAGGGAGATGATCGCCAACCCCCTCAGCAGCAGCAACATCAACCTGAGCAGCCGCAAAGAGGGCAACAAGAAACGCCACAGTATGCCCACCCCCCACAATCTTCCGAATTCCGACCTCCGCAGACCTTCTACCAAGCCCAGAACCCTTACCAACAACAGCCCTCGCCTTACAACCCGCCCTCATATCCCCCTTATCAACCCCCACAACAAAATCAGCCTGCTCAGATGTACAACACCAACCAGGCTTTCTTCCCCTCCGGTTTCCCCCCAGCCCAGCAGCAGTTTCCTTTTCAACTTCTCCATCAACCTCAATCTGTGTCTCCCTACCCACCACCCGGCTCCCATATCAACCCAGCCTTCTTCCGCAATCTCCAGCAGCAGCAGCATTCTTCACAATCTCAACCACCCGAACAAGCCCAGCAGAGCCTACAAGGCGCACACTCAGCCGAAGCGTCTGCAACACAGTCATCGGTTGATACCTTCGCTGCCGCCCAGGCCCAGCTGGATCTGCTAAGGAGGCTAAGTCGGGGCGGTTCCTGAACCGTAAGCGTTATCGGAATTCAAACGCACACGTTTCTTTCCCACTGTGCTTGCAACGGCCTTGTTTCATTTGTCTAAAATCATGGCAACTCACGTTCAATTATCAAAAATTGTTCTCTCTGTACGATACTGTTGCTCTACTTGTATACTTGTATGACTTTTATGCTCTTACTCTTTCATTATTGAAATTAGAGATATGACTCATAAGAGAGAAAGAGCCAAAGACACTGGAAGGTTGTTGTTTTTTTTCTTAGCCATGGTTGTGCTTGTCCTTTATTTCAATTTTTATGGAGTTCTCTACTACGGAGTGCATTTTACTCTATGGGATTTGTCGGTATTCAAAACTTGGGATTAAGGAAAGGAAGCGAAAAGTCATTTTTGTTCTTGCTACTCATAGTTAAGTCTAGTTCCCAGATAGCATTTTCATTGATCTTGTTTACGGCCTATGTATGTACAATGTGGCTTAAATTTTCAAAATATTGCATTTGGGAAATTTCTCAAATAGTGTGGATATTTAGAATGGGCCTCGAATGCGCATATCTAGACCTAGGCCTCAAAAGTGCTAGATATCAGAGAATATAATGATACAAAACTGCTCAACGACATAATACGCTGAAATACAACATTGAAGAAAATATCATATAGCACTTACGTTGCCTCAGTCTTCAAGCTCTTCGCCAAAGTCCAAAAGTTCTCCAGCTTAGCCCGCGACAACGCATCCTTTGCGGCAGCATCCGTCTCGCACACCCGCGCACCCAGCCACTTTCTAAACGCTCTAGTCTTTCCCTCTCCTTCCCAAACTAATGTGCATGTGTTTTGGCTCAAATCCTTCAGCTCTCCCGTCTTCTCATCCTCGGCAGTAAGCCATGATGCGAGCGCTTCGCGATCGTTGTTTGGATGAGTATTTTCCGTCCAGTCAATGCGATTGAGCATGAGCTTCCGGTACGCGGAGATGGAATGATGGCCACCCTCGACGATCACGAGGTTGAACTTCGGATGCATAATGCACATTCCAGACAGGTTGTGCTGTTCTGCGTTTTTGCTGATTTTGAAACGATGCCGGCCGTTTGAGAGGTTGTCTATTTTGTATACAGACATGTATATGCCCTTGGCCGCATCCTGTTCTTGTTGAATGGTGAGCTTCTCAAGCCGTTGCTCCTTGGTCAGCTTGCGGGATTCATTCGTTGCCACATGTTTGTTAAATCGTTCGGCAATTTCCCGGTTGACGCGAGCTTCAACAGCGGTCGGATCCTTGACGGCTTCTTCACCTAAAACGCGCATGAGGTTGGATTTCTTGACTTTTGGAGGTGGGACAGGCTCGAGCCCTAGTCTAATCTTCGCCTGTTGCTCTTTAAGATCGGCCATCCGCCGTTGACGTCGGATTTTGGCTTGCTCTTTTGGTGTAAGGAACATTGGTTTTGGTGCCGGAATGTTTTTATCTTGTGGAGGGTCAAGGAGAACTGGATGTTGAATATAAATAGAGATTACAGTATCTGCAGTGTCAATTTTGAGATTTTGAGGGTCATCAATGGCAGAATAGTCCGAACCGTTGACTAAACCCTCATCCCACCACTCGATTGCAGGTGGAGCCGGTACGATGAACGCTTTTTCAACATCCAAATCTTCATCCACGCCTGCTTGGCGGGCACGCTCCGCGATCTTCTTCTTCATAGCCTCTAGCTGAGCTAGTCGGCGAAGTGCCGCTGCCTGCTGGATATATTTCCCTTTCTGATTAAAGACTAACTGACGTGATTGACGAGGCCGCGCTAGAGCTGTTTTTGCGCCAAGGTTGGGATCAAAGTATGGATTGCTCTTCGTTTCTTCGATGGAGGGACCGGATAGATCTAGCTGCATTTTGGATTTACCGGGCTTAATGGAAGGAACTGGCGACTCTGTTCGTCGATTCGCCATTGTAGTAGCAAATTTAGGTTGCATCGTTTGTTTGCCTTTCGGAGATTTTGAATCTTGAGTAGAATCGCCTAGCAAGGCTGGATGCAAGCCGACGTCTAATCCTCCCCTTGCTCTAGATAAGCCATCATCGACAACCGGAGGCATGAACGTAGACGGCATAGGTGCCCGTTGCTGGATTGTAGTGTTTACTTTTCCTGTGGCTGCGGCAACTCTCGCCTTAATTTGTTCAAGTCTCGAGAGTGCCGGGCTAGCTGCGGTGGTTGAAGCTGGGGTTTGGGTACCTGACCCCAAAGTTGGCGTAGCAGTGCCTCCTCTCGCTGCTTCAATTCTCGCTCGAGCAGCCTCAGCCTTTGCACGCGCCTCAGCTACCATCCTTTCGATTTCCTCCTTGCTGATCCCCCCCTTGTTGCTGCTACTCGCTGGCATAGGGGATCCATTATTGGAGCGGGATCGCTTCTGTAGCTTGCTCTCGTCATCTTCCGGATGGGGTCTCTTCAGCATATTGCCAGCGTCCGCCATGGCTAGAATGTTGGGTGAATACACTCACCCGAAGGGTATTATCGACGCGTCGGAAAATAGTAAACACTTGTTGAGTTTGTAGCTATGTGGGAGTTTGTCGAGATGCTTGTTTAGGTTGAAGGTTTGGTTGCGAAGTTGGCGCAAACAAGATTCAGAGCTACAAAGGCGGTGCGCCATGGCAGAAAAGTTTCACCAAAAAAATACACCATCTCGAGCTACTCTTCTTCCTCGACTCTTGTCACCAGTCGACGGCCAAAGCAATTCCAGCGGAACAAGCCTAGGCATTTCTGAGAAGATGGCTAGCTTCACACGGCCGATTTCATCCTCGATTGGGGAGGTCGATTTTGGAGTGCTTTCCAATGACGAGATCAAATCGATCTCCGTCAAGCGTATTTACAACACCCCTACGCTTGATACATTGAATAACCCTGTACCAGGAGGATTGTACGATCCTGCTCTCGGAGCATGGGGTGATCATGTGTATGCGACTATTTTGTCCCTTTTATGCCGTCCTTTGATGAGCGTTTTGCTGACTGAAACCGTCCCAGATGTACTACATGCCGTCTGAATTCCTGGTCCTGCAATGGCCATGCCGGACATATAGAGCTGCCTGTCCATGTGTACAATGTCACTTTCTTCGACCAGCTATTTCGCCTCCTAAGAGCTCAATGTGCCTATTGCCATCGCTTTAGAATGTCTCGGGCCGATATCAAGTCCTACACGTGCAAATTGAGACTGTTACAGTACGGTTTGGTTGAGGAAGCTGCGGCGATTGATAATATGGAAGCTCGAAGAGGCACAAATAATGATGCTGGTTCAGAATCAGGAGAAAGTGAGGATGAAGACGAGGAAGACTTTGTCAGGCGCCGGGATGCGTACGTCAAAAGGTGTATTCAACAAGTACTGGCGAGAAGTAAGCATCAGGAATTTTTACATGGCGCAAAGAATTCCGCAGCTGTAGAACAACGGAGGAATATCGTACGAGGATTTCTTAAGGATATCACAGCTGTTAAAAAATGTGCCTCTTGTAGTGGGTGAGAATATTCCGTCGAACACAAGGTAGTGTACCTGGCCACTAACTACTTTATAGTATTTCCCCTCCGTTCCGTAGAGACAAATACTCGAAAATATTCAAGAAGCCGTTACCGCAAAAGGCTAAGATCGCAATGGCGGAGGCTGGATTTCATGTCCCTAACCCATTGTTGTTGATAAAAGAAGCGAACGACCTGTCGAAGAAACATGGCCATCCGTCGCAGGGTTCTAATATGAATGGCTACCCAGATGACGACAATGCTAGTGTTTCGACGGATTCTCATGGTGCAGAACAGCAGATTACCATGGGAAATGCAGTATTGGCACAAGTCGAGGTAAAGGGATCTCGGAACAAACCTAGTGAACAGGATGCGCAGCAATTCATGCCGTCACCAGAAGTTTACGCAGCACTGCGACTCCTTTTCGAAAAGGAACAAGAAGTTTTAGATCTAGTATACGACTCACGGCTGAGATCAAAACACCGCCCACGCGTCACTCCAGACATGTTTTTTATCAAGAATATTCTCGTACCGCCAAACAAATATCGCCCGATAGCTGCCAATGGCTCGAATGATATCATAGAAGCGCAACAAAACACCTCGTTCACCAGAATCATAAAACTTTGCGACCAAATAAACCAAATTAGTAGAGAAAGGCAAGGTGATAGCACCGAGTCTGTTACTAGGTTACGAGATTACCGGGACCTCCTTCAGACAATTGTACAGCTACAAGATGCGGTCAATAGCCTTATCGATCGCGATCGTAACCCCAGCCAGGGAATTTCAGGAATGCAAAATGAAGATGGTATCAAACAGAGGCTGGAAAAGAAGGATGGTCTATTTCGGAAAAATATGATGGGAAAACGGGTCAACTTTGCCGCAAGAAGCGTCATATCACCGGACCCTAATATTGAAACCAATGAAATTGGAGTTCCTCTCGTTTTCGCGAAGAAGCTCACCTACCCGGAGCCGGTCACCAATCATAACTACTGGGAACTTAAACAAGCTGTGATAAATGGGCCTGATATTTATCCTGGTGCCGCTGCCGTTGAGAACGAGGTTGGTCAAGTGGTGAGCCTTAAATTCAAAAGCCACGACGAACGAATGGCCATCGCCAATATGCTCCTTTCCCCGTCAAACTTCAAGATGAAACGATCGAGAAACAAGAAAGTTTACCGGCATCTAACCACCGGCGATGTCGTGCTGATGAATCGACAACCCACGCTCCACAAGCCGTCTATAATGGGTCATCGTGCCCGAGTACTTACTGGGGAAAGAACAATCAGGATGCACTACGCAAATTGTAATACGTACAATGCGGATTTCGATGGTGACGAGATGAATTTGCATTTCCCGCAGAACGAACTCGCAAGAGCGGAGGCCATGCAGTTGGCCGATACCGACCATCAATACCTATCAGCCACAGCAGGAAAACCACTGAGAGGTTTGATCCAGGACCATATTTCAATGGGAACATGGTTCACCAGTCGCGATACATTTTTTGATAAAGATGACTATTATCAGTTACTGTACAGCTGCTTGCGGCCAGAAAATTCCCACACTGTTACCGACAAGATTTTACTTATGGAGCCGACGATCTTACGGCCCCAGAAACTTTGGACTGGGAAACAAGTAATCTCCACCATTATGATGAATATTACACCAGAGAGGCTCCATGGTTTGAACCTTACAGGGAAATCAAGCACTCGAGGTGATCGTTGGGGTGAAGGCTCCGAGGAAGGACAAGTCATTTTTCGGGATGGCGAACTTCTTTGTGGTATTTTGGACAAAGCCCAACTGGGTCCAAGCCCCCGCGGCCTCGTCCATTCAGTTCATGAGATTTATGGGCATGTTGTTGCTGGAAAATTGTTAGGTGTTCTAGGTCGTTTGCTGACGAAATTCTTGCACATGCGAGCTTTTACTTGCGGCATGGATGATCTTCGCCTGACGAAAAAAGGAAATGAGGCTCGGAAACGAAAACTAGAAGAAGCCGAAGATATAGGCCGCAAAATAGCACTCAAATATGTGACTTTGGATCAAACTAAAGTGGAGGATGAAGAAGCTGAGCTTAAACGACGCCTGGAAGACGCGCTCCGTGATGACGCGAAGCAGGCTGGATTAGATGCGGTTTTTAACTCGCAAACCGGCAAATTATCATCTGAGATTACATCCGCCTGTCTTCCAACCGGGCTCGAAAAGCCATTCCCATGGAACCAAATGCAGGCGATGACCTCGTCTGGGGCTAAGGGGTCTGTTGTCAACGCGAATCTCATTTCTTGCAACTTAGGCCAGCAGGTTCTTGAAGGTCGTCGAGTCCCCGTGATGATTAGCGGGAAAACTTTGCCATCCTTTAGGCCTTTTGAGACCAGCCTCATGGCCGGTGGTTTTATCTCTGGACGCTTCCTTACGGGAATAAAGCCACAAGAGTACTATTTTCACGCTATGGCTGGTAGAGAAGGCCTTATTGACACTGCTGTTAAGACCTCAAGATCTGGGTATCTCCAGCGATGCTTAATTAAGGGAATGGAGGGATTAAAGGCAGAATATGACAACACTGTTCGCGAGACCGCTGACGGATCGGTCATGCAGTTCCTCTACGGTGAAGATGGGCTTGAGATTACCAAGCAGAACCATCTACAAGACTTCACCTTTTTGGCCCAGAATTTCTGGTCTGTCGTTGAAGAGCTTAATGGGTCTGACGAGTTAAATAAGGTTAAGGACGACAAGGCGGGAGAGTGGAATCAAAATGCAATCAAAAAACTGAGAAAGACGGGCAAATTGGACTGTGTGGACCCTGCACTTTCCCTTTTTCCTCCAGGGTCCTGCTATGGAAGTACTTCAGAATCTTTCGCAATGGCATTAAGAAAGGTGTGTGTGCATGATTACGGAATGTTATAACTTTTGCACATTTCATACTGACTTATACCTCTACTAGTATCAAAAAGAAAATCCCGATAAATTGCTAAAAGAAAAGGGCAAGACCGAGAGCAGAATTTCCAAAAAGGATTTCACTAGGGTGATGAATATGAAATATATGAGATCGGTTGTGGAGCCTGGTGAATCCGTGGGGATTGTTGCTGGGCAGTCGATTGGCGAGCCGTCCACCCAGATGACTCTCAACACGTTCCATTTGGCTGGACATTCAGCGAAGAACGTAACGCTTGGTATTCCTCGCCTGCGCGAAATTGTTATGACAGCCAGTGATAAAATACTTACGCCAACTATGACGGGTGTCTTGAACAAGCAGCTTACCGAAAAGGATGGAAGGGTTTTTGCTAAAGCGATTAGCAAGCTTACCCTCGCGGAGGTCGTGGACACTCTTAGAGTCCATGAGCGCATTTCATCCGGATCTAGCCGTGGGAAGGCAAAAATATACGACATAGAAATAGACTTTTTCCCCCCAGAAGAGTACACCGAAGAATATGCCATCCAGATTGAAGATATTCTCAAAACACTCCAGCACAAGTTTGTACCACGGCTTGTCAAATTAACACGCGCAGAGTTGAAGAAACGAATAGATGAGAAATCATTATCTACTTTCTCCTCTGCCCAGCCTGACATCGGTACTTCCGCGGGAGTGATAGAGGAGTCTACGAGGCGTTTTGGGCGTGAAGCCAGAGACGGCGATGATGATGATAATGACGACGACGAGGAGGAAGACCAAGACGATGCGAAACGGGCAATGGCAAACATGAATCGCTCCAATCAAGTCTCCTACGAAGATCCTGATGAAGGAGAGGAAGCAATTATACGCGAACAAGATTCCGAAGAGCCAGACTCCGATGACAATGAAGAGGCTGAGGGCAACCGCCATGGCGACGGGACTGCGACTGAAGATGTCGACATGCCAGACGCAGACGCCGATTCTGACTCGGAAAAAATACAAAAGAGTAAAGAGAGCGAAGACACCATCATTGGGAAACATGCTGAAATCACAAAGTTCAAGTTCAACCTTAAAAAAGGCAAATCTTGTCATCTTCAGCTACGATATGATATCTCGACGCCCAAGCTTCTGCTCCTCCCTCTCGTCGAAGATGCTGTTCGGACCTCCGTGATCCAGTTCGTCAAGGGGCTGGGAACCTGTACTTACATTGAGGCCGACGATAAAGAGCCAGCACATATCGTCACTGACGGTGTCAACTTGTTAGCCATGCGAGATTACCAGGATTACGTCTACCCTCATTCGTTATACACCAATTCAATTGCCGACATGCTCCTGATGTACGGAGTTGAGGCTGCCCGTGCATCTATAATTCGTGAAATGGCTGCCGTTTTCGATAGTCACAGCATTTCGGTTGATAATCGTCATCTTAATCTCATTGGTGATGTTATGACCCATGCTGGTGGTTTCCGCGCGTTTAACCGCATGGGCCTGGTGAAGGATAGCACTTCGCCGTTTATGAAGATGAGCTTCGAGACCACTGTTGGGTTCTTGAGAGACGCTGTGCTGGAGAGGGACTGGGACAACCTGGATAGCCCTAGTAGTAGGATTGTCATGGGACGCGTTGGAACGATCGGCACTGGTGCTTTTGATGTACTTGCTCCTGTTGGCTGAAAATTTTCTCTATTCAGCTATTACTTGATCATGTTTACTTGTCATTTGAGTGATGAGCAATCCTTTTCCCTTTGTTCGTTTACACGTTCGTATTTCCGTTTTCGAATTTTGGAATCGCGTTATATTTAGTGACGAAAAGTTGAGGACGAGATTCATCCTATGTACTTGATATCGCTTAGCATGTTCAAAGATTTCTTTAATATTCGTTCAAATACACAGTTCAAATGTAGTACTCTCAAACCTTTCTAGTTTCCAAATAGAACGCCATGTAACGCCAACCGCAGCCCAATAACATTTCCTATTAATGGGTAAGAAGCAGAAACGAACGCTGTGGCATTGAAATCCACTATGCACCTTGAAACTTATTACAACAAACGTGGGAAAAGAGGTATCAAATTTGCATTAGGCGTCAAGCATCATAAGTTCCTGGTCAATATTTTCGTCGAATTCATCAACGGCAGTCATTGTTCCGTTTCGATTTCCATTGACCACATCCGGTGGGATTTGGTTATTGGCCATCGCCTCCCTCTGTCGCTTGCCTTCTTCCTCCTTTTGCTTTTTCACATGAAGTTCAAGATCGGCTAAACTCCAAGTGGAAATTCCTTCTTGATCTCTCGACTTGAATGGCTGCGCCATAGTCCTGAGGAAGCTTTTGGCTGTCGCCACTGCCATATCGGTACTTAAGTTCGTTTCGCTCTCGAGCATGGCCTGACTGATCCACTTGGGAAGTTGTGAGCGTCTCTTCTGAAAACGACGATCAGCAAGGACCATGACTCCGTAGTCGTCCTTGCCACGGATGACACGCCCAAGACACTGCGCAGCATGACGCATCGCGTCGAAAGAAAGAAAGTCGTTTTCGCGAATTCGATAATTCTCGCGCAAAAACTCCAACCTAGCTTTAAGTATGCGTGATTCGGTATACTGGAAAGGTACTCCGATGCAGATAACGGCCCGACCATAGTGGTGATCAAAGTCGATGCCTTCCGAGACTTTACCACGGGCGACACAAAGCAAGACAGCGCCTCGACCATTGCAACACGCAGTTCGGTAAGTTTCGAGGGCAAGCGATGATTCCTGAGAGTCGGGCGTTTCCACCAAGATTAATTTATAATTCCAGACCAAATCTAGTATGCCCATTCCCTGCCACATGCTAATTATGGATTCCATATAAAGATATGACGGGAAGAAGACAACGATCCCGTCTGGTGTGATACGGGAGAATTCGAGCAAAAGATTTCCGTAATTCCGGACTACACCTGGATCATTCCTGATTTGAAATGAGGATGAAATCTGGGCTTGATCAGAGCCGCGTGTAACGACCATGGGAAGAAAAGACCGACGTGCAAGGGTCATAGTATATGACTCCTGTAGCACCGTTGTAAACTTGAGCATTTTGGGATACATCTCCAGCGGAGAAAGGGTTCCAGAAGTGACAATGACAGAACTAAACCTGTCAAAAACAGGTTTGATAGCAATAGCAGCATCCAAGCAGGTGAAATGAAGTATTGGATTGGGAACGGTCGCTGTTTCTGATTCGAAAGGCTCAAGTATAAGGAGAAAACCCTTCTCGTATGTAGCTGCGAGGGTAGCAAACGCAGCGACTTGCTGAAGAGGTTGGTAGTCTTCGAGGTTCATAAGCTCCAAAGTCCGGACGAGTGATGCTAGCCGTTCCGCACAAAACCGCAGAGGCTTTCGTTCAATGAAGGTTAAATCTTTCAGATGAGCCAAGAAAGAAAGGGGTGTTTCGGATATAGTGTGTGTGATTTTCATTCGAGTTTTTAGATACTCGATAAATCGTTTTAAAAAAGCTACGAAGTGTTCCGCTCTACGGATATTCCCTGGAACGGCTTCTTTTAGCAGGTCATCAGGAAGCGCGGGATTTGCCATTAATTGTTCCTCTTGTCGAGCTTCGTCAGCTTCTCTCAAACCCTCAACCAACTTCTGGTATTCGTTTTGTAACTTTTCTGCATCTGAGCTCTTCATTTCCTCAATTTTACGTTCAAGATTTGTCGCCCCACGGCTTGCCTTTCGTAACGAATCTTCAGTCAAGTCGATGCTTAGAGACTCAATACAAACGTTGTCAATGTTATGGGCCTCATCGAAGACGACGATGCTGTCTTTGGACAGTTCTTGTGAAACTCTTTCCGCAATCTTTGGGTCGAGAAGATAGTGATATGAGTAGATTATGACGTTACAGAAGGGCATCTGGTGATAGTTAGCACAGAGAATAAACTCCAAATAAAGGGTCAGATTAATCCTACCATACGACGAATGGAGAAATAAGGGCATTGTTTATGTTGTTCTCCATATTTGATTATATCATCAAGTGTAAAAACGCCCGGCGGGACAAGATTACTTGGTTCAAGGAGGTCAAGATTCTATACATGTGAGCGTAGTCAAAAATCTGGTGGGAAGATACAAACCTCATGATATATACACAACTCAACATCCTCTCCCCTCTCTTTCTTCTCTTTTACAAAGCCTGCTGTCAAACTTCGGCATCGAGCGTCTACAACGGCCCCGCTCTTCTCTCTTTTCACAGATGGATGAAGACATAAGTTCTTTCGACTTGTAAGACCAAGACCGCGGAAGTCTTCCGCATACCCTAATTGTCGAGTGCGGTACTTCATGAGAGCTTTTAACTCTGCCAAAGCCTTTTCGATTTCAGACATTGTGCGGGAGCAATATATGAGCTTTCGTTGCTCAGGTCTATGCTGTTGATATGCGATAATCAACGAAAGAAGTGACACAGTTTTCCCAGTTCCTGATGGCATCTCTAGAACGCAATGCCCGCCAGCATCCAACGTCTTTTTCAGATCGCACATGTAGGCATATTGCTCCGGATAGATGCGTGGGTATGGAAAAAGCACAGGGAGGTCACTAGGTTTCTATCAGTAAATCGAGACTAAATAGCTATCCAGAGGAAGATTGGAAAATCGTACTCGATGAAGAATTGCATATTGGGCGCAAGAGGAAGCTCTCTCCTCAAAGTCAGTCACTGGCGCCCTGCCGTAGAGAATAGTATCGTAGTAGTGGATAGGCTGGCAGGCACCGGTTGTTGAATGAGGCTCACACGCGTTAACGTTAACCCCGGAGAAAGGCTAGTGCGGACGCCAGGTCACGAGATCGGTGATTTCAGGGCCTAAATTAATTTTTCGGGGGCAAGACGCAGGGAACAAACGTACGTTGATACTCACCAATAAGAGAGCATCTTGTTTCATATAGGATTTCTTGCTTATTGGATTGACGCATTTCTTTTAATTCCAATATTTCTTTCTTATTTTGTTAGGCGGGCTGTGAGATTGATTTCATCTGGCTCAGCCATGTGTATGCCTGTTTGTTGTCTGATTTGCCTTCAAAAGCCATGAGTAAAAAATTTAAGTCTCAAGCATCTAGCAGCAGAGCTGCCTTTGGAGGGTTTGGGAACTCTGCAGGTGCATTTGGAAAATTTTCAACGGATTCTATGACTCAAGGAGGCGCTTCTTCCTCTCTGTCATACATCGCGGAACCGCCAGATCTCTCCAGAATTTCCCAGCCTCAGCTGGTTGTCTCATTCAAAAATCTCCTGAAAAAGGATACTACCACAAAAACGAAGGCGTTAGAAGATCTGCAAGATTTCTTATGTGCGCAGGATACCCGAAGTGAGAGCTTGGAAGATGGTCTCATTGAAGCTTGGGTATGTGTTGGTTTATATACTGGAAGTCGTTGACAAAATAACAATCTTTGCTTACCTTACCCTCCGGCTAGATAAAAATATATCCACGTATGTCAATAGATATTTCTCGCCGTGTTCGACAACTTGCCCATGTCCTCCAAGGCCGTTTTGTATCATTATCCGGGAGGCGAATAGCCCCCTATATTTCAAGGGTAGTTGGGGCATGGCTCGCTGGCCTCTACGATAGTGACAAACTGGTGTTCCGAGCTGCGCAAGAATCGGTTGTCAGAGCTTTCCCAACCGAAGAGAAAAGGCAAAGCCTGTGGAAAATCTACCGATTATCAATTTTCGAATTTGTTATCGATGCTGTACTAGAGCAAACTCCACAGACGTTAAGTGATAAGCGTACTGTTAGGCCAGATGAAGCCGAAGCAAAACATGCCCGCGTTGCCGGAACTGCTCTACAGCTGTTAAAACAACTGCTCGGTAAGTAACACGTTTCATGCGGTAGGTGGCCTTCTTAGCTGGACGACGGAACTAATTGTAACAGCAAAATCATCAACTACCCAACTGGACAAAGATTCCGACTTTATATCAACTCTTATTACCAGCAAGTCGCTTTGGTCGTTTTCGTGCCACGAAGACCCATTTGTTCGCCGATCTACGTATGATTTACTTCGGACTTTGCTTTCTATAAAAAGCAACCTGATAGAATGGAAAACCATCAGCACTTGTTTTCTATCGAAAGCTCTTCCAACAAGCCAACTAGGTTCTGCTCTTGATTTCTCTAATGTTCTATTAACCTTGACTAAAGAACGCCCCCAATTATGGACATCTGACTATTCTGGGAAAGTCTCTGCTACAAAGCGACTTTATCAGTATATTAGAAAGGGTTCGGAAGGGGCTGATGCCGCTTATTGGGAGAACCTACAACTACTGCTAAAATCCATCCCTTTTGGAATTTTGATTACCCAACCGGTCAGTGACGACAGCACCGTACAAGATGCAAACCGGTTAATGGACACGATCCACGATTCAGTTCTAAGTCGGGAAGAGCAGGGAGCCAATCTCGGCGCTGCCTGGTCATGCTTTGTCGATACCGGATTTTGGATATCTTCTTTTATTTCAGACAAGGTCGCTCGCCATAAATTCCTTCAAAACCAGATTTCGCCCATCTTAGAACAGTACATCCTGGGTCACCCTGATAACGGGCGGTGGTCCCTCAATGGAAAATTTGCGCCGGAGTTGTGCGCGAAAACGTTTGTTGTCATGGCGGAGCATACCGGCGCGGAGGCTGTCCAGAGCCTCTGGACGAGCCTTTCCGATAGCCTGATCGAAACAATCAGATTGTCATCCCCAGAAAAGGCTATTGGGTTTAAGGAGTCCCAAGATTCAATATGTGCTCAAGCGAAGCGCTTCTTTGAGTTAGAGGGGCAGGTTTTGGCCCAAGTAGCTCAAAATAGTGGTCTGGCATTTGTTTCGAACATTTTCCAGGTGGCTGGCACTCCGTTGCTTCAAGCTTCGGTGGAGCTTCTGAGGTCTCGCAATGGAAAGCCGTATGGCGCTGCTTCAATGATTGATGAAGCTATCGCCAGAACCCCTGGTATTGCTGCCCAGGTCGAGGGACTAGAAATGTTTCTCAGCGAAGATATCACGCAGCTTCTGTTTTCGCCTTCAGCGGATCGCCTTATTTCTATCCTATTTGGATCTCGCGGCAAAAAAGGCTTTCAATGTGGCCTTAAAAGCTCCATTGATACTTTCCTCGAGACGGATCTTGGAAGTTCAGCATTACCTGGACTCCAAAAGCTGTTTTCATGTGTCACTCTCTCTGATGCTGAAGCACACCCAAAGTTGGAACTTTTAATCATGAAAGATTTAGACAGGGCATTGCATAATACCCGCGAAGCCTGGATTGAAATCATAACTCTGATCAAAAATGGAGCCCTACGAAATGGGATCATTCATCGAATTCTAAATTCATTAGTTGATAATCTATCATCTGAGAAGAATATCCGGGAGGTACTGTATGGTCTTTTCCAGATAGCCTTAGGATGCCCGGAGATTATCCGAGGGTTTGTGAATAGTCCAGATGGCTCGCGGATGCTCTCTAAAATACTGTATATCTCTGAGACTTCAACCGATGAAGTTTCTCAACTTGCCGATTCCTTGCAAATCCATATTAGAGATATAATAAAAGGGGAAAGTGGGACCCGGTCGTCCATTGAAATCATCCAGCAGAACTTCAGCAATGTTGGAATAGAGTCATTATCGTAAGTTGCCATAAGTGGGTCGCTCATAAATACCCTTTGCTAATGTTCAATTAGCATTGATGCTCTGGTTGGTATTGCAGAGGAGGTCCTTGCGAAAACGTCCGTGGAAGACAAGCCTCGAATATTATCTCGTTTACTGCCTACTCAAGATCACTGGGGGCAAGCGTTGGGCCCATTTCTTCGGAAGCCACTGAAGGCGTCCGCTGCCATAACTGAAACCCTTGCTGGAGCAGTATTTCTTGCAGATAGATCTTCCCCCGAAGGCCTTTCCCGAGAGCTCGATTCCGTTAACCGTGACCCTTACCATTTCTCTTCAGCATTCCGACTGACATTCTATGCTACGAAAGTGCTCTCGTCAATCAGCCTGGAATTCATCGAACAAGATGCCCGTGAAATACTGTTCTTCTACCTACCCTTGGCGACCCAGCTGGTTAATGATGATGTAAGTCAGGAAGGCTCAAAGGGTTTACTTGACCTTGATATTCCAGACATTCGAGATGAATGCGCAGAGCTGGTTTCAGAAGCTCGCCTTATCATTAAGGACTGGCTCCAATCTGCATCGCCGATAACAGATCAGGAAAAATCGGCCCCAAATATTTTCGATTTTTGGGAAGAGCAATTCGAGTCGCTGCAAGGAACGTCTCCAAGCTCATACAATGTAGCAGAAACTTTCGCCAAGGTTATCGGCGAGCGTGATTCGCCAGGGACGGCGCGATCTGGCGAATCCTGCTTGAAGAGGGCAAAGCAGCTAGACGGACCCTCGAACCCGTTCGTTTTACCTTCAGTTGTCGCAGCGTTCAGGGATTTTATCGCGGCCAGTCCATCTGGCGTTCGGTTGTGCAATGAACTGATTTCCGATTGTAGTGTGTTTAAAGTTGAGAATGGCTCTGAAGGTGAGGTTTTTATTTATATACACTAAATTTACAGTTCTAATGTTATTTAGGCCTTCGTAAGATCGTGACTCTCAACCTTCTCATCTGCGGAGAGAGTAATATTACACAGAACGTTCCAAAGCCTAGGCTTGTGTTTCTAGTGAAGCACTTGGTCGATTGTTTACAGTCGCAATCACCACCACAGGGCTTGGTTTCGGAAATCCTGAAGTTGCTTGTCAATATTTTACCCTTGATCAGAGAAATATACGGATCTCACTGGTCGAACATATTTGAGTTTCTCCATAATTTATGGGGCGACATGGCGATCTCTGATGAATCCCTTCCTGCCCTACACTCCTCGTTACGACTTTTCGCTTGCTTAAAATCTCTTGCGACAAGCGACAGCAACGATGACTTGGTGGATATATGGACTACTTCCCAGAAGACACATTCACCAGCGTTGATAGGGTTACTTGCAGAATTTGGTAAAGCTACTTCCCTTTTGTTTCGTGGGTTATTCATATTAACACTGAACTATAGACTCCTCGTTAAGCTATGACCAGCCTCTCCAGATCACGGCAAACATCCTTTCTCGTCAAATAGTAGGACTACCTATTGACCATGTCGAGGATATCAATGACCTTTTCTCCATTCTCTCGGCGCCTTCTAGAGACATCCAACGTGCTACATACGACATCCTGCACCGGGCGATCCCTAAATTGCAAGAGGCAGTGACCCTGGATGTTGCGTTATCGGATGCTGTAGCCAGACTCCCGGATGAATTAATTTCTCTTCTTTTGGAAGTCCCTACCATCAATATCATAAGTCAGGCTAAATTTGATGATCATGTATGGATCGGGCTTCGATGTTACCTATTAAGCTGGAAAACTGTCTTCGATCACTTTAATAATGCTGTAAGCTCGGCCCACCTCCCAAAACAGAAAACCTTTCCTAGGTCGCTGGGAATAACTTATGCGTTTCTTTAGTCACTTCCTGTCCAAGAAAGCTATGTGTCAAATATCAAAGAAAACGACTGCTTGAATCCACTTCTCGAGTTTATGTTTGACTTCCTACAACATCAACATGGAAAGTTGGTTGACGCGTCAAAATTTGATATCCGGTCTTTCAACCTTGATGAGTCTGATCCACCTCAGAAAGAAACACAGTGCATGCTTGTGCATTTATATTATTTATGTTTGAAGTATCTACCTAATTTGATAAAAGTTTGGTGGATTGATAGCAAGAAGCGTGTGAAAGGGCAGGTAGAAGCATGGACGGAAAAATATGTAAGCTCAAGATGTTTGAACATGTATCGCCACATCCGGCTAACCCTAGTTTAGATATCACCACTTATTATTGAGGATTCGCTTCAGAGCGTTAACGAGTGGTTCTCGGCCCAGAATTTTGCTGGTGAGGATCAGCCGCTGCAGATAAAAGTTTCTCACAGAACTGCTGAAATAATCGCGAGCGTTGATGTGGATGAAGATTCGCCACCGACTTCAGTTGCCATCTCTCTGCCATCAACATATCCGTTACAGCAAGCTAGTGTTGAAGGTCGTGCCCGCGTTGCGGTGGACGAAAAGAAATGGAGGAGCTGGCTTCTGACCATCCAAGGGGTTATTATGTTCTCTAATGGCAACCTTGTTGATGGTCTGCTTGCATTCCGCAGGAATGTCCAAGGCGCGTTGAAGGGGCAGAGTGAATGTGCCATTTGCTATTCCGTCATCTCAGCAAACATGCAAACGCCCAACAAGAGATGCGCGACGTGCAAGAATACGTTCCATTCCGATTGCCTCTTCCGTTGGTTTAAGAGCAGCAACGCTAGTAGCTGTCCACTTTGCCGGAACAACTTCCCATATTCATAAATTTTCAGCCATATTTCCTGTTTCCAATACCCTTGCCTTGATATTAGCATGTAAGCAGAAAATTTGCGAATAGCATTCTTGACATTGTACGGCGGAATTGCGGGGTTTTGGCGAAGACTCTTTCCTCTCTGTGAATAGAAAAACTCATTTTACTTAATTCATTTATTAAAGTGTTTCCATTCATCTTATCCCGTATTTCTCAAAGTAAAGGCTGTAATGACGATCAAGCAGATCTAGCGTGCTTGGGTTGTGGTCGTGGAGGGATGATATCAGCAAGCAACAAGACAACCCCCACCAAATCCAAACTGCAAAACCATCACACAATCTCAATGCCAGCACCTCAGATCCCCAACCTAAACACTCTTCGACGAGGGGCTGGAAGAGGCCGCTTGAGGGGGCGTGGAATCAATGAACCGACTACTAGCGATGCGGAGGGCACAGTAGCAAAGGATAAGATCATTCAGCAAACAGACAACGACGCCAGTGTTTCCAGGCTCAGCGCCGTGGACCTAGGATATCTCCATGACCCGTTTGTACAGGTCCTAGTAAATGGCGGGGGAATAGGTTCAAGAAGGTATCCGATAATTAATAGAGGTATTCCTCCCATTCTTCATTTAAATCTTTGTCTGAACTTCTCTACACATTTCTGGGCTCTCTCGAACTGGCTGCGCAATACGTTGCTGACACTGCTCTTTGTAGGAACGTATGTGCGAACAACCGCCTTGGATTCCCTCGTATACCGTTTCCTAAACACAAACAAGACCTCGCCTCGAAAGAGACAGATCATATCACTCGGCGCAGGATCAGATACGCGAGTTTTCCAATTACTCTCAAAACATCCGTCCCTTGACCTGGTATACCACGAGCTAGATTTCCCAACCAACACAGCAACCAAAATAAAAGCCATTCGCTCCTCGCCTCTCCTGCGCAAATCCTTAGGAATACACGAGCCAGAGGATGCGAATATATCAGCGGATGGATATGCTCTGCATTCGAAATACCTTCACATCCATCCAATTGATCTGCGGACGTTATCGGCTTCCAGCTCACCCACCTTACTGCAGGGCGTGGACAGGACGGTTCCAACGTTACTTATATCTGAATGCTGTTTGATCTATCTCTCCCCCACAGATGCGGTCAATGTACTCTCCTATTTTACGCAGGCTGTCTTCCCGCCTTCTTCAACGTCATCGACCGCCCCATCTACACCGGAACTCACATCTATACCAGCAGCGTCTGCCTCCTCAGTACCCCTAGCTCTGATACTGTACGAGCCAATACGGCCTGACGACCCGTTTGGGAGAACTATGGTGGCTAATCTCGCAACGAGGGGCATCCATCTGCAAACGCTGCATCGCTACGCGTCATTATCAGCTCAGCGGGAAAGGTTGCAAGGACATGGATTTGTGAGTGGCCAGGGGGCGGCAGATGTAGATTTCATATGGGAACGATGGATCAGTGAGGAGGAAAAAGAGAGAGTGGCTAGGCTGGAGATGCTCGATGAGATTGAGGAGTGGAAATTGTTAGCCAGTCACTACTGCGTGGCATGGGGCTGGAGAGAAGAGAAGGGAGATAACCCGGAAGGAGGGGTATTTGAGGAGTGGAAGGAAATGGAGGGACAGTAATTTGGCGTGAGAGAAGGAAGAAAGCTCTGGACGAAGGCCTCGAGCGCCATTGGTATATATAACTGTATGTGGATTGGGAATCTCGTGGGCTGCTTTGCAGAGCATACAGACCCGACGGCAATTTTCGCGTTTCCGCCCACTTTGTCTTCAGTGCAGACTCTGTTTTTTTGAAAATCGGGAGATCGTGATTAAGGCTGTACCTTTTTCACCACCTTCTGTTTTCGGATGGCTCAGCTTGTTGAATAATGCGTATATCCGGTGCTGGGATCTATTTTCGGTTACTACCATGGGAAAATCAATATGATCAGCAGAATCATTTGAATGAAGCTATGCCAACAGTCAATATGAGATTATGAAGGGTTCTAACACTATTTTGCGTACGTGTTCCATCCAAATATGTTCACTCGCGTTTCCAGTTTCCAGTTTAGCTCTTTTCATCTCCATACCTTTTCATTTATTTGGGATGATACTTGCCTGGACTCTAACAATAAATATTCAGTTTCACAGATGCCCGACGCTCAATACCGAACCTTTTAACATCTCCTATATTCCACATACTGCATCAGCCAACCGGGAACTGTGTTCAGAATTTCTCAACTACTGGGTTCGTATATATATTGCTTTCTCGAGCGAGCTCGGAGTTATTACTTAGGAGGAAAATATAAACCGCCCGATAGCAACCACGAAGTACGAACGGAAGTGGCTACCTAAACAAGACGTAAATATGAAACTGGAAGCCGGAGGGGTTGTTCAGCAGAGATTTCCCTCGAGCCTAAGTGGATCTAACCGACTCATTAAGGTTAGTCGCAAATATTCCCTCGAGTGCTTCGTGCGTTGGTATTTGGGTTGGATACACAGCGATGATCATGCGCGACTATAATCCCTTGTCAAACTGAATTCCGTGCTCTCTCCTTAACTTTTTCCCACCTTTTTCGGGCTGCCTACATACAGTCCCCCTTTTATGAATTATTTGGCTGTGCCCATTTGTGTCTCATTTTCAAGGCAGGAATGAGGAAATGAAGATGTAGGCTGATGCCGTGGCATGTGGTCATCTCGCTGGAGGCTGGCTGCTGGCGATCAGACGGATCAGATTGCACCCACCACCACTCGTCAGTATCAATGCATACAGCGTAGTAGCATGGTCCATTTCCGTCCTAGGTGTATTCATTTTGACTAGTGACTGCCATGCGGATAGCTAATCCGACGCTTACACTGTGGCGGTTTGGATAATAAAGATTTTTCTACTTCAAGAGATGACCCGGCCCGGACCGCCGCAGAAGGTTTTCAGGTATCCGCAACAATATGTGGGCGCGTTTAAAGGTTTGATACAGTCTCATTTCTACCCGGCATTCATCTCTTCCCGTTCTCGGCGATCAGCTACGCGGAGAATCAAATTTCTAATGTACTTGCTATGTCCCGAAAATTCCCTCCAGTTGCTGGTGACGTCAAGTACAGGAATGATTCCCGGAAAATAACAGCACAAATATAGTGATAGGGCGGGTAGGGCTGCGGTTCTCATTGTTTCTTTGTTCGTGACCCCTTAAATAGCCATGGCAGTACATCTACTGTACAAATAATTTACCAACCTCGAAAAACGGAAAGCTATACGGGTCTAACGCAGGTCTATCGGTGGGATTGATAATTGAAGGTTTTATTCTCGGCATATTGCTCTATGCCCTTGTGTTGCATGCGCTGCTTCGGGTAACATCAGAGTTCTACCCTGCCCAAGGTAGCCAACTCAACAATTCTTCCACATTCTCACGCCGTGGATGCTTAGAACGTTTTCCATGCACACTAGGCGATAACCGGCAGTGCAGACGGAGAATTTCCAGTGCGCCTCTTTCACTCTAAAATATCTTACAAGCACTTCCATGGGTCATTCGTTACATTAAATGTTATTGCAGCTTGACCCCCGACGGCGATCAAAAGTGGCTTGAGTAATTCTAACATATCGCACACAGGTCGAGGTATATAAGGAGAAACAACAGCCTCGCGGAAAGACATTCTTTTTGAACCCTTCTCTACATAAGCTACAATTTTCCAGCGTTGATATTGCAGGATACAGAACAAACTTCCTCGAAATCGCAAACTATCAACCTCTATAATACACACGAAGTTATCCCATATATTTCCCAATATGAAGTTTATTGACCTATTTTTCATTGCCCTGTTCGGCCTTGCGCTCGCAGCCCCAGCCGAAAATGACATTCTTAAACGAGTGAGAGAGCTATTTCCCCTCTTCTACTTCCCTTTCCCATAGTCCTCATCCCCCTTCCCAATCATAAATTGTCAAGCCCGCCAAGCAACCAGTAATTGACCCAACAATCCCTGCCTTGGGAGGAAATGCGGATAGGACGGTGTCTGTGGAGCCAGGGAGGGAAAAGAGTGTGCTAATGACGCCGAATGCGGGAATATCCGCGGATGTAACTGTAATGTAAGTTCCTCCCCAAGAGATACCATATTGCCTTTCAAGAGGGCGAGGAACGATGGCCTTGTCTGCAGTTTTACACAGCTTCCTTATCCCTCTCCCCCCCAAGCGTTCATCGGCGTTTCCTTCTGGGTATACTGGCGAATTCATACGAAATAACAATTGTAACAAAAACAGCGGCCCCTAGGAGAAATAGCGAAGCCCAAGGGCAACTGTGGACCAGCACGAAATCTCTAATGATATCTCCCCTCTTCTCGCATAAATTCGAAGAGGCTGCAGAAAAGAGCAGCAGGCGCTCGGACTCGGGCCAAGAACCCATCTGTGCTTCTTATCATTCGTTGATGCATAATGGATTGAGCGTGGATGGACGAGCGGATGGATGGAATGCAACGCAATCATTTGAATTATTTAGCTAGCTAGTAGTTTTGCATGAGATTCAATCAAGCCGTTCGTTTATTTATATATCTCTCAATGGGAAAAATGATCGAGGGAAACTGCGGAAGACACGATTGTATCACGCTTCTCAGGATGGCACTTATCCTTCACCTGTTAGGCCTGAATGAGACAGTATCCGCAAATATCAAAAGAGAATGGATATACATCAAGCGCCGCTATGCTATGGAGCAGGATTTGGACGACGGCAAGGCACATTTGGTGCTATTCTTTCTCCAAGGGCCTTGCAGCCTATATTTGGCCAACTGAGCTAGACGGCAACAGTAGAAAAAGTATGTTAAATACCTCTCACGAAATGGTTCCTGACCGTGAGGCCCGTCTATAACTACTACATAGAGAGTATCGAGTAGGTTGTATCGTTTACAGGTTGATGGACAAGTGACGTAATCCGTAACTAGTCAATGCGGGGAGAGAGAGAGAGTAACCAGCCACAAGTACTTAGTTAACTAACTTAGTTAGTTACCGCTGGTGTGCCACAAATCACCAGCCACTTTCCCTAACCCAGCCAAACCATGCGCTGCTTTTACGTCTAAGAGGAACAGGAGGAACACACCTCTTCCCCCTTTTAATTAACATCCTTGTTGAGATCGCTCGAGTAGCCGCGTCTCCGTGTTCAATATGGAGACTGATTCGCAAACAACTCCTGGGCCACGTGCCCGCCTTCCCGCAAGTCAGGTCGACTGTAAGTGGTGGAAGAGGGGCCATTGTTTCCGTGGTCGTGAATGCTATTTCCGCCATGATGATGCTCTGGCCGGCGTGGACAAGCCCGCAAGGCGCCCCGCAGCCGGTGCAACCGCAGTAAATACCCGCGCTGAAGCAGCTGTAGCTGGTAGGTGTTTGATCCTCGCAGCTAATTCAACTCCTCTAAACCCGCTTTTGTTAGAATGAGTCTCAATAAGCTAACATGCAACCGTAATTAATACGAAAGGCCCTTCGGTTTCTTCTGAGTCCACCTCAAACCAGACTCCTCCCACGACAGCTAACTCTCCTAAGTCAGAGACCCCTGAGGAACCGTGTGGAATTTGCATGGAAACTCCTACTGTCTTCGGCCTGCTTGTCAATTGTGATCACGTCTTTTGTTTAAGTACGTATTCCACTCATCCACCTTGTTTCTTGACCTTCACTCAAGCAATATCAGGTGATTAACTTGGATAGGCTGTATACGGAGCTGGCGCTCCTCTGTGGGCACTTCTGCTGAAGATATGATCAATACTCCCGATTCTCGTGTCCCAAGACAGACAACTAAGACGTGCCCGCTCTGCCGGACTAAAAGCGAATTTGTCGTGCCCAGCTCAGTATTTCCAACCCCGCCACAACCTACCGCTGCAACCACTGGGCTTGCCAGGAGCGAAACTGCTTCTACGAATGACTCCACCGGAATCGCTGAGCCTAGTAGTTCGACTGGAGCAGACAACCCGGCCAAGGCTAAAATCATTGATAGATACCTCGCCCGCCTAAAGGTAATCCCCTGCCGCTATTTTGCAGAGAGCATTCAACGATGGCGTGATCTACCTATTATCGAGAACCCAGACACAGAAGTCGGCGGTCTCCTTCATCCGGAATTCTCGGGGGAATGTCTCTTTGGAAACGAATGCCACTTCGCTCACATCCACCCCATTACGAAAGTTCCCTATATCTTCACCAAGAAGGAGATATCCTCTATGAAGCGCGCAAACCATGCGAGAAGAGCAAGGGCTCTTCGCAGAGCAATTAGGCGATTTGGACAAGCGCCACGCGGGTTCGTTACGAGCGAGGATCGCAGAGAATTGCAAAGGAGGTTTGGGACTCTTCGCGTCGAGGATGACAACGAAAGTAATGCCGCGTCTGATTCCCCACTCATTTCGGAAGGTCCTAGTCTCGATACCATTCTTAGCCTTGGGCTCGTTTTCTACGATGTGGTTGATGAGGATATCCCGTGGCTTGCGGGTGACGATGATGTTGACGATGAGATTTTCCGTTTCTTCTGAACGCGAAAACTCCAAGGGCTGTTTTTTTGAGGGGGCAGGTTAACAGGCGGTTGGCTCTTCTTTCCTTCCTTCTTTCTTCTTTTTTTGCTCCCATTTTTTTCCGTGGCAGCAGTACATGACCCGGTGTTTTTTTTGCATTTTACACTCACGTTCAGCATGGCGTTGATTCCAGGGAACGATACAAGCCTCCATATGGCAGGTGTTTGGTGGCGCTCGTGGTTAGCCACTTGTGTTTCTCATTTTATCTAATTTTAATTGCCAGATCTTTTGATACACGATTGCTGGATGCCCGATACCCAAGGGATAATTAAGGATCCAAAAGTAATGATGTGCCCAAGAAGAGCGTAGTTTAATGAAAATTAATATCACAATTAAGGTCCCATCTGAAAGAAAGTATTGAAGTGCAGTCTGATCTTTTGCGATTTTGATCTTGTTACGTCAGTTTTGCTCTCCAGTTAATGTACGAGTACTAGGATGATGTAGTTTATGGGCCGTGGCTGTTGATCGTTAACTATCGATAGGCGTGACGCTGGCGCTAATCCCCGGCCTGACCAACCCCACACTTTCACAATAGGTAACCTCACCTCCCTAACGTCGACCATCAAAATTGCAGTTTCGGCGCATTGCGGAGATAATAGGATCTTGGAGAGATGTATTTATGAAACCTTTTCTTGAGAAGCGCTTTATTCTCTCCTACAGAGATATGAACTCACGGTAGACATGCCCGTGCCAAAGCAGACTGTACGCCCCCTCCATCCCATCCCCTCACCAACGCAAATTCCCCTTCATCTCATCTAAACCATAACCCCCCGCGTGGCAGGCAAGCTGACAAAATGTAAACCTTAGACCGAACTTATCTTCTCCCTCCGCGCTCTCATCTACCGAATCCGCCAGCTGAAAAAGGAACGCCACGGCTACTCCAAAGCCAAGCACCGTGAGCTCGCGAAGCTGCTCAAGGAAGGCCGTGACGATCTCGCGCGCATAAAAACCGAAGATGTCATTGGAAATGATAATGTGATTGCTGCGCTGGAGATTTTGGAGTTATACTGTGAGCAGCTTCATGTGCGTGCGAATATAGTGGACCATATCGCGCTAGGACAGAAGCGGGCTGGGCCAAAGAAGAATCAACAGGGTGCGCATGCGAAAGGCGCGACTCATTCTAAGCCTTCCGCTGGCGGAGGTGGATGGGGAATATGGAAGGCTTTGGGATTCGGGCCCTCGCAACCTCCACAATCACCACCGTCGACAACACAACGACCGGATGACCTCGAACAGCGGGCTGGACGTGGCGAAACGTCTACAGCTCAGAATGAAACGGCGACAACGACGGAGGCACAAGCTAAGGATGAACAACAGCAGCGGCAAGAATTTCCATCTACCCCCCCGACAGAAAAAGACGTTTATCTCGACCCAGACCTAGATAAGGCCGCTGCAGTCATATTCTACTGCTACATGCGCTTGCCGCGTGATATACCAGGCCTACCAGAGCTGCGCGCAAAACTTATACAGAGATGGGGCAGTGACTTTGCGAATAAAGCCCAGGGAGCTGACCCCTCCATCCCGCTCCCGGACGAATTGATTGATCGGTTGAGAATTCAAAATCCGCCTGAATTGCTGGTGGAGAATTATTTGAAGGAGATTGCGAAGGCACATGGGATCTCGTGGCATCAGGAAGATGATGAGGAGGCAGATGGTGGAGCTAAAGGGGAAGAGGAGGGGGTGGGGAAGGGGGAGACGGTTAAAGGGGAAGGCGAACAACAAGACGATCCGCCTGCTTATGAAAATGATGTGTCACAGACGAAACATGTTGACGGTAGTAGAGCTGATGGTTTGAATGGGAGTAAAAAGGATTCCACTCCACAGGATGCACATATGCCTGGACCTGCACAATCAGGTCCACGGGAAAAGTCATCATCTGGAAGTACTGTGATTCCTAATCACAAATCTAATGAGTCGGCTACGAACGGCACATCCTCATCTAAGTCTCAGGCGCCGACACATGCCCCTGCTGCTACTGCTGCGGTAGAGAGCAAAAAAAGCGGCATTCCCGACGTCGATGAGTTAGCTAGGAGATTTGCTGCGTTGAAGAAGTGAGAGGGTCAGTACTGTCAAACTGTCAAACAATGAACCTGTGCATGTTAAATCTGAACAGGATGATAGTGACATTTGCTCAACTCTCTTTTGAATATCACATTTGTTACTGATTGAGTTTGTCTTGCAAGCAAGCTTGTGCATTATTATTCTTTTTTGGACATGTTAGGTTCCTATATCTATCCTGCTCAGTTGTTCTTCGGGAGGACTATTATATATATATTCCAACTCAGTATTTAATCAAGAACATTTTGTACGTTGCTAGAGTTGGATAACCTGTATTCCCAGTTAAACGAAGAGAGGAGCCATGTTTCTGCTGCATTTCGTATAAAGCAGTCTTATTTTGATCACTATTAAGATCACGCTTACAACAAGAAGAATAAAAATTGAAACTTGATTCCGTATATATACATCTATCTACATAGGTAGCAAGCTACTGGAAGATTTGGATGTTTCTCCTCCGGATTAGTGCCAGCGAGTGTATCCTCACGTCTGCCTCAACTCTTTCTCTCCTTCTCACCATATCCCCCACCATGTTTCTGGAGACCCATCAGCCAACCGCTAAAAGGACGCATAGCACACAATACCAACAACTTTGCCAAGTTTACGCGATGGAGCAATTTCAGCTGGGCGGCAGACCTGCAATCCCCTGCCAGACCATAGAAGAAAGGGAGTCGCCCTTTTTCACTAGATTTTGGCTTGTTACTATAATCCACACCATCTTGTGGCCTCCTTCCTTTGCCTAAATATTACCATTGTTGAGCCTGTCAAGTTGTAACCATGGACACAGAGCTCACTCATGAAATACGCTTACCAGAGGGAGGGCCGAAAATGCTGGCTTCAACTCAGACAAATTTCTCCTCCCCAAGGAACAAGTTGAAAAAGAGAGAGTTTCTGATTAGAGGCTGTGAGGAATACCAGAAGGGGGTGGCAATGAAGTGGCTAAAATGGTCATGAACCTGAATGAGCCCACGCAAAATCCTGGCCTCTGGCACGCTGCCTGATTTACCAGTCGAGGCGACTATGCATGGTATTCGCCTGATGCTTTCTACCCTGTTCGCATTGGATGTGTTTTTCATTCAAAGTATCAAGTTCTAGGAAAATTAGGATTTGGAGCATATTCGACCGTTTGGCTCTGTCGGGATTTGCAGTAAGTAAAGTTATCTAATTTGAAAATAATTAAGAAAATAAAAATCGAGAAAGGAGATGAGTTATATTTCACAGCTTAACATTCTATCTCTAGGGGTCACCAGCATGTTGCTATGAAGGTTTACGAGCGAGACTTCACTCAAGCCCAAAGAGAGCTGCATGTATACAACCAGTTGAACCTGATCGTGACTGAACATATCGGATCTACCCTTGTGCGCACTGCGGTGGATAATTTGGACATCAGCTTACCAAAAGGCAACCATTTATGCCTTGTCCATAAACCCCTTGCCATGAGCCTGGCAGAACTTAGGGCTAGAGCACCCTCAAGGAAGTTCCCGGAGGACCTGTTGAAGCCTACCTTAATCCACATCTTCTATGCTCTCGACTTCCTCCATAGTGAAGCTCAAGTCATTCATACTGGTTCGGACCTCAACACAATCCCCAAAAAAACTCGTTTATTTTTCAGTGACATGTCACATTAGATCCAAGAGAAGAACATTACGTTGGCCATAGAAGATGAAACCATACTGTCTACTTTTGAATAGAATGAGCTCGAGAGTCCTAGGCCTCGAAAAAATTGACGGCGATAGAATAATCTACCAGTTCCGAAAATCCATGGCCGCCCTGTGTGATATGTGACTTTGGGGAGGCTCTTACTAGTTCAACGACGTGCCATGACGATATTCAGCCTTACTTGTATCGGGCTCCTAAAGTTTTGCTGCGGATGAGGTGGGACAACAAGGTGGATATCTGGAATGTCGGCGTTCTAGTAAGTTTCTAGCATTGGACTGCATTATGCGTTACTGACTACGGAGTAGTCAATTAGATTTGGGATCTCTTTGAAAATATGCACTTGTTCGACGCTCGTGACGAAAATAGGCAGAATTTGAACTTGCATCACTTGGCTGAAATGGTTGCGTTGCTTGGGACTCCACCGGTTGGATTTCTAAGACGTAACTAGTGAATACGCACCAGAATTTTTTGATTATCAAGGTGCGTCTCCACAACTATGTGCTTGCTGTTGGAAATGAGAACTGATAGCTGGGGGGTTTATAGGAGCCTGGAAAGGTGCAATTGACATTCCAGCCATTTCACTAGAAATGTTGGAAAGAAACCTCTCCGACAGTAATAAAGATATGTTAATTCAATTCGTACGGAAAATGCTACAGTGGAATCCGGAAGCGAGGCAATCAGCAAAAGAACTCCTTGATGACCCCTGGTTACGATCCGAGTAATCCTAGGTTGTATCTTCTATCCTTCAAATTTTGAGCTTGGTATCTATTGCTTTTGTCCAACCTCTGCGCATTACTTGCCAGGTTCTGGAATGACCATTGCACGGGAAAACCTGGCGCAATGGGAAATAAATGGCAGTCGAAGTCTCATCGCGCAAATAGCCTACAGGGGGCTCCAGGCAATGGAATTTTGAACGCCACTTACCCAACAGCCATTGCAGGATGCGAGAAGTCAATTATTTGTGCTATAATCAACTGGAAAAGCCAAGTGAACAAGACCTCATTAGTTTCAAGTCAGAAATGCTATTTCGCGTTGTTCTGGACCGGACTTGAAGCTTCTTCTGGAAAAGGTGTACCTGGACCTGGGGATCTACTAGGGATAACTGGGAGACTTTGCTTTACGAAGTTATGGCAAGGAACGATGCCCTTAGTTGTCTAAGAAGTTGGTACGCTATGATTTCGGCAATTTAATCAACGCGGCGTGCTTCAAGTTTTCGCATTATGTGAATCGGACGCTTTTTGGGAATATTTAAACTTGTTGACCTACTTATATATGTATTTTCCAAATTTCATGAAAGAAATAATAGGGTGGATTCTGCGGTGAGTATTATCTATTTTGACGGCCCGAGTTCCGTTCAGTCGTAGAACTTAATAGACGTTTTAAAAATATTGAGAAGAGGGACTGGGCATGCTAAGATAACATTAACTATAGTAGATATCTTATTTAGTCAATCAAAAGCTCTTTCATATCTGACTCTGTGCAATGTCTTCAATTTCCCTCCAAATCATTTCAAGAATGTGTATTTTGTTCGCCATTCTGCCCTATTCAACACTCTACAAGGGCAGAATACCCTGTGCCACCCTGTTAGGCCGATAGGTAGAATTGGAATGGGCCTATATAATTAATTTGTAGGGAATTTCTAACGTCTACTAGATCGCTCGCAGTTGACATGTAGCCAAATGGTTCCCATCCCATTCCATATTCAATACCATTTTTCAGTAAAACGTAATTTTTTAAACCAAAATCAATAAGCATAACAAGGGCCGCCGCCCTCGCTAACTTGTTTAATTTTCTTATTTTGCCTCAGGAGGATAAATCGCATCCCCCATGCCGCCACTGCAGTTGCAATTGATAGCCCAATGCTCGAAGACATGGCGATTAAATACCGTGGTCCGTCGGAACTGGGCCAGAGATACTATCACGGGATTAACAAAAAATCGAAAGAGTATTCATATAGCTAATTAAGGCAATCTTGGAAAGCTCCAACGGGGAACTCCACTTACAGGAGTCCATATAAATGACACATTAGCAATGGTATTGACTATTGCGAGAGACGCGGATTTTTTCTCCTTCGTCTGTCCACAAGTGGACCCTACCCAGCCCAGGATAATCGAATTGACAGCATATGTGCCAATGGTAAATATTACCATTCCAGCATATCGCGCCCCTGTGTTCAGCGTAGCGCACGCGATTGCGAATCCGACTACCGCGATAGCCTTTGCGGCTGTTATATGCCATGTTCGCTCGTTGAATCTACCGGAGCTCATGGACCAGAGGACGGATATCAGTCCCGCGATTAAATATGGTGGACATGTTAAAATTAATGTTATAAGTCTGTTGAAACCGAGCGTCTGGACAACCGTGGGAAAGAAGTTCTTGAATCCATTTGCAGCAAGATGGAGGTGCTGCATCAGGGCAAAGATCCAGAGGCGATAGTCCTTAGCGGCTGCTTTGAGCCCGACCCAGGTTGTGGTTTGCGATTGGCGGTCAACAGTGTCGTTGGTAATGCGATTGTGTGCAAGTTCGCGTTCCTTCGGTGTGAGCCATCTGGTGCTTAAGGGGTCATCTGGGAGTGTGAACACCGATCCAAGGGCGACAACAAACGTGGCAATTCCTAGTAAAATAAAAAGCCACTGCCATCCCTTGATACTAGACCGCCCATCCATTCCTGCAAAAATTCCAGCAGCGATTAAGCCAGCAAATGCGGTGGCTAAAATATTGCCAGTGTAGAGTATGGAAATCCGGGTGGCTATCTCCTTACGTGTGTAGAAGATTGATAGCAGGTATAGAGCGCCAGGATAATACGGAGCTTCTAGGACACCAAGAAAGAAGCGCGTCAGCAAAAGACCTTTGAAATCCTTTGCTAAAGCTGTTAGACCGGAAGCGATAGCCCACAGAGCCATGAAGAAGGACAGGTAATATGACGGCTTAGCCCGTGTGAGATACATGTTAGATGGTATCTGCCCAATCAGGTACCCGACAAAAAGGATAGAAATGCATGTATTGTATTCTAAAAATAAGTGAGTCAAAGGCAGTGATCTGATGGGACGAGGAAGTATCGACTCTTACCGTTCCCCTTGAGGTGAAGATCCTGCTCGAGATCATCTACGCGGGCAAGGGCTGTTACGACAATGTAAGTTTGATTTCCACCAAGAATGATCCGGTGTCCATATCCCCCCCCCGTCCCCTTGAGGATGAGGCTGAGGATAAAAAAGCGTACCAATGGCGTTCCGATCGAGATAGTTAAGCCAGTACATAGCCCAAAGAGTTGGCTGAAATACGTTAGCAATTTCAGAGTGTAGCGAATAGCGAAGATATATGTGCATTACCATTATCCATCTATCTAGTTTCCTGACAAGATTGATTTCCTCCGGGCTTAATGTCGTTCTTGCGCCAGAATAATCCATGTTGATGATTGACGATTCATCGAGAAGGGTATTATCGACAATACATTCTTGTTTCCGCGCAGGGGAAACTTTCTCACTGTCCTTGTCTTCCGCCATTTTTTATTTTTTTCTTTTTACAGAGTATACTTTACTCTATTACAGGAAAAGCCGCCTGTATATTATTCAACATCCGGCGGCACTCGCTCAAATGGATACGATGATGCCTGGTCCGTGTAGGTAAATTAAACAGATAAGCCAGGATGCCACCACTTACTTATGTTTAGCCATCTGGGCACTCTGTAAGTTATGAGCCCACTTGCCCGGAATAGGACACAAGAGATAGAACATGTTCCTAAACATGGCTGCCGGGAGCGTATTAAGCTGCACGGCAGTGTAAATTGAAGTTGAGCCGTTGTTGGGTGCAACATCGGACTTGTGAGGTGTGATACGAAGCGTGGAGCTTGATTCGAAATACAATCAATGGTCAGAATTGAGTGTGGTTGTGTAATTGTTGACGGAAAACGATATTTGTAACACACAACAGTGGCACAACTGGAGGGATTGGTAATCCAGCGTTGCAACGGAAAGAAAAATAGAGGCGGGAAAGCGCATCCAAAGTAAATTACGTTTCAGATTTTATGAGCATAGCATAAAGCAAGTACCCGATGCAGGTAACCAGAAAATGAAATGCTCGAATTAATAAGTTGGTGATTGTCTGGTACCAGCCATGCGGGATAACGAGTGGTCGAAATCTCTGGAAGATTTTAAAGCTCAGAAAGTGCATGCCGAGTGTGTTTAGCTGATAGATGGTGTATATGATTTGAAAAACATATAGAAAAATTATTTGAGCGAACGGGTATGGAGATCCTTGAGGCATAATCGGTAGACTCCGAATCTATAAAATATTGAGCTTCAGCGCTGACGCGGAGACGAAGGCGAAAGCTGAGAGGAGGTAGTCCGACAAGATATGGCGTTTATCCCTTCGTTCCAACCAGGTACATGTACTCTGTACATGTACTGTACATTCAGGGGTTTCCCTCCCGACTTGGCAGCAATTCCATGGCCATTACATCCGACTATAGAGCGAAGTTCTAACCAATTGGAGGAGCCAGTAGACATATTCCGCAAGCTCGGAAATTAGAATTTGGCCATCTTTGGCCCGTTGAACCTCATTGGAAATTCGTCTGAAACAGGCCACTGTGCGCGGTGGGAAGGCTACAGGTCATGCTACCAGTGCAGCGTATGAAGAGCTGCCGAAGATAGGAGAAACACAAAATTAATGTTGTCGTGGTCGTGGTATAGTTCCCATCAACACTTATGCCAAATGAGAGGGCTTGATAGGTTACGTGGGCGCATAAAAGTATGAACGGTCAGAGACTGCTGTCGCTCGATACTTATGCTCCGTGCCGGAACTTGGACGAATTGGCCAGATGCTTGTCCTGCTAACTTCACCGTACAATCTAGGAGGGAGAAAAGGTCTTGAGATCTGGCACTGACAGAAATTGTTCCGGGCTGGAGGAATAAGTTTAATTGGAGACGGGTTCAGAATTGGCGCCGAGACTGGAATGTTATCGGGGTCAAATGAGCGCATGTTGTAATCTACTGCGGATAGATCGCTGCAGCTGCCTATTCCGTGCACGATAGAATATCCTGATTATAGCGCCGGGAATGTTGTAGATAGAGAAGGGGGCTTCAGCCCCAAGTTATTTTAGATAATGTATTCGTCTGGTCCACCTTCGTTTTACGGTGTGCTGAGGCGGCTATCACTTTCATTCCTAGGCCGATGTGAAAGTTGGAATGGTGTAGACGAGTCGTCGTAATCAGCAGGCCGGGCGCGGTATCGATTTGATCCTTGCCAAAGGGCATAATAAAATGAGGCATTTGCAACAATGCTTGCGCAGACTATCTCAATGGATGCCCACTATAGTGTCGCCACAGATAGTATCTCCCCATTAGCACTGAATACAGTATACTCGTCAAGTTTCGGAGTTTTGGAGCATGTACCAGAGAACGTGTAGTTTGAGCCACTGAGTGACTTAATATCAGAGGCAGTCGCGTAATTGTTATTACAACAACCAATATGCCGACTAGGAACAATAGGGTTAACTGTAGCTTACTATACGAGGATTAGCAAGCGTGAATGATACTGGGTTCTTGACTAGGCCATGAGATCCAGTACATACGCCTGAAAGTCGAGAGATGTCATTCTCCAGAGCATTGGAATGGGGAAGAGAATCAAAGCAAGATCAGTTACGATGTTTAACGAGCCCATGGTGAGCAAATTAGACATTCCTTTCCGACACGGATCTAAATTGGCGTAGTATGATTAGCTTTCACTTGAAAACATTTATGAAAATAGGGCGTTAAATCACGATGATGCCCATCTAAAGTTCACTTACGATGCGAATATTTAGGATTCCAAAACCTACATAACAGCCATTTTATTAGTGGGGTGTAATTGATAACTGAGAGGGGGGATGTCTTACATGAACAATGGCTGACATTCAAGCAGTGTAGCCAGCAATGTAGCGAAGAAAGTTACCACGATAAAGGCCCGCAGGAACTGGAGAGAGTAATGGACTTTGTTGGACCCAGTTTCCAGCCTTTTATAAAACCGTAGCAAGCAAAGTTTCATGCACCAAAGACTGAAGAATGGCAAAAATATTAGGTGATGTCCATAAACTTTGAACTTTTTCTTCTGTCACTCGGATCTCGCGTAGATCTAAAGTAAATCTAATTTCGAACTAGATGAAGAGGAAATAACACCCACAAAAGAGCATAGAATACACGACCAACTAAGATGAGTTTTTGCGACAACACCTGGTCATCAATTGAAGGAGATAGCCGGAGACCAAACACTCTTATCATAGCAACAGTGCGGCATATTAGGGGCAGCAGTGCGAATGTCATCCAGCTATCATCGGGTCCCCATGATCGATTAGACGACTTGATCACGCCGCACTTTACAAGCAATCGGTAGCCACATCGAAATAAGATTTGGAGAGAGCTGAGTGCGGCACAAATGACGATCTGCGTGGCTTCTGAAGTCCATCTCATTGAAGTGCGGGAAAGGCGCGATAGGAAACAAGCAAGATTGATATCTGACTCTGCGCATTGCTTTGGGAAAATTCGAGCTCAGCATCCAACAACTCGAGAACGAATGAGTAATTGGAAGTTATGTGAAGTTGTTGCAAAATAGAGCTCATCTGAAGAAGGGAGAAGAGCTGGATTTTCAATAGCGAAAAATGCTGGAGCTTTGCATGTGGGGTTCTCTCTTGAGCAAGGTCCGCACAGGGTCTCCACATAAGCAGAGAAGAATTGCGCTTGGCCAATGGCTCGATGCCATGTTAAGAATAGTCCCTCTATACCCATGCTGAAAAGGGCGTGAGACGTCGTATTATTTGCCTATTTGTATTTATTCCTCTCAAGATCCCCGCCGCCCAGAAACGCGAATTCCGTTTGGGTTAAACAACCACAGATTGGACAGCTAGGGTTTCATTCAACTCAAACGAGAGCGCCATGGAATGCATTTCAGGGGATCAAAACCCAATTTGCCTTCGACTTCCGCAAGAACACAACAGTACGGACGCACAAATTTTACTGTCGCAGTCTCAACCCCGAGCACAGAGCGTACGCATATCGCGAAGAACATCGGTGAGTTGTCATATACCCGCGGCTCCGCGGCTAGTCGACAGCGTTACCGAGCGCAGCCGACCAATGGCGCTAAGCCATAACTAGCATAAGCACCAAATCTTTACAAGGTGGGGAACCACGCGATTCCAAGGCCCCTGTCAACACTACAGGGCACGAAAGTCGAATCTATTCCATTTGCAGGAATTAACGCGAGGGAGGATGGTATTTGATATTCAGAAAACCTGTTTTTACGCAGTATGCAGAAAATCAGGGGATGCAGCCCCCCAAAACACACAACCTCACACATATGGTGCAGGCCCAACAGTTCACGACCCATCTCCATGGTTCCGAATCTTAACGCAGGGACTAATAAAATTGCGAAGGAGTGAGACTCCATAGTGCTAACTGCTCTTCTTCTCCAGACAGAATTATTTCGTGGCCTGACCCCTCATAAACCCAAAATGCCGCTGTGCATCCAAGACATGAGACAACCGCCACTAGCCCAATGCCAATCCCACCATAACTACCAATTTCGAGCCCCAGACCATACCATGACCACGCAAAAACTGGGCCAACTGTGCGGAATGCGGATGAAACCGACTGTCCAATAATGCCATGGACAGTACCCAGCACTAATAGATGCGACGAACAATTGTTTAGTAAAATGATGGATGCTGGGAGTGTCAAGGTCCGTGATAGGACCCTGACTCCTTTCACCGAATAGACGATTACCTCTTCAAGAAATTATGCAACCAAAACTGCACAAATAGTCATGAGAACGGTATTTAAAAGCATTAGGAGCGCAAAAAAATACTTTTTCAACAACGTGACTCCAGCATTGTCTCCAAAAGTCAATTTTTCTCCAAAAAGTCGTGGGTAACTAGTGACAGGATCGGCCAGGAAATCGCCCATAACTACAAGGAAATGTATCATGAGTCTATGAGTCAGTTATGACAAAAGGATGCTTGCAATATGGCATGGGAAAATGTCTCACAGCCTTACCTGTCCCGGATAGGGAAGCAATATTAAATCCGATTGGTAGAATCGAAAAGGCTCTTGACTGGTAGTTTTTCTTCCTGATATTTTCCACTATCATGGTCCGGATAATTCCAACCATACCACTGATAGCTCCACCAAAGGAACGCCAGAACATGGCCTGGGTAAACGACGTCGAAAACGCAATACCCAGATAGGATACGCTCGTCCCTAGAAGCAGGACAAATTTCCGTTCACCCAATTTAGCATCGGCAGCATGACTTCAGGGAACAGCAGTAGCAAACTGAGCAGCCGTGAATGCGCCTTGAAGAAAACCGGCCTGAGTCGAGATTGTTGAATCGGATAGCGACGAGTCAAACGATTTGAGTTGAAGAACATGTAAGCTTGTAGAGAGGTGACCTAGAGAAAGTCGAACACCCGACATATCCCAAGTATTACCAGCTGGTCTTTTCGAGGAAGAGACATCCACGTCACATGCTGAGGCTTCACATTGCTCTCCAGCCTTTCTGCTGCGCCGAAGTGCAACGTCGACGACGACGATGGAATTCGCCTATGTTCGCGCTCTCCTCCTTCCATAATTGCTGGTTCCCATTCCTGTTGTGAATCCAAGTCAAAGCTCCCATTCCGGCTTCCAAGGTTGTTGATATGTAGCTCGAGGCCACTTGCAGAAGTCCCACGGGCCTTCGGTATGCGATGCTTATGCCTGTCAAAACCGAGGTCGTTCGATTTATGAGTCCAGGCCATTGCTCAACGCCCCCCCTCAAGCCCCTAAAGTCGAACAGTTTCCAGATTATGGCGCGAGCGTAACATATAACTATCGAGATTCCAAAATCCGGCAACAACTTTCTCGATTATGTGTGCGTCTGCAAGACAGACCAAAAAACTGATTGGAAAATTGGAAACTATTCTGCTCGGATATATCGGGGGGGACAATAGATTTTCAAACCTTGCTGGCGATCTGCAATCAATCCCACTTGGTTGATCTCTTGTTGTATTGAAATCTCAGGAAGATTTTGGAAGGCGAGAGATATGTAAGTGACATAGATTCTAGAGCATGAAATGTTTCTTGCCACAGCTGGAATGGCTAACTATCTAGATACAGTAAATACACATCCAACAACTGCAGAACGAGTAGCTGCGCTGTAATTATCACATCTCACAAGTTGGCCTACCCTGCCCTACCTAATGGAGTACATCAACATGTGCCCTTCGCCATACTTCACTGCCGTTCATAAAATACTGCAAATTCTTATACAGATTGTCTTCGGGTCCCTTCTCTATCCACTGGCGGCGGCATCATGGATAATCTTATTACATAGTATTTTCTGCTCGCTACCTTCCTTTCCGGGGTCTACATCTACCCTGTTCATGCCCAGCCCTGGACGGGGGAAAAAAATCTCTGGGAAGTATAACCTCAACTAACGCTCACCAGCTCCACAAAGTTCCATTACTTTTCCTCTTATGCATGGTGATGACGCCGAAGCGCAAGGGTCATGCACTGTACGTACTTGGGTAGTTGCAAACATCAGGGGTAAACGGGGGGAATTCGGAAAATAATCCTTTTCAGATCAACAAAGATTCTCCTACCTATGGAGCAGGTACATATGATCAGTACCACATGTATTGTACAGTTACATATGCATGTCGTGTGCCTGAGAAATACTACTTCAATCATGGATCTTTATGGGTGTTTCAATCCAAATACCCTCCATATAAAAATGCAGGAAAGGGACCAGAGTAAAAGTTCGGTTGATCTTTTTACTCCATGCACTGACCATCACTTTGTTAACCATACTACATATATTCCTGCCCTCCTTTTCGAAACTGCTACGACCTGCTTGTTTGCCCAGCATGTTTAATTTTCTACCACCTTGCTTGAAGGATATTCTGGTGACCATCATGAGAGGAAGGTTAGTAACCAAAGGGGGAGAGAGATAATTTAAGGCATCTACCGGGGCCGCGCAAGTTGGACTCGTTCATACGATCAATACACACTACATATGTAAGTTTGTGTTCGTCGATGAGTTGACAGCGCGGTTGGAGTCGAAAGTAAGTAGAATATAGCATTTTTATTGGGGGTATACCAGTCTTCGCTGTGCCCCTAGCAGCGGGATGTTGATCGTGGGCCTTGGCTCCATCTTATGTGTACAAAGTCAGGGATCAAAAAGGGAATTTATGTGTTTGACATCATAACTATGTAACTCATGTATCCTAAAAACTCTGAATACATGCATGTGTGAAAATTTTGTTGTTTCAAATCTAGACCTTCTGTTAATTTTGATGCTGAGAGAAGATATTTGTCATAGATATATAGCTTTTCTATGCACAAACTGAGAAAAGTCAAATTAAAAGAGAATCTATACAGTAACTAGTTGGCCAAAAGGTGAAGATATGAGGAATACTCCTGAACATGTCTATATTCAAAGTAGAAATCAGAAACAAAGGGTGTTTTAGTGCCTAATGCGAAACAAGGAACCTGATGCGCAAGTCCGACCTTGCTTAGAAACATGAATCACAGCTTAGCTTGGGGGATATAAAAACCAGAAATAAAAGAAAGGAAAAAGGAAAGCAAGGGAAAGGGAAGGAGAGGAGAGGAAGGAAAAGGCCATGCCCAAAATATCTCAATTAAAATGGACGAGTATGGGGAAAAGGAATGAATGCGAATAACTCAAGTCACGAAGTAGCGAACCGGCGCCTTTTGAGCTCTGAAGCATTCGCGAAAGAAACAAGTTTACGGAACCTATGGAATCAGCGGAAAAGCCGTTTACAGGTCATGGTAACGGCAAGGGAGGTGGCAATCATAGAGGCGCACATGGCCACGGCCTGGGGACTAGCATTCATCATCTGCCTGCGATTCCACGTTCGGCACCGCTCAACAAACCCCTGCGTGATGCTTCCTCTGGGGAAGACAGCGTCTGGAATCTCTTCACCCAGGAACTCGCATAGCGGACCCAGCCTTCGCCGATTTTGTACTCCAGTAATCGCTGCTTCGGGACAAGACTGCGCACTTCCTCGACATGGTTCAGATAGACCTGTTTCCCCTTATTGGGGAAATCGCCCTTGAAGAAAGTGTCGAAGAATTTCTGAAGCATGGGGCGGTACATGCTGGCTGTCCAGCTGAAGTCGGAGACGAGTCTATGTTCCGGATCGGTGACGCGCTACCAGACGGTTTTCATGACGGAGTTGTGCCATGAATTAACGTCCCGAGTCGTGAGGATGACTTTGGCGTTTGGATATGCTTCGATTAACTCTTTGCAAAGGCTCACGCAGGCCAGTCGCAGACAGCCTGTTGTTGTTGAAGTACGTAAGTGTTTCTTGTCGATATCTTATATAGATACATGAATGCATCATTTCCGGAGCGTGCGAAGGAATCATACATGACAATGCCCCAGGAGTTGATTCCATTATTTTCACCCGAATTCGCCTACGGCATCATATTTGGCTGCTAGCGCATCCTACCACATCAGGCAATCTGAAGGGTTCTCAACGCTTGCGCTCATCATGTGGTATGTATCCACGTAGCCGAGGCGTTCCAGAGCGGCTCGAAAGGCTATATGAACATATCGTCAGCAGCAATTTGACCATTTTCTTTTATATGATTTCTTCCTTTGCCGTGAAATCGCAAATTGACATACATGCAGTACCAGTCCGCCCTACGCCAATGGTCAACACCTTCATGGGAACTGTCCGATGCCATTTCTGCCGCTCTATACAGGTATCTTCTGTAAAAATATCCGCTAATGTTTGAGGAGGGAGGGACTCTGCGGAAGTCATATCTAAACAGCAATAATTGAAAACAAGGAGTGTGATCCTACGATTCGTTAGATGATGCCAATGTAAAAAAAAGTAAAAATAAATAAAAAATAGACAGTGTAGAAGGAAATCTCGTGTTGAAATGAGTGTAGTCAAAATCGCCTTGAAGCAAAATATTGAGATGAAAAGATCGAGAGAAAAAAGTCGGGATGCCCATCTCTCATCAACTCGTATAGGTCATGAACCTAGAATTAGAAGAGCAGAGCGCTGATCCTTGATCTAAACTGTTACAAAAGCCCGAGCTTGAGCTGGCTCCGGTTTGTTATGGGGGACGGAAAAATATGGAGACGGAAAGGTATGATCGGCCGTGTATGTTTGTTATACGCCAATGGTGGGGATAACATGGGCACCAAACGTCTTCATAGAGTCTCATCTTTGGAAGGAGGAGCGAGGAGCGAGAACTTCGGATGTCCGCAGCACGTCGTCAAGGATGTAGCAGACGACTGACAGGAGTTTGTAGTTTATGGTTCGGCGCTTCTGGCATCTTCCGAAATATTTTATCCTAATTTCTGTCCCGGTTGCTGCCAGCCATGCAACGGAAAACCTGCACTAATGAAAACTGACAGATTCAACCAGATGCACGCGTGGGAGTTATACTGGTGTGAAGATACGCGCAAGCTTTCCCATCTGGTTGCGTAACATAATTGCTGAAATGGAATGTTCTTGCAAGAGGCCACTGATCAGCAGAAACTCTACCGTTTATACTGAAACCTACTTTTCCATTGACCTGGGGGTGTGTTTCAAAGTTTGGACCAATCCTGGCTTCAATCCCGGCTGTTTTCAGGCTTGGGTAAACAGAAACATAATCAATGACTCCAATTTATTAGTATTCGGCAATTCAAAGGGATCAAAATCATCCGCTCAGTATGTTGATGAAGTCAGTTACGTGGTTAAAATCTCACATGGTGTTCGACGCAATCATGGAGCCAGCAAGGGACCAAGCAAGAAGAAAACGTTGTTGTGGCGGCATGCGATAACCTCTTAGAAGCCGGGTTTCAACTGCAAAAGGATAGAGAAAAGAGACCGTCGCGAAAAGGTGAAATAAGAAACAACAACCTGAGGAGAATAGGCTCCTATGTCACATATCCGGGGTATTTCGAGGAGTAATGATGGGATTCAAGATGTGAAGTAAGTGTATAGTGCGGGCATTCTATGGCGGAGTCTTTTGAGAATTACATCAATGAAAGCAATTGAGGGAAAGGACATGCCGACGGGTAAGTGTATAGTCGTGCGTTCATTCAAGCTTATCCAAGTGCTCCAATCTTGTCAGCACAACCTGTTTGCTTGTTTCCTCAACCTCGCCAGCGAGAAACACCTCGTCGAGAATAGCATAAACCTGGATATATATCAATTTTTTTTTTAAAAAAAAAATTAGCATCCAAACCGATACACTGAACACAGCCCGATTTCGCACCCAAAAAAAAAAAAAAAAAAAAAAAAAAAAAAAAAAAAAAAAAAAAAAAAAAAAAAGAAGGGGGAAAGAAAGAGAGAGAAAAGAATATTCGACATCATCCATAGCTCACGGAACGAAAGACGCACCTTATAGAAGTTGAAAACTAAATCAAGCTCACAAACATTGCCGAAAAACTGATCGAGGACCTCCACGAAAAAGTGTATGGCTTCCAAGTATGCCAATTCATTATCATTCGCATCGACACAGACGCAGAAGAATAGGCCCGCATATCGCCTATAAACGATCTTCGTGCTGCGACGGAACTCGACAAAGTTGGATTGATATTTTTGATCTCGAGGGGCAATGAGGCGGTGGACCTGTAGGATAACTCGGGCTTTAGATATAGGAAACGTTGCGCTGGATGTTCCGCATATATAGGAGGGAGATCTAGATGGAGGGGAATTCTTGGTGGCGGGAAACGGACCTCTCCCTTTAGTTTTACTTTCTCATCGTCCTAATACTTTGTTAGCTATTAATTGCAACATATAAACCATGGCGGATAAGATGTCACTTACATTGTATGGGGCATACCATTTTGCCAGACGGGTCTTGCCTCTTGGCCACGTTAGCGAAGTTCACGCATTTGGAGAAGGGTCTACACACTGCCTGTTCTGGATAAGAATAAATGAAAGAACCATGCCGCATAAATATGGCCTGTTACCAAGCCTTTCATTGGCTAATGCTTCATGGAGGTGTATGTTTGCCGCATGAGATATTGCAGTACAATACTCCAAGCTGGTGGTTGAAGCTTATCTCACGTCATTCTGCCAAGTGCAACCGCCTTTCAGTAACTAGTTATTCGGAACAGCGGCGTTAATGTTATACCGGAAATAGACAGCATTGAATTGTCTAGAAGGAGATACGAGGAAACAGTTATTCTCTCAAAAAATTCCCGAAAGATGAAGTGATACCGTCCAAACTATACAAAAGAACCATTCTCCCCTGAAAATCTATTTTATAACTAAAATATTCAAGCATACCAAAAACCAATACGCTAAAATATTCCTCTGATTCGATAAGTGAGCATCTCATTTGCTATCAAAGATTCGCTGGCTCATCTTTCTGGATTTCGAAATATCCGCACTCTGCATAAGGTTGTCATCAGTCGCCCAGGCATTATCGCGGACATGTCTTGCCACTTAATGAAGCTTGACATCGTAGGAACGGGAATAGGACCATACCGTAGAATCGACAGGATCAGCAGTAGCAGCTTCGCTGTCACGACAACCCATCACATCATCCTCGCCGTCATCGACAGGAGAATCTTCGTCAGAATCCTCAAATGAACGCTCTGGATCTCCATTGTAAACAACGAACCAGCCAATCTCCGCATCAGGCGCGAGTTCATTTCTAAGTTTCCTAAATACTTCACTCCCAGCCGTTGACAAGCCCGGGTCCTGCTGTAGAATCTCCTGGACCCTTAATCCTAGCCCCGCACCGGATAAGGCCTCTGCACCCATAGTCATGGTCTTTGCTGCGACGTATGCATATGGTTGGCTTACCGCGTCAGGGCTAAGGTCCTCAGGGTCGTACTGTTCAATAAGTTGGAGATTAGGGAGATGAGTGAGGATGTCAGGGTCAAGGAGCTTGAATGAATTGAGGACTGCTGCCGTTGTAGTCGGGTGCTGGAGGTACTCCGCAGCTGCGTCGAGAAGGTTGTAGAGGGCTATGTAAGCGCGTATACCTGGAGCTAAGGGGTTGGGCGCTCTGTGCCAACGGAAGCCATAAAGTATATAGGTGACCATTTTGGAGGAGGTAGGTAAAATACTGATGATGGACCTCGCTCGAATGGCCTTGACAGGAGATTAATTGAGATGTTAGTTAGAAGGATGGCCTGCATATCAACGGAGGAAGAGCTCTTGAGCCACGAGTGATTGCCATGTCACGGATGGTAGTCCCGTGTGTTTTAGGAATATTTATTGTCGAACATGTATGGTGTCTAAAAGACAAGCATATCTTATGGTGCAACATTCTGCGTGGAAGTCCAGTGATACCTAGGTAGTTTAGGGTGAGGTCACATGAGCCCCTTGATGGCATCCACAGCTAGGTATTGTCCCCTGAGCATTTTCCGCCTGTGATATAGATGTACAAAGATAATTGAACAATGTCTTTATATTTATAGGACATCCGCCGCTATATCTACCCTTTGGCCATAGAAATTTCATCCACGGGCATCTACAATTATATAAAATTATATACATTATTCGCGGTAGCGTCCCATCCCTTAGTGGCCCTCTTAACGAAGGCTTGTTCTATGTATGCTTGTTTGATATTTCGTGGACAAGCGTCAGCACAATGCTTGATTCCAACGGAATCTTACGGCTTAGAAATCCATATACCCTTCCGAATAGATCTCTTGGATTGAAGCCATTGTTATCATCCTAACCATCGTCGTCATCGTGATTTCTTATCTTCAGCTCCACCGGTCATAATGGAGGAAGGACCGTTAACCATGACGACATCATCATCGTCCGAATCGGCCTCTCTTCTAGAGCACGGTCCACGTTTCTTCTGCTCAGAGTCCGTGATCCGCCTGTTCACCTCAACCAAATTTTCGTTCGATATGGTAGACAGCGGTTTTATCAGAGTATCGTGGAGAAAGGAACCAAAGCTGCTGGACCGCCTTCCACTGCCGCGGCTTTGGCTCCTGCTCCTGCTACTTGCATGGCTAGGGGGCATGCTCTTCAGTCGAGACAGATAAGAATCGCCATTAGGGCCCTCATGTACAAGCTTTTCCGATTCGAAATCCGGTAGGATTTCAGGTCCGAACGTGTCAATTACCTCAACAACTTGAGCAGCCAGCGCTTGACGCTCAGCTCGCAACTGAGCCAATGAAGTAGCTGATCTGGGGTTTAAAGCGACTAGTAGTGGTGGTAGAGACTTGAGCACGTCAGCGCCTATCTCGCCAATGCGTAGCCCGGCAAGGGAGACGAAAATCATGAGTCCGAAGAACAATATCGAAAAAAGCGACAACGGCATAATATCAGGGATATAATTCCTCGGATTAATCCACCAAGACACAGCAGAACAGTAATGCCCATCGTGGCGACAATAACGCAACCAAACCGTGGCTATAGCGGTATAAAAGGTGTACAAAGCCGGTGCTAGCACCATCGCCACAATAATCTTCCAACTTCCGACAACATCGCGTGCTTCTAGCTTAACAACGGAAACTGCTAGCGCTTTACGCTGTTTTCTGACAGACACGATCTTCGTAATGATGAAAACCGGCCAGAATAAAGCAATTGACGGTAGAGTTCCCACTGCCAGTGCGAGAAATTCACCGATACGCCGAAGCAGAGTGCCAAACACTACCCACCACGGCCGTTGCTCTACATCTCCCCACTCGACTTGGTGATCCCGAATACCTAATGCCTTCAGTCGATCATTGTAGTCTGATACAGCCTTTTTTAACTGAAGAACTTTAAGCTCGTCCTTAAACCGCGTATAGCCTTTAAGAAGGTTCCGGTTAAGTTCAACAACAACGGGTAAAGGGAGCTTCATTCGTAGAGGCCTATATAGTCTTCTCGTAGCTTGAATGGCCATAAGGGTGTCATGATCCGGAGCTAGTTGAGTGACAGCAGCAAGAGCGTCGTTAATTGTTTCCAGCAATGATCCCACAGCGTTACGTTTGAGCTGTCCTCCGGCCTTGAAAGCTTCAATTTGATCTGGGTGAACCTGAACGGGGTTACCAAACTCTATAACAGCACGGGACCGGAATTTATTTGGATGGAAGTAATTCATGCCACAGGGGATTATAGAGAGGCCGCAGTCAGGATCTCGTGCTAGAGTACCTAGGGCAATTATAGCCACGCCAGCTTTCAATGGAAGCAAATTAGGGCGGTCATGACTTCCTCCCTCGGGAAAGATGCCAACACAACCGCCGTTGCAAAGTTCGCGATACACTGAATCGAACATCTGGCTTTGGTCCACAAACGGCGCGACTTTAAACGGGGTCCCATTGCGCAATCCATCGTAGAGCGGGTGGTCCTTATCAAAATCTTTGAATGGTCTGCGGAGCCGCAGTTCTTGCGGCCCCAGGATTTCAGCAATTGCTTGCTGTTCGACATTCGTTCTCCCCACCCTAGGTAAAACAATTAAGCCCCCTTCCATGAACTCTCCGTTGGTGAAGTTCGTTCCTTTCCCGCGGACCAGAGTTGGGTCATTTTCCGGATGGGGCAGGCAAATCGTGCCCTCAGCAGGCTTGACAAGGTCCATTGCCCTGACCACAGATACAGCCCCCATAAGACGAGTCATCCTCCCAATGTATGGGTCGCGCATAGTTTTGTCCGCCGTGAGAAAAGATGTGCGGCGTCCAGCATAGCGTCTCATGTTGCGCATTAACACAGCGGAATCGACGAATTGGTTGGCATGCGGCGCGGCGACTATGATCACCGGGCCGCTCTTAGGGATCCGCCATGCTCCCCGGGAATAAATTTCACGGAAGAAAATATCTAGACAACACGCGAAAATCCATATCCCGAAGTCATAAACCCACGGGATCATATAACTCTGGGTCATGATGAATGAGCTAGGTATGCTGCCGTGTCACTTAGCCAGGAGAAGGGACAGCAAACTGCAACATTAGATGCGCACGGAAAATGCCATGATAGGGCGGGAGGTAGGCGAGACTTCTTGGTGGAAGGGTAGGGGTAACGTTAGCCCTCCCTCCCGGCTGCCTGATTTGTTGGGGATTCAACGACCTAGAATACTCCGGTTCCTTCATGAAAACCGTCCAAGGCAGGGGTGGGTGGCCAAGACTTCACTAGGTAGGGCTAGAACCCAGGTGTCCAATAATATTAATGAACCGTAGCAATCTGGTGGAGAAGCGAAAAAAAGTTGCGGCAAGGGCTTGACCTTGAACAGCACCCGCAAAACCACAACAGCGGGTACGGTACAGAGGCAAAGAGAAAGAGCCAATAAGAGTTCCAATTGCAAGATAACTTTCCCCGAAGTTGTAAAAATAATCTATGAAAATAAGGGTAAAAATGGCTATGTTCTCAGACTGATGCTGCGCGTTTACTTATATCTAAATTGTTATTTTTGTCTTAGAACAGACGTTCATGAACTCGTTCCATAATTTGCTTTCCAAGCCTCATCAAAAGTTGCCTTGTCGACGGCAAACTCCCGAATGTAATCCCTTTCTAGATCATGGGTCTTTTTCCCGAGCAGAACCAAACAGTGCAAGGGTTTACCCATATCGACATCACATAGCTCTTTCAATGTCCCCACGGCAAGTTTCTGATCCGGCGCACCAACTCGCGCAGCGCCTATAGCAAGGCTAGTCGGACCATACACACACTCTTTCCTCTCTTCCTCTATTTCCAGCATCTGACTCGCACACTGCGCAACAGTCATGTATCTTGGTGGTTCATATATTTTCCTTCCGCGCGCCATATTCTCTATCGACTGCTCTTTAACTTTAATATCCAGGAGCATCAACGTGTGAAACCCTAGTTGAACGTTCTCTTTCACTCGGTCATAGAACGAAGATGGTTTCCATGTCTCTGTGAAAAATACCATACTGACGGTCTGACCGAAATTATAAAGTTGGAGACCCGTGCAGCCTATGGCGGACATAATCGAGGCATTTGGTACGGTTGACGTTTTGATGCCGAGTTCGCGGGCGCGCAAGACGAGGTCAGTGTGCGTTGTAGCTCTAATATTCGAAATAAGAATTGTTAGTCTCTCCATTGCTACCTTGAGATTTGCAAGAGTATTATTGAAGCGCGACTGTACCCAAATGGATCTCCGACTACCAGAAACGCGACATCTACTTTATTAGCATCTTGTAGTATATCATCACTGCCCGTCTCGACCAGTTCGCGATCTGCTACAATGACAGGGCGTCCATAGAACGCTTCCTACTGATCAGTCGCGGACGCGCATTAGTACGTTAACCATAGCTCTATTATATATATTTTATCAAAACCATCACGCACTAGTTTTTCCTTATCCACCAGTAGGATACTCGTGTAAGCTTCAAGATACACTCGTTCGGCCTTCTTAACGATTTCCAGTCCCCGAACAGTGATATCTGTCTCATCCGCCAGACCGAGCCCGACCAGATACAACATGGCGAGGGCGCAGTGTAAGTGCACTGGGGATACGACGGGTGGTTGATGTCGCTGGAAAATACTTTGAATCAGAGTTGGTCTCTGCTGATTTTAATAATGAGTTGCACAGTTCAAGTTGGGTTAGCGCAAATCTTGAAGTGGGGTCAAGCGTGCTGAGGTAATTCAGAGCCATGACGCCGACAATTGAGCCGCGGCCGACTTCATCCAACCACTATCCCTATCTAGTCCCTTCGCATGCTGCGTAGTATCAGTTATCAGGACTAAGCCTGCGCAGTGTCGACGCACTGCTTCGTCATTACCTGCCTTATCCTACTATTCTTGCCTACCAACCTGTGAAGATGGCGGAGCGATCGCCCAAGTACCGCCAGGAGATCCAACAGGTAAGACTCTAAATCCCTTCTATTCTAGACGTCTTGGGAAGATTCGGTGAAAGGTCACATCTGGTCATCTTGGCATCTGGTCTCCTCCGTTGGTTTTTGATATGGAACCTCTTCTCCGGAAGCGCGTCCCCGCGACCCTCAAATCCCGAAGGAAGCTATCATCGTTAGAGAATCCCGTTTTGCGCACTGGGGAAGCCTGACGATAGGGTGACGAGATGGTATTGTAGGATGCATGGGAGCCATGGAAATTCCGTTTTGCTGGCTACTATATTCTCCGTGGCGGAAGTCAGTATATCTTCCAATCGAGGAACGCTCTCCCCTATGCGATCGGAAGAAAATATGTCCAGGAAAGGCCGCGACGCTACCTATCTTTTGATCCGGTGTGAAGTTTTCGAGATTTTCCGGCCCTCGTCTAGTGATCTTTGCCATTGCCCATTTTACCTCCTCCAAATGTGGATGATGGGGTAAATGGCAGCTTGCACTTTGGAAACATTTAGTGAAGTCGGATAGATCGATCTCAACATGCGATGAAAGATGTGCTACGAAATGAGTGCTATTCACTTCTCCGTAGCAACGATATCCCCTCAAAATCTTCGATATTTGTCTTCCGGAAAGATATATGCGCCATAACACTACCACTCTCGAACGCCTCAGAAGCTCTTGCAGTTGCCTCAGGTCTATGGATCTTGTTCATCGACTTGCACCTTTTTAAACCCAGTTCATCTGTGGGATTGATCGGTTCTTCGCGATGGCTTTCATAGAGCGAAGGATAGGCGGTAAATTGTGGGTTGAGCGCTGGTCCGATGCGGCTGCTGAGATTGTTTCCAAAGTCGTTTCTGGAGGCAGAGGCATAGAGTTTGACGCATTGCCTGATGACGAGAATGATGCAAACGCTTCCTTCCGATATTATTTCGATACAGTTGTGGACGAGGACGTTTACAGGGACTAGACCAACACCAGCACCAGAGCGAACACAGATTTCTTGGAGTGGTCATAGAAGCGTCCCTACTAACATCTTTGGCCAGATGATGTTTGTCTCCGGCGAGACGGCAGAACCATCAGCTGAAACGACGACTCTCATTGAAGAAATTGTACGACAACAGGTTATTGAAATGGTAGGTGCTCGTACACTGCTTCTTCTTTTGCATATTGAGCTCACCAATTTGAAGCTTAGTCGAAGCACTGCCCTTGCAGCGCGACGGGGCGTTCGATCTATTTCCACAGATGATCTCATTTTTCTAATTCGTCACGACAAGGCTAAGGTATCACGGCTGAAGACTTTTTTGTCATGGAAGGACGTCCGGAAAAACGTGAAGGACTCGGATGACAAAGGTGGTGGTGATGCAGCAGATTTTGGGGCCGGAGACGATCCCTTGGCTGGAGCTGGCGTTGCGGGTCCAACAGATGTTGCGGCGAAACCGAAAAACAAAAGGGCTAAAGTTGGTTTGCCCTGGGATCTCAACAACTTATATTCAGTCCAAGTTCCTGAACGTGAAGATGAAGAAGACGAAGAGGAGGAGGAGCAAAATTATGCCACCCTACAGCGACTCGCAAACGCAGACGAACGGACAAAAAACATGACGCGCGAGGAGTATGTTTTCTGGTCCGATTGTCGACAGGCCTCCTTTACATTTCGCAAAGCCAAAAGATTTCGAGAATGGGCAGGTTTTGGAATCGTGACGGACTTTAGACCCAACGATGACATCGTCGACATTCTTGGCTTCCTCACTTTTGAAATTGTGCAAACCTTGACGGAAGAGGCTTTGAAGGTCAAGGAGCAGGAAGACCGGGGTAGGAAAGGCCGTGGAGCTTCGGATGACGGTGAGAAGACGAAGAAGCGAAAACGAGAGACGGGTCTCTTCGACCCTCCTGAGGAGGGGAGGACACCCATAGAGCCAAGACACATTCATGAGGCGTACCGCAAGCTTCAAGCGATTCCAAACAAGTCTATCGCGGTGTTGTTGCGAGGAGGACGTGCCCCTATGCGCACCCCTTTGCGACTTGTACGTTACTCATTTCACTTTTGACGCTGATGTTAATTGCTGATCGTTGAACTCCATGCTAACCCTTGCCCTGTGTAATAGATTTGAAATCCTCGTCCAAATTTGTACGATATCGAAGAGGTCTTTCTTATTTTAACGTACTACGTAGGAGCTTTTTTTTTTTTTTTTTTTTTTTTTTTTTTTTTTTTTTTTTTTTTTTTTTTTTTTTTTGAGTCCCTGGTTATTTTTAATTTTCTTGGAGTTCTCAGGATGTGGCAAATATACCCCGGATTGGGATCTCTTTGGCTTGTTTTGAGATGTAACTTTCACATGTGGTGTTGGTGTCACCATCGTTATATTCAGCGGATAGGTTTACCTATCTTTCTTACAAACTCTTGTGGCTTACACCGTCTATTCCCGTCTGTCCGCAAGACCATCCTTTCTTTGGAACTAGATTTGATGTGCGAAGGATCTAGGAGTTTATTGGACTGAACGTTTGGACTAAAACGCCCTTTGATTGCAACCACCCATCGCTTATCTATAGATGGAAAAGAACTATGGATAGCTAGCAAAAAGTCTATATCTATAGTAAAACCCCTATTTCATTTTTAACCCGTTGGAGGTGTAAATATTAGACAGAACTGCCTGGATCTCCCGCAAAAATTTCGATACCTCTGCTTCCGTCCCAACAGTGATCCTTAGACATCCGGTACAGCCATACTCATTCCCTCGAAACCGGACAACAACGCCTTTCGCCTCCGCAAGAGCCTTGTACACTGCTATCGCTACATCATTGCAAGGTTTCCCTCCCTGTTCCGCTGGCATGTCAAGAACCTCAACGAGCAGGAAATTCGACTCCGTGCCGCCCAGAAACTTTCCAATTCCAGGAACTTTAGGCAGCTCCGCAAGTATCCGTTCCCGCTGTACCAGTATCTTCTCCTTGTTCTTATTCATGAGCGCAAGATTCTTCGGTGTTAGCGCAGCCTTTGCCAACGCACTGGTAGGGCTGGAGATGTTATACGGGGCCTTCAAACTATTCAGCAACCTCGCGATTTCAGGGCTCGTAAACCCCACACCCAGTCTGATGCCCGCAAGTCCGAATGCTTTGCTTAACGTCTGCATTACAACCAGGTTTGGCCACTCCATCACCCACTCTGCGAGACTTGAGCCCTCAGGCGCAAAGTCGATGTAGGCTTCGTCAACCACCACCACGCCATTCCATGTCGGGTGTTCGAGGACCTTCTGGATATCGTCTTTGCGAATTAGACTTGCCGTGGGATTGCCGGGGGAGCAGATGTAGACTAATTTTATGGAAGAAGTCGAGGATAGCACTTCGTTGATGGCGTCGGGGCGGAGATAAAAATTGTTGGCTGTGTCAAGGGGGACTTTGACGATGCTGATGTCGTTTACTTGCGCACTGACTGAATACATGCCGTATGTGGGGGGGCAGGTGAGGATCTGGTCATGACCTGGTTTGCAGAAACAGCGGAGAAGGGCATCGATAACTTCATCTGAGCCAACGCCGACGAAAAGCCTGTCTGGCGTCAATGTCTTTTGAGTATGAACGTGTGTGTTTCGTAGATTGCAAAGGAGCTGCTTGAGTTCGATTTGATGACTATTTGAAAAGGCAAAAAATAAAAAATGTCAGAATTACAGAAGCATTTTGAAATATTGGCCTGGATTGGGAAGAGATCATATGCTCACGGATCTGGATATCGGTTCAAGCCCAAGAAGTCGATATCTGGAGAAGATGCATTCTCGCTATTTGTCACCGATTTCTCCGACCATCCCTCCTGTATCCTTCCATCAGGAGTTAAGACGAGGCCTGGACCATAGGCGTTTTCATTCGCATCTAGCAGGATATTCGTCCCATCGTCTTTGTAGTCACTGTCATTCGTAGGTCAACTTTCACGAGCTAGATCTGCAGGACAAAGGGTGAAAAGCCTACTCTCTGGCGCAACGATACGGCTGCAATTGAAGAATATTGGGTCTCGCGCATTTCGAGAGGTCGAAAGGGAGATTCTTGACTGCCATGGTTGGCGCTGGCGACGCGTTAGAGAGTGAGGAGGGGGGGGATTTTTGAAGTTGCTCCTGTTGTGCATCTAATTGACTATTTATTCCGTTATCAGGAGTGGCGGGGCAAGATCGATGACTCGACGCGGCGCATAGTACGGAGTGTAAGTCACAAACTCTATTTTATGTATTATTATTATGTAGTGGAAAAGGAAGAGGTATTTATTTTATCACTTGAGTCAATTGCTATACTACATCTATCCTGATAGATTTCTATTGTATTTTATCCCACTTTATTCAACGCCAAAGCCTTCGAGTATGCACAGTACGGGCAGTATTAATAATAATATGTAGAAGGGTACACAGTTCCCCAAAAGAAAATATGTCCAAGGAAGTTCACTCCTTTTTAGAACCGCTAGGTGCGTCTTCTTTCGTCTCCTGCTTAGCGGAAGCGTACTTCTGTTGTTTCTCTCTTACATACCGCCATCCTTTTCCAAGGCCAGCGGTGAATAGGCTCTTTACGCTCTGGCTCATACTCGGCCACGCTATTGTCTTCCTGATCGATTTAGTTGCTTCGTCTTTGAGATGTTCGTCGGCAGCAATTCTTTGCTCGAATGTGCCTCCTACTCGACGATGAACTCGTTCTGGGTCTTCGTCGTTATTTTTCTCCATCATGTTATCAAATTCCACTCTCGGAATTTGGTATCTTGACTGGAATTGGAAGTAAAGCTTCTCGCGGAAGGACTGGGGTAGTCTCCGAACCATATTTCCTCGTTTTAACGGATCCATATCTTGGGCTAGCCGAGCGTCGACCTCTGGGTTATCTACCCAATCTAGGCTGCTGCATTGCGGGTCATTGAAAGCAACATTTGGCAATGTTTCGATCAAGGGTGCGTATAGACGGCGAAAATTGGTCATCTGCGAGGATACAATGTTGTTAACCTTACGCGGATCCTCTGTGGCAAAAGACATCCGAGGGTCGCCCATATAACTAATGCCAGCGATAGTGCTATACAGCTGTTGCTCGGTAAATGTCGGTGGTAGTAATAGCAATGCCACGCGGACGGCTGAAAGAAGGTTCACTTGGTTCGCAAGACGGACTTTCGGGTGGTCCCTAAGGATTTTCACCGGCTTCTGAAGTCGTCCCGCAAGGTAAAGTGAGTCCCAGTCACTAAGATCTTTACAAAGTGTGTCAATATTAACAACCCCATATTTTATAAGGGTTCCATTCACGGTGACATAGGGATTGAAGTAAACGCCGGCTCCCCATCTTTCCTGGATCTGGGAAACAATATATGAGCCTAGCGATCCTAGACCAGAATAGTGGTCACGATGTTGGTTCAAGTTGAGCGCGTGCCAATGTTGGCTGTAAGAGACCCCAAATATAAAATCAATCATCTTTCCACTGTTCCCCTGGCCTGTTTGAATGGCTTGTGGAGCGGCCGGATGGGAACTTTCGGCTGGAAAGGCAGATCTGTTAGACTGCGGAAATACACCTGAACCGTAGGCGAACGCATATCGGATTGGAGCTTTGAATTGCCACAAAATCTGTCGTAGGGCCTCTTTAAACTCCTCATTGATAATCATGTGTTGATTCACTCCAAAGTTTTTTGAAGGTAGCTCCGAAAATGTCGAGATGGTGAAGTCCGGATTGTCGTACCACTGCGTGCCTGACTCGGATGATGGAATCGATTGTCCGGAGTTTGATGCGGCCGGAGAAGCATCCGATCGAGAATTTACATTTTTATGGCCGGCAATATTGAATCCAGGAGGAGGCCCGCTATCCCGATGCTGCGGGCCAGGAGATGGCTCGGTGGAGAGGAGCCGGTAACATCTGGGGCTGTTCTTGGGAAAAGACGGAAGAGGTGGGATGAAGATGTGAAGATGAGACGACGCCGCTAGTCGTGACCGTATCGGGGAGAACTAATAATGAGCAGTTGAAGAGTTAGTTTTTGTAATATTAACAATTCTAAAGGTGTTCTGGTGGGGGACTGGTTTGTACCGGAAGATGGGATGTGGCCATGTTGGAGGGACTATGGGGGACAGCAGAAGCTGCAACAGGTCAAGCTAAGAGGTACCATGGGTCTTCAAACAACCTCACCAAGCCCTGGTTGATACAACAAGGGGAATATAAAAACTGCCAAAGAGGGCTGTGATACGATTTCGTCCATGAAGGAGAACGGGAAACCGGCGGACTAAAATGCCTCTGGGTTTCGGCCGACGTCAACGCTCGCTGATATAATCAAGCGGGTCACATGACCAGTCATCATCACCTGACCAGACCGCGTCGGCGCGACAAAACAACATCCCAAACAAATCATTGAGCAGGTGAGTAAACAAACCAGCTCCGAGCCAGATTGCGGCCCCAACATCGCCATTTACAAACTCTAGATAGATCAATCTCGAATATAATTGAATACCCCCATGTTTACCTAATTGAAAGGCAAATAAATTTCGCTATGATTGCAATCGGCATGGAGACTGTCGCTGCCCGGCTTGCCACCTTTTATTCTTCTGCACCAAAAGGTAAAAGAACATCAAATACAAAGGCTACAACGCACATTAGCTGGCCTCATGATAGACCATCGCCTGAAGAGGTGTGTATTAACGGCAATTTATGTTCCACAATGATCCCCTTGCGTCCCAATTAACTGACACCCAAATTCCAGCTTGCACATGCCGGATTTTACTTTAAGCCCACTCCTCTTAGCCCGGATAATGCTGCTTGTTTCCTTTGCGAGAGAGCCCTAGATGGTTGGGAAGAGGACGACGACCCGGTTACTGAGCACCTGAGACACTCGAGCGAATGTGGATGGGCAATTATGATGGATATTGTACGCCGATCTTCGAACCCAGCAGAAATAGAAGACCCTACAAACGCCAGAATCGCCGAGGCAAGGAGAGCAACTTTTGCGTCTATGTGGCCTCACGATGGGAAAAGGGGTTGGGTATGCAAAACGGAAAAGGTGAGCACCTACCTAGAGCGGGACTTTGGGTTTGTAGTTGCTAACAAGGTTTTGTTCCCACAGATGGTCGAAGCAGGCTGGTATTACTGCGCCCATGAAGAGAGTGAGGATTTTGTAAGCTGCGCTTATTGCAATCTGTCACTGGATGGCTGGGAGCCAAAAGATGATCCTTTGTGAGCAAATCATGACCTGACTGCACATGCCTTGATTGGCTAACGATGGAATAGTGAGGAGCATTATCGCAGATCTTCAGATTGTTCATTTTTTCATTTTGCACTGAGTAATCCGGCAAAACCAACCCGTGGAAAGAAGACTCGATCATCAAAAGCATCGCGCCTATCAACACAATCCGTCGCTACAACCGTATCTGAAGCTCCTGAGGCTGATTTTGATGACGAAATGGATCACAGCACCCTGTCCAATTCAACCAATAGAACGTCAAAAACGACAAGAAAGACAACGAAATCGAAAGGGAAGAAAGCAAAGTCCAAGAAGGGAGATCCGGTTGAAGTAAGTAGCCAAGTAGATATCGAGAGTAACAATGGTGATGTCCCAGAAACATCCCGGCCGAAGAGAACAACAAGGGGGAGAAAGAGAAATAGTGAGGCAATGAACGGTGACGATGTGCAAAATGAAAAGGGCGATGTGGTTGGATCAGCACCACCTGCTAAACGACGGGCGGCGAGGTCGGAAAATACTGCGGCGAATCGTGCTGCGGAATTGGCACTCGCCGATGACCAGCCTGTGCATGTGGAGGAACAACCCCCACGAAAACCACAAAAATCGAAGCGAGCTTCTTCAACGACACGGAAACAATCTACAGCTTCCAAAGCCTCCTTAAGATCAAGGATTCCCGATGATGACGAGATTGACGCCCAATTAGAGGCGGACCTCGCCGCGGACATCGAAGCTGATGCAAGAGCAGTATCTGAGCAATATCAAGCGCACGAACTCCCCGCGAGGACGAGGTATGTTTCAACCGTATCAGTTGCGAACGCTCAGCCGCCGGCACCGACAGTTATTAGCACAAGCGATCTTGAAGAGGAGCCGAATACTCATACCCAGAAAGCTCAACGAAAAAGGAATGTGGGCAAGAAGAAGCTCGCATCAAAGAAAAGTTCTAGCGTTCACAGTGAACAAGAACCTGCCAAGGTAGCGATTGATGAAGCTGAGAGTGTTAAACCCAACCCTGGAGCGGAGATCATAGACGGTGGCGTAGACGAGAAGATGGGAAACAATTTGGAGATGAAAGATGCAGTTATTCCTAAAGGTCAGGAGGACGAGCCCCTTGGAAACTCCCAGCCGAAACCTCCCCGTAGAAAACCTGGACGACCGAAGGGCTCTACCGGCAATTCGAAGAAGTCAAAGCAGCAACCGCCAAATGAGATTGGAGTTCCGGAGGAGGCTGCTCCTACCCCATCCGATCTCCACACATCGCCAATCCAGAACAAAATAAGGACTGCTGCTCACAGTAAAGAGCTTAAGATGACGAGTACAAGCTCCAGTGACAAAGAAACAAAGGTAGACCCAGAAATCCAAAAGTCGACCAATCTACCGCGGAAGGTTGCCTTTAGAGCATCTGGAAATATTGATACTTCATCAAAATGGAATGGTGCCCGGCAACGCTTGAATAGCCCAGGAATGTTTGAGCGCGCATCAGACCGGATAGTGCAGGCTTCACACAATCCAATATCGCCTAATGCACGAGTCCATGAGTCCACGCCGTCGCCATCACCACAATCGTCTGACGCAGAAAACCGGCCACCATCAAGCCGACCATCTAATACCCGACCCACCTCATCTTCTGCTTCCAAGCCTCACACAGCTTTTGTTGTGCCCCTTGCAACAAGCACACCTGCCACTTCACCATCAAAAATACATGCCCATTCTGGTCAGCTAATGACTTCCCACCCATGGAGTCCCGTTGATCCAGAAGAGATTTTCCTCCCAGATTCGATGAGTAAAGAGAATGTGAATATCAATGATATACTTCACGCTGTTAAAGGGGACCTGACAAGTCTAGAGAAAAATATGACCGTGGAAGAATGGATTATGTGGAATGCGAAGAATGGGGAAACTAAGTTGAGAAGCGAATGTGAACGATTGGTTGGCATTTTTGAGAGAGAAGGGGGGAAAGCCATGATGGCCCTTGAAGGGATCGAATGTACTGAATGAGTTCAATGATAATCAATTCGACGTTTTTCGGGGCTTATTGGTTGGCGGAAATGCTGTGCGAATTGCTGTCATACACCGCGTTTTGTTTTCAGTTCATTTCCAAGCAGAGCGTCATAGAGCTTTATTTGTTCTTTTATTTTCCCCTCCTTTTACCTCGGGACAAATGTCTCTATACATAGCACGGAAAGATAGGAAACCATAACGCCGGGGTATATAATAAGTGCGTTCAAGAAATCCCAGTCCTAGAAGGTGAAAAAGATACATACTTTCATCACTCCATATTTACGAAATAATTCCGAGCCTCCCCTCCCAGCTATCCTCCTGTTTCACTCCCCCTTTTCTCCGCTTCTCATTTCTTTTCCTTCGCCGCTCCTCCCTCTCCCTCGCCTCTTCCTCCTCCCTCGTCTTCAACCTCTCCCCAAGATCCAGCTGGCCCGCCTTCCGCTCCTCCTCCTCCTGCACCCTCCTTTTATGCGACAGCCACCTCAGCCTCTGCCGCACGTCTTCCAAAGTAGCTACAACGACCTCCCCGCTCTGACCCGTCGCAATCAAGTGCTGCTTGCTATTCAAATGCTCGACAAATTGGATATTATCTTTGTAGGTCAGGTTACACTCGGGGCAATAGAACCCTGCCCCGCGGCCTCTTTTGCCGACAGCGGACCCTGCGGGGATAATGGTGGTCTTGCCAACCATTGACGCGACATTTAGTCGCTCAGATCGGGAGCTTGTGGCTTCGAGAGTGCTAAAGTCGACGGGCGCATGGTATTTCTTGCCAGCTAGTTTCGCCTCGTAGCGTGCTTTGGACTCTACTTTCGACTTGGCTTCTTCGGCAGCAGCCTTTCTGGAATATTCTTCCCGATCCCATGTTTTGCGGAAGGAAGTGTCTGAGGAAGGCGTTCCGTATGCGGACGCTCTCTTGGGAGGGTCAGACATGCTGTGGCAATTAAAAGGGAGCTGGAAGCTAAGGCTGGGTATGCTTCTGGAATAGTGATTATTTGGTTTTTCAGGCCTCAATAGGCACCTATGATTTTGGAGGCCCTTTGAATTTCAACAAATATTTCAGGATGGTAGTGATTTCTGTAGATCTTGTTGAGGTATGATGATGATGTATCGAGCCCGTGCAGAAAGGTTTGTTAGAAGCTATACATGGATCAAATCAACAATCACGTGATTTTGTTCTTCGCCCTCTGGTTTTCAACCACCAATGAGGCTTAGAACTTAGGGGTAAAGCCTCGCGCAAAAAAGCTTTAACCAAGCCACTACTCGTATATAATATGAGTTCTTAGCGATGACAGGGAAGCCCTGGAAGCCCCAGGTAACCTGCCCTTTTGATGAGGTGGGTGCGAATGACCCTTATGCCATTTACGTATCAACCTCCCGATATCAACGCCAGCTGTCCGCAATATGATAACACCGCTAAATCCGGTCCATAATTCTGCAGGCTGAAGACCTGCCTGGTCCCATCGTACTACGAAGCTTCTAATTGGAGTGCCTAATTTGGGTTCCCAAGCCAGCCGTTGACAAAGCCACGATGCATCAATGACAGGCAGCAAAATATCCAGCCTATGCAGGATATAAGCTATCCAGTGTTCGCAATTTACAATTCATGTTTTAATTTCAAGAATTCGAAACCCCTAGCTGTACGGAGAGTATCGCCCGTACCTGATATTATTACCTGAAAATGATTCACCACATGAACGAAATGTCGTCCTCAACGAGATCGCCTTTCATGGATCTACCAACTGAACTTCATGCACATATCGCATCATATCTATCCTACCCGGACGCATTGGCACTAAAACATACAAACAGATACTTCTACGCTCTTGTTCAAACAGGCCTTGTGCTTAAAGTCAACTGGATACTTGAGCGTTGTCGGCTCAAACTTCGGGTCCCATTCAAGAGTTGCGAGCTTCGCACAGATCAGACATTTTGCAATGCGGAGATTCGAGAGATTATGGAGAAACGACGGCGACATCAGGAATGTAAACCAGGCTCCAGGGGGTGCTTGGTTGTGGAGGGCTCGAGCTGTGGTGGACGGACTCCTTTCTGGTTACTGGGCAGTCGCGAACTTTTCTGGGGGCGAAAGGAAGTTAAGCTCGATTATTTTGGTGAGATTCCTCCGTTTTCATGGCCAGGACCGATGCTAATCTTTAAAACAGCTTCGATCATTGGAATTCTTGTTTGCTTGATCGCCATAATATGTGTTCCGGTATCGAGGTACGGATTAGGCTTTTCTGGACTGAATCAGCATTCCGGCTTTCTGTGCTAAGGAATTCTAGGTTTTCCACTGGGAATTGATATTGGCTCGCGATCAATTCTACTGCACTGTCATACCATATATATCCGTATTGTTCCAGTTATCATCACCAAACAAAATTCGGCATGGCTGCATAATGATTTCATTTAGATCCTTACGCTGCGTTTAAAGTTTTTCAGTTTACTATAATACCCCTATAATTGAAGCCAAGTGATACCACTCTTATTTATCCTTTTTGATCTAGTGGATTTGCCGTTTTAATTGAAAATTTTGTCCTAGTTGTCGAGAAGTCATCGTTCGTCATAGGGCGGTCCAAGAGTTGGCGGTTCTTATCCTACTCGAAAAAGCATCATTCATCCAGTGGATAAATATGCTTTTTATTCCACCTAGGGAGCAGGAACCAAAAAAGGGCGGTTGCCTGAATATATCGGTATCGAAGTTTCGAATTTTCAAACCGGAAAGTTTGGATTTAGAGGACCTGTTATGCCGAAAATTGTGAAGGCCGGACTGGAAGGTTGTGCCAAGATCTCGAACAACCAGATTCGCGGTCCGAGGTATTCTCACTTCACAACGGACGACGGGGCCCGAGATCGACCTGACTGACCGTATTTTGTACGACTTACAAACATTCTGATATTGATTATTAAAAACCTATGGCGCCTCATCCTCTTCTGTCTTTTGGAAATTTATGACATTTACAAATCGCGCAACTCAGTTCGCTCTAGAACAATGCCAGCTACCCAAGAAGCCGAAAAGCTGTGGGTTTCTCCGCATGCGGGCAAGTACCCCATTGACGATTATCGACGGCATGCCAATAGGAAGTTCTCCCTCAACTTGACGGACAACCACGAGCTACAACGCTGGAGCGTGACAAGGCCGCACGACTTTTGGATCGACTTATACAAATACATCGGTATTATTCCAGAGCTTCCGCCGCATATTACCCGTGCCTTCGACAATTCTTTGCCTCTGAGCGCCGTGCCAAGGTTTTTTGAGGGGGTTAACTTGAACTATACGGAAAATGTTTTCTCTGGGAAAGATCCTAATGCAGTGGCCCTCATTGGTCTGCGAGAAGGAGATGGCCTGGACGGGGAGGTTGTGACATGGGCGCAATTGAAAGAGAGGGTGAGAGTTGTCAGAAGTGCGTTGATTCGAAATGGCATCAAAGAAGGCGATCGCGTTGGTGCCTTGGTGTCTACGTCAATCTGGGCTGTCGTCCTCCTCCTTGCGTCGGCGTCTATGGGTGCAATTTATTCTTCGATTTCTCCTGATATGGGTGTAGAAGTATGGTTTTACTACATACATTGCATTTTTTTTTATAGCAACGGGTTCTGACTTTGTGATTTAGGGATGCGTGACACGGCTACAGCAAATACAGCCAGCCGTAGTTTTTGCCGATAGTGATATGACTTACAAGGGAAAGAGGAGTTCTCTGGATTCAAAAATGGAAGCAATCATGGATAAATTATCCAAGTTCACGAAGATCTTTGTCATTCCGACTACGACTCAAAGCCGACCCAAATTTCCGTTGATCGCGGAGTTTCTTTCCAAAGGGTTCGACTCCGATGCTCTGGAGTACACCCGTGTCCCGTTTTCCCACCCCCTTTATATCTTGTACTCGAGTGGTACTTCTGGACCTCCGAAGTGTTTAGTTCATCAACATGGTGTTATTCTCCAGCTGAAAAAGATTTCGTTGCTGCACAACTCCCTTGGCCCAAAAGATATTGTCTTTCAATATTCGAGTACCTCCTGGGTCCTTTTCAATATCATGAACGGACATCTTGCAGTTGGTGCCACCACAATCTGTTACGATGGATCTCCCCTCTGGCCGGACGCTACAGCCACGCTTAAGATACTCGAGAGATTTAGGTGTGCTCATCCTGTTCCACGTCTAAGTAATAACATTCAATGGCCAACAATGTGCTGCCAGGGTGACATATTGGGGAACTTCTCCGCGATATCTCCTCGAACTTGAGGCTTCCAAGCTCGTTCCTCGGGATTCGTATGATCTCAGCGCCCTCAAGATGGTCACCACAACAGGCGCAACACTCACGGCGGACCAATACCGATGGTTTTACCGAGCATTTCCTTACATACACCTGAGTAGTGTGGCAGGAGGGACAGATATCGCCTCGTCATGTACGTTTAATCCCCAAAATCTATCTACTATTGTATTAACTGGCGAATTGTAGGGCTGGCATCTGACCCCTCCAGCCCCGTACATGCCGGAGAGATGCAAATTTTTGCTCTGGGAATGGATGTGGATGTCGCAGACCCTATGACGGGAGAGTCGATAAAACATGTGCGTATAGGAGCATTATCTACTCATTATAAGATCCCAGCTAATGGCGGCAATAGACCGGCGAGTCAGGAGAATTGATTTGCCGCACCCCCTTCCCGTCAATGCCAGTGTATTTCTGGGGGGACAAGGACAACAAAAAATATATATCTTCCTATTTCGAACGATTTGATAATATTTGTGTCTGGGCCCAGCATGATTGGATTAGCGTTAACCCAGCCACTAGAGGATCCGTCATTCATGGACGAAGGTGCGAAAGAGTTGCAATCCCAAGAACCCTTGTCTCTGCTCCAGACCTCAGTTTTCTATCTGAGTGAGCCCGCCACCATTTAATTAACCCAACTAAATCTCTTCGAATAGTGACGGCGTCTTAAACCCCTCCGGTATCAGATTCGGTAGCGCAGAAATCTACTCAATATCCGAAGGACCTAAATTCAACTCCGAAATAGAAGATACGCTGTGCATCGGCCGCCGGCGCGGACAAGACAAGGACGAAGTCGTATTCCTTTTTGTCAAGATGCGGAACAACAAACCCTTCACTGCTGCCCTTGAACAACGCCTCCGGGCTGAAATCCGCTCTGGCCTTTCTCCACGCCACGTTCCGAAATTTATTATTGAAACACCGGAGATCCCTGTGACGATCAATGGGAAAAAGGTTGAGATTGCCGTTAAGCGGATCATCAGTGGTGATACGGTCCAGGTTAGCTCGACCGTTGCGAACCCTCAAAGTTTGAAGTACTTTGAGCAGTTCGTTCATATAGAGGCGCGACCAAGAGCAAGGCTGTGACCAGGGATTTTGCCAGGTGTTGGGCTATTTTGTAAGATGGAGCTGCAGCTTCCATATAGGCTATTTCAATGAAAAATATTCCTCTCAGGGAGCGTCCATTTGATATATAGAAACACACGAAACGCAAACTAGCTTACTTGAGGGCGTAACGCCAGTGTCAGCCTAGACTCGCTTAGCTCCGTGCTCATCCTCCATAAATACGGTATATAGATCCCCAGAATAGCTCCCCCGCTTCCCCACAGATGCTTTGAGTTGTTCAACCCCACTTCCCCATAACCCCCAAACGGCAGCAGCCGAGGGAGGTAAACGGTAGAAGCAGGAGGGGTGCAAAGTGACCCTTTATACGAGGGCGTTGTTAAATATGATTCTTTTATTCCCGAAAGATCTTGTAATCAAGCCTTGCCTCTGAAAAACGATACCAAGTCCCTGTCATCTTGAACCTCAAACTGCCCTCTTTTTGCTAACGATGCCTACGCTCATTGATCAGAACGCTTCATGGAAAGAAAAGAGCAACGCCAAGAAGGCTTCAGTCCTCAATGATGTTCCAAGCCAGTTCCTACACCCTGAGCTGTGTTTCTCTGACTATGATCCGAATCCAGTCCTCGACATACCAGCGTCACTTCTATCCGCCAAAGAACTGGAAATAACCGCTTTAGATGCCACTGAGCTCGTAAAAGCAATAGCTAAGGGAACTTATACAGCAGTCCGGGTTCTAGATGCATTCACCCACCGAGCAGTAATTGCACACAGGTTGTTAAATTGTTGTCTTGAATTCAGATACCAAGATGCTCGTGCGGAAGCAGAGCAGTTAGATCATTACCTGCGAGAAAGCGGAAAGACTAAAGGGCCCTTGCACGGTTTGCCAATATCCGTCAAGGACCAGTGTCGGATTATCGGAGCGGAGACCACATGTGGGTTTGTTTCCCAGATTGGGGTGATAGATTCTGAGAATAGCACCCTGGTCGACGTTTTGGCCGATGCAGGAGCTGTGATCTTCGTGAAAACGAGCTTGAGTATTGGATGTTTGTGGGGGGAGACCATCAATAAGTATGGATATTTTTTATGATTTTCGTTTGGCCAATAGATAGGCTGATCGATTCCAGTATTATCGGCCATACAAGCAATCCGTTCAACAGATCCTTTTCGTGTGGTGGTTCTAGCGGTGGAGAGGGTGCTCTGCTAGGTATGCGTGGTAGCTCAATGGGTGTAGGATCGGATTTAGCAGGCTCAATTCGAAGGTGAGATATTTCGGATAGAAACATTTCTATAAAAATATTTACTGACACCTAAAAGCCCATCAGCATACCAGGGACTTTGGGGTCTTCGTCCGTCAATTGGCCGTATTCCGTACCATCGCATGCTAAATGCCATGGAAGGAAATGAAATCATCGAATCGGTCGTGGGCCCGATGTCCCACTCATCAAAGTCTCTTGAGCTCTTTACAAAGACTGTGGTGGATTCCCAACCATGGCTTCATGACCCAAAATGCCACCCCATTCCATGGCGTGCGGGGGAGCTTGATGATATTTTATCGGGGAGGTCATTGCGGATTGGATTAATGCCATGGGATGATTGCGTTCTACCTCAACCACCAATTCGTCGAGCCATGCGAGAGATTGAATCAAAGCTTAAAGCTGCTGGGCACGAAGTTATTCCATGGAAATTGGACCAGAAATACGCACTGGAACTATTAGTATGTGACCGCATGTCGCCTATTTTACCGCCGCTCCTGTGCTGAACTTATTATTACTAGACCACTGCGATCACCAGTGATGGTCGCGGTGACGTTGATCGCACAATGGCGAAGTCTGGGGAACCTGGCCTAGGACTCTCGTTTCGCCCTGGTCAGAAGCCACTCACAATCCTAGAAGCATGGGAGCTTACTATGAAGCGTGTTGATTTTCGAGCATCAGTTCTCGAACAATGGAATGCCACTAGGAAAGATGCCTCGCGCCTGATGGATGCGTATATCACCGCCATCAACCCGTCCGTAGCTTTTATGCACGGAGAACAAAAACGGACACGATACGTGGCGTACACGGGTACAGTGAATTTGCTCGATTTCACCGCTTGTACTATCCCGGTGACATTTGTAGATTCGGATATGGATCTTCCTGACCATCCAGAGGGAAATTTTGATGCAGCCGGCCAGCCTATCCCTTCACCGAGGTCCGATCTTGACGCGGCGGTCCGGAAGAATTATGAACCAGGGCGCTATAAGGGACTCCCTGTCGCTGTTCAGGTGGTAGGCCGGAGACTTGAAGAAGAGAAAGTACTGGGTATCGCTCAAGTTCTGCAAAAGTTGTTGGGATCGTGAAGGCCAAGCGCAAGACAAATAATACCTTTATACTCTCTAGCTTTCTCTAGGATTAGATTTATCCGTGACTTGTGTTGATGTCCTGTGCTAATCGGTTCATCTGAGATATGAAACTTAACGCATCAGAAAAATGAATATTGTCCAGAGTGGATTCAATTTTGTGCGTATATGATCCACTCCATCGACACATACTCCGCAGATATGGCAAGAAGCGAAGAAAGTCTGCCCTTGACGATAAAGCACTGGTTGGTCGATTAATGAAGCTTCAAAGGCCCACGTCTAGGCTCCTCACCGTTTGCAGTTGCTGAGTTTGTATTCTGATCTATTAGCCATTGCTAGTTTGCAAAGATAAAGACGGAACTTATCCGCCTTTACTTTCTCTCTGAGAACAGAAAGTTTGCACTCCCGTATGGACGAGTTTCAGGTTGTTCCTCCTGATGTCTCTGGTGGCCCAAGTGTTTTGCATGATTCCGTCATCCAAGCCCCATCCGATCCTCGTACATGCGAGTACTATTCGACTGGGAATTGCTTGTTTTCGACTTGCGGCAACCAAACCGTTGATGATCAGGCCAAGAGGCTTGGACTCCAAAGGGCAGCATGATACCCACAACGAACCTTGAATAAATAGGAGAGGTTGATTCAAACTCCTGGGTTCTGTCAACTGCAGGCCGCCAGCAGCTGGAGCACTTTCTTCCCCGAACTGAAGGACAGTGCCGGTTAGTTTGATATACCTCAGATCAGTCATTGGTGTACGTGTGTCGGTGGAATGAGACTTTAAAAGCTTGATATAACTGCGAAAGCTTAAGTAACTGGTTAAATAGCTGAATGGCAACCAACAACCAGTGAGTTGGAAAAAATGGTAGAGGTTGATCTCTTCACAGAGAGATCCCAAACGCTCCCTTTATATACCCGGCCATGGCGCCCCATCATGGGAAAATAGTGCCTTGAACCTAGCATCCGCAAGGTAGGGAGAGATTTACGAACACAAAATACTGTTATCCCGTAGTGCCATAGCGTAAAATCAATCTCGTTGACGACTTTGGCAGCGCATCGTCCACATCGGGACCAGGGAGGGAACCAAACACAGCGCACAGGTAGTTAACCACTTCAAGCCGCCAATATTTGTGACATGAGGTGCCGGGCTGTGGTTTCATCGCTAGCCTTTCAGAATAACAAAATTAACCCCGATGTAGAGAAAAAAAAAATGAGTACAGCAAACCCATATCATACTATCTGACGATCTCAACGAAGAGAAGAAGCTTTTTTCCCAAGGCTGATGAGTTGGCACAGGCGGAAAGACCTCTAGGTTCTTCCTCTGGCATGGATTTTGATTCGATTCTTTATTCAGTCTGTTTTTGAATATTAGTTCCGCATATACTGTTAAGGTGTTACCTTGTTTGTCTCTCCAGCTAACCATTGCGAGATTGCTCCGTTGCAATTACTATGTATGGGTTCAGCGCCGTAGCACAAGCACGGGCACAGGCACAGGCACGGACAAACTCGATGCATCAGATGCTTGCCCGATGCATGCAGTGAGTTTCAATAAGAGCCGGTTGCTCAAGTGCCCTTCGGAGAGGAAACATGCGAAACCAACTAAGTTATTAATGATAGCTTGTTGCGGATTCAGATATGTACGGGGTTATGCTGTGCAAGATTGACTTGCATGTATTTACGTAGCTGGGAGGCCAAATCGGAGTGTGAATATGCGGAAAGAATGCAAATAAATGAAATTCAGGTTTATTGATATAGAATGAGGGGAATGCGAATTATTCATGCCGTTTCTGAGCTTTTCACCTCTCGAATCAGAGCTTTTCTAACGTGCTGTTACACAACTAAGTTACTCTATGTTCTGATAAAGCGGCCATTGGTTCAACAAGGGAGAGCGAGCCCCCTTTTTTCATTTTTCGCCAGGTGAGGTAGAAGCGATTCGGCACATGTAGTCATCAATCTATATAATCACTTACATGCCACATGAGCAACAGCTCAGAAGCCATAGATTCAGTCCAATTCATAATTTCTAAGAGCATAGAGGTCATCGCCAAACAATATTTACACATAAAATGTTGAAACCAATAAACACCTTTATAAAAGCCCGCCACTGCTACGATAAAGGAGCCTTAGCAAAACAAGTAATAAGATAGCAAGACATGAAAAGACAGCGTGGTATCATAAACATTAAAACATTCGTTCTCTTTGGTCCGAAAAACATCGTTGTACACTATACTCTGTAGGTCGGGGTTATAACCCCCTGCTCGAATGGCTCACCCTTGGAGCAAATCGTAAGAAATCCCACGCATAATTTGTTTTTTTTTTTTTATATTTTATATTTTCGTATTCGCTTTCCTGATTTAGCAAGTTTCCCAAGTCGAGTCGTTAAGTTGGAGTCGCCGCGGCCCCATGGAGCTAGTATCGATACGGTCTTCATCTTCACGTGGTGGCCTAATAGGTCGGGATTCTCGATGCTGGTCATGGAGGCCTGGGCCAGTGGCGGATCCAGTGGCAGATCCGGTGGTAGATCCAGAATTATTTGGGGATAGTGATAGTAAATTAGTGACTGCGTCAAGGAATTGGCGGCTTCGACGACAAGATTGTGGTCTCTTGAGTCTTGGTTCGGGAGGTGGGATAAAGGTAGGGGCATTTGCTGCACAAGGAGAAGCTGTAGCTGGTGCCGCTTGCATGCCTGTAAAAAACCCTCCCAACCTCCCATGCCATATAAACAGTCCTTAGGCGGTGGTTCAGGTGTTACAGTGCTTATTGTGTCTGAAGCTGTAGCTTCTGGAGTATTTGGGACGGAGCCAGGTTGGTCAAAGGGAAAGGGCTTTTGGGAATCTCGATCGGTTATGACATCTTCATCTCGTTCTAGCCGATGACATGGAGCCACCCTAGATCCTGATAAGCTGTTCTTTTCTGGATACCCGTTATTCGCATGAGCTAGGGGAGCGGGTCGGATTTCTTGGTAAGTTGGCATTTCCGCTTCTGTGTCAAGGCGAATCCCAACATCAGTTGCAAGATCAGCGTCACTGCCCCATTGGTGGGTTGTAATCGTAGCACTGCGGGAGAACTTTTGGTCACTAGCTTCACTGACAGAACCAATTTGGTACTTTTGTTTCTTCACACCTCTGTCTCGCATGAATGATCCAATAACAATCGCATTAGATATCGCCGTAGCGACTAGAACTTCGAGAGATGCAAATAGAGAGCGGTATTGCTGGTTTCCATGACGTTCAATCACGGCCGGTACACGGTAACATGTCATTACGACGAGGATCAGGGACAAGGAGAAGAGGATAGTGAGAGAGAGTTTTCGCCTTGTAGGCATAGTCGAAGCAAATATGATAGGAATCGGAAAAGCGACGAGAAGGATATCTGTAGCGGCATCACAGGCACCCATGGCCACCAGGTGTGCATATCCCTGCCGGCATTCGGGTGCGGGCATCGGGCTGACCTGCCAGTAGTCCTGGAATGGTTGGCATTCCGCTAATGTGGAAATTACCACTGCAGCAAATGTAACAACAAGGAAGAAACGGATAAAATTCAACATCAGTTGAAAGGAGCGCCGCCAGGTCTGCGCGGTGAGTCGTGTGAGGAACTCAGCGATGGTATATTTAGCAGTCCAGATGCTGAGGAATATGATTATTAGTCGAGAAACAATCTTCTGTAGGCGAGTTGAACTACAAGGGATGCGCTGCGACAAAAGCCTATCTAGAATTGCTGAGAACTTACAACAGCGCATAGAATATCCTTGCTCCCAAAACCAGCCCGCTTCCAATCTCCCGTCGACGAAGCTGAATATCTGAAATATTTGCTGCAATCATGTTGTTCGTGCCGTAAAGAAGAACCAAATGGACCAGTCCCATGCGGATGAGCAATGGGATGACACTGATGAGCATAACCCAGTCTTCCGGGAACAGAACTTGGGTTCGAATATACCGGCCAAGAATTCGAACAAAAATAATCGCGAGGGAGAACCCGGTACACCACCAACTAACCAGGAGAGTGGGTATCACATCCCACCTGGTTAGCTCGTCAGGCGCATTGCTCGAATACATTCGAGTAACAACCCTCGATATACTGTTATGAGCGCCAGATCTTTCGGCGTGAGAACCGGGGGGGTGATGGTATTATGACCTTCCGCCTGGTCAGCTTCACAAAGTAAATGGCACCGGCACTGGTGCACGTTCCAGAGTTTTCTTCCCTCTCCGAACGCCTTTCCTGTAGTTGCTCTCGGATGGCTATCTTCCAACCCCCATCAGGTCAGAGTGGTGTGCGCATTTAAGGTAGCTCAGGTTAAAAATGGATAAGTTGCATCGACAATTCAAAGGATAACGTCCTGTCAAAAGAGGGTGGCACCGTTTAACAGTGCTCGTGAGCTATGTTTCACGGGAGATAACATATGTTGGGAATCACGGGAAGGGTTACAATGTGGGAAAACACAAGGCAAAACGGCAGCGTGTCGGGCAAAGGTTGAAAGTATTTATGGACCACTTGAAGATTCTAACGATAAGAGGTCGTGGGATGATTTCTTGGTAAGCTGGGGATAGGGAGGACTTCTGAAAGAACAAAGGAGGGCTCACTGATCATGCAATCTCCAGAAGCACAAATATTTAAAGTAGATGGCAATGATGAAGAAAATAAGCCCTGGGGATGCGGAATGCAATAATGCAACGTCATCCCAACCGAATAAAATGTCGACCAGGCATTCGGGAAACCAAGCCTTGTACTTCTCAGTACAAATAAATTCTACTACTGATAGTGTTGCGATTTCCAATACTTTGGAAAAGTACGGATAGGAACCATAAAGGAAAACCCAAAGTAGCTATTCTAGCTGAAGAGTTCATACTAGCAGTTGAATTTTTCTTGTAATCATTTTGACAAGCCTGCAAGGGTAGGGAGGGTATCGATGAAATAATTGGGCCTGCTTGTACTTCGGGCTCTGCCAATTTTGTTGCTCGGAGCCGCTGACTTCTGGAATGTGGCGGTCTGGTAACCATGATCTCTGACAGGTTAAACAGACGGCCGAACATATTTCTTAATCACATCCAAAGCCAGCAAGCAGGAGTGACCAGACGTGCGCTAAAATAAGAAGTCGGGGATATGAACGAGGTGATACTCATTGTTATACAACAGTATTTTCGTTGCTCTC